GTGGAGTGGAGGGCCCTCGATATATCATCGAACATATCCTCCACTTCGTCGTCCGAGTGTGTCGAGGTCGGTGCGTACACTTGCACCACCTTGAGGCTATACCTCTCGGTGAGCTTTATAATAAGGTACACTACCCTGTTCGACACGCTGGACATTTCCACTACGTTATCGGCAAGGGACTTATTTACCAAAAACCCAACGCCACCTTGGGACTGTTGGTCTCCCCCGCGGAAGTACATTAGGTGGCCCGATTCGAGGGTTATGGTGTCCTCCCCCTCTCTTCGGACTTCACTTAACCCTAAAATGTGCCACCTAATCTTTCCAAGTTCCACCTCGAGTTGCGCCAGATGCGAGTCAAGCCGTAGCGTGCGTCCGTTGTACGTCGCCAGGGTCAGTCTTTTGTGGTGGCCTCCCGTAGCCCGGAGATTCTTGGCACCCCCTGCCCCAACGTTACCGTGGTCGCCACCGTGACCAGGAATAGCGGGGCTGCCGGGAACTGGGGGCCGTGGCTTGAGTTTCTTGTGCATGAAGGTTTTGCCCATAATCGCCACGCTGGGCAGGCGGGTTGGCGATCGCAGAGCGTAGGTTTATTTACTGATGACGCTGCTGCCCGTCACCAGTGACATTTTCCTCCCCTACGTCATTGGATGGTTATACCGCCATCGGTCGGTTTGCCAGAGCCTCGTCTGTTGGTCAACAGGGTGCACCACGTGTAGGTGAGGTTGGCTTGGGTTCTTGCAGGTGTATTTAGAACCCCTTACACCCCTACACGTGGGGTACACTACATATATTAATACATATATAAGTATATTTTTATAGAAATACAAATGTTCGTATTTGTCACACATTCATCTGTCCCCACCGGGATTCGAACCCGGGACCTCTCGAATAGACAACACCTTGAAACACGGCGTACAACTACAAACCATTCAGCCACGGAGATCGTCAGATTTAATACTTCCATAGTTCCGTCTTTGTCAATTGTTTAAGCTCAAAAAGAGTAAAATGAGGTTTAGACACGATACGCTTTAATATACATTTTTAAGCATTTAACTGCTATCGCAAACGAAACCTGGACAGTCTATTTTGTCTAGTAAAATTTTCTTTATGATTTAATAATTCAGGTGCAAGCGTGCATAAGATTGCATCCCTGAGGGACCCATTCTTTTGATATTATAAAAATAGGGTATAGACGAGTCGCAAGTTTTTAAGAGAGATCTTAGGAGTTTTCTGTAATTATTACAAGTCTATTTACATTTGTGTACTTCCTTATAAGCGTAAACAAACAGGCTTAGTAGATGAATGACCACAGCTTGTACCACGTTGAGAGAACCGGTTTTAAATTACGCATCATGTTGGTATCTACTCTATGTTAAAAATGTATTGGTCAGCGTGTATAACTTACCACAACAACAGCGCTAAGCTAACTTAACTATTGGAATATATTTCCAGTTATTATTTTATACTTAAACCTCATTATTATTAAACGAGGAATAAGCATGGACTTGTTACGCCGTATTTTGTTGATATCATTCACGTGTCATTTGTAATTCAATGAACAGGATTTGTCTTTCTTTATTTTGATATAGAATAATTAATCCATGTTTATTAAGGTGAATAAGGTTAAAAGTACTGAATGCAGACCCATTTTGATAGATCATTTAAAGTTTTCTGTTTATGATCATGGAAGGTATGCTACTTTCAAAGTGGTCTGTCATTGGATGGGTGAATAAAATCTTATTATTTAGGGCTCCTCCATGCTTCTGAAGGTACGTTAAGCCGTTGGTCTCAGCTGCTTCTGCTATCGTTAGCACTAACCAATTCGCCTTGGACCCGCGTGGTAGGTCACGGCCACAGAACACAGAAGGGCCATGTGGGCAAGGCAGGTGCGCCACATTTATCTGTGAGCAAATGCTCATTACTTTATTTTTATTTTTTATTTATGCGCCTATCTACATAGACCTACCTAGATAGGCGCATAAAGAATGACAACAAGCATTTTTGACACATATTTTTTATTTTTCAAGCGTGTAGTCACATGCTCGATTTTTAAATCTAAAGACAATATTACTAGTAAAAAAAATCTACGCGTACCAGGCAGCTAATGCACTGACTAATTATGCTACCGCGGCCCTGTGTCGAATTCTTTCTAGCCTTTCTTAAGCTGCAAGGCAGCGCCATCTCCTCGCATTGTAGGTAAACCATAATTACATATTTTTTGTATTTTTCACCAGGTCGACGTCGACGAGTGCGAGGACATCGCCACAGAGTACAACATCAACTCTATGCCCACCTTCGTATTCGTGAAGAGCAACAAGAAACTGGAGGAGTTCGCCGGCGCCAACGTCGACAAGCTGCGACAGACCATTATCAAGCACAAGTAAGCTGTGCGAGTGTTGTACGCGCCAGCCCCATCGCTAGCAATGGACTCCTACCATATTCCGTGCTAAACACTTACGATACAACTACTTTGAACTGTTTTTTAAGGCAGAGGTATTCGGCAAATTTCTTACGCAGTGTAGAAGAAAATGTTATGGATTGTGAGCAAAAAAACTTAAGTTTTCCTTGCCTTCTTCACCATGGGAGAAATTAGCAACACACGTTATGATTATGTTCTCATTGGACTAAGAGCAGATAATTGCACAAAGCTTTTTTACAACAAAACAGAGCTAAAAAGAACAGATAAAGCCTTTATAGGACAAATGTAGACCATATATTTTGTCTATAATTAGCCCAAAATTTGAATTGAATTATTACAAACACGTTGTACTTTACGGCCACATTAAAAGAGCAGAGTCATAGTCAGTCAGACCCTGGTGAACTCCACCCATAGGGGCCACCACCGCCAATATCTACTATATAAAAATAAATCGGGTTTTCCTTCCTGACGCTATAACTACAGAACGCACGAACCGATTTCCACGGTTTTGCATTCGTTGGAAAGGTCTCGGGCTCCGTGAGGTTTATAGCAAAGAAAATTCAGGAAAAATTAAAAAAAAAAACTTCTTTTAATCACCAAACGAAATGTTACATAAAACGAAGCCATCTGGTGGCGAAACGGAGTTCGCCGGGTTTGCTAGTTCTTAATAAAGAAGACATTGGCTAAATCTCTAAGGAGATGGCTCCTTACTCCTTACAAGAAAACTAAAACTGCTAAAAGTTTTTCACGAAAAATACTCAAGTGATGTCTGTTCTTTTGCTTTTAATAGGTTTGTTAAATCTTCAATTGCATTGAAAGGTTACACTGTATGCGTAAATTGCCGAATATCTTTGCAACCAGTATTTGTACCGGTACCTCTGGCCTTACGAACGATGTATTCCTAAGTAATTTAACATTCTAAATTATGTACCAAAACATTATACAAATAAAAAAAAAATAAGTAAATCACAAAGCGAATGCGTCCACATTTATTTTCTGCTTTATTATCAAGGAATTAGGTTTTAAATCGTAGTACCTTAAAAAATAAGCTGAGCGCTCTATATTAGCTCTTCGTGTCTTATAGTTTAGATAGAAAAGACATCTTGATATAAAAAGTCCAACATTGCTTAGTATAATATAACTCATGTAATTGGAATCTTGTGTTGAAACTTTCATTACTTTTGTTTTACCGAATTATAGTGACCCCCAGTGTGTTTGCACATAACTTTATGCATTTAATTTTACAATTTTGAACACAAGATATATTTATTAGAACTGGGTTTGTCACATTGTGTCAGTAGAAGGTACCTACACTGTTTTTTTATGAGCATCGGTAATGAGTGAGAAAGAAATATGTTTTGTCCATTACTAACTTGTAAAGTGAAAACAACATTAATGTTCAACTTAATGAAGACAAGTCTTGTATTTTTTTAAACCAGAAAAGTTTTTCCATATACATGTATAAAATTCTCCACTCGTTACCGATTTTGTGCTGTATTGAGCTGTAGTTAAAAGCCTATTTTTGTAATACAAGTGTCTTATTAGTTATAACTGTGTCACAATGCTTGTTATTACACAGTGAGACGTTTGGGTAAGCGTACAGCCTGTTTGGTCGTATTAATTCGCATATTTTTCACTTTTATGTATGTTACAAAGTATTGTTATTCCAATAAATATATTGAAATGTACGTTTTGTATTATTTCCTCCATGCAAACAACTTGATCAGTACCCCTAGCGCGAACCATTATCTAATTCTTTAAAAAACCATTATCGACATTTTCGACTCGCAAACTTTACGAATTAGCTATTGGTTAGTGCTAAGGGTACATTACCCTTTGTACGAATCATTATCGAATTTAAGTAGTTTGCGATACCGAAATGTCATTGCCAAATTTTGTATGAAAACTTGAACAACAACGCCATAACGTATTTTACAAGAACTAAAAATCAGTACACATTTTGTTTCACACTTTGTTTAAACTTGCTAAGAATTAAATTCCTGATGAAACTGTCAGAGGATAAAACTATTATCCAGGGTTTTTGTCTTCCTGTGTGCTAATGTTTATTCATCCAAAGTAAATGAACTATTGCATCTGTTATTAAAATGGCTGTATGCTTTTTTATTTTAACCCTTATCGGAAAAAAATATATTCACCAATAATCTCCAATGATAAATGCATCATAATGAATAGATAAAGATTGATGCAAAATTTCATATCTTTCATTTTCCTTATTCAAAAGGTATGGTAAAATTCATTCCATAAAAGATTACGTTGTTATAAATAAATAAACATGTTCACTTTATTATTTATATTTATATATATTTAAATAAACTTTGTTATTTATCAATTATTATACCAGAAACTTAATAATCTTTTCTTTTGAAGTATGAACATTTTTAAGTAACCTGGGAAAAAAAGAAAAGCAAATATTTACTTAACATAATTTTATTAAAGTACTTATTGATACATCGTCTTGGGTAATTCTAATTACTTTTAAGTGTTTTCCAAGGAACTTATATTCTATCTGTAATACTTACGAAACAATATGAGAATACAAAAATGTACTCTAAATTAAAAGTGAACCGTAAATCGTGTTCAAAAAACGGATGCAATACACATAGCGACATATTTAATAAGCTCGGAAGGTCGTTATAAGGTTTTAATTTTTTTTTGGGATTTCAAGCTAAGGATACGGAATTCAAATTCAGAAGGTTCCTACACCCCGAGAAAAATAATTATCTTATCACCTCTGTTACTGTTTGGACACCCTTCTAGAAAGAGACAGCTTCCACTAATTGAGGTTTACTCTTCGGATCGATTTTGAGGGTTACGTAAGCATTCCAGATAGTATATAAGTTCCTTGGTTTTTTCAATTACAATATTGCCATTTGTAAAAAAGGCGCCTGATAAATCCAACTCAATACATTGAACATTTTATCTACAATTAAGGCAGTTTCTGCTGTCAACACGAGCCATATCTGCAACAAAGATTAACTTTAATGTTACTTTGTAAAGCTTTCAGTCGAGAACCTAATCAAAATTTTACACATCAATGTGTAAAATTTTGGTAAATGGTTATTCTTTGAATTATCGTGACATCAAACTATATTCAAATAGAACTATGGATGAAACAACGCGGCCTTGGGCGCTTGTTAATGACCGGTTTTCCAACGGGTCTAGGCCATAGAGGTATAAGAATGGAGTAGGGGAGATATAGACTCTACTACAAGTGGAAGTGTCCCTGTAATAGAAAGAGAAAGAAGATGAGAGACCGCTAGCTTTCTCTAATCTCACATGCGCATTGGCAACCGTAAGCATCTTACTTTTACGATGTGATGCCATTGGACGCCATGCGTCACAAGAGAGTGAGATAGCTAGCGGTCTCTCATCTTCTTTCTCTTTCTACTAGACGGACACTTAAAGCCGCCTTTCCCACTCTATTCTTATACCTTTTTGGTCTAGGCACAGTTTTTACACCGGCAGGTCCCGGCTATGTTTGTTCACGAGTACGGTTTGTACGTTTATACCGACCCCAAAACGTCGCTAGCGCCGATATCGTTAACAACCCTTCATAGTATCCCATACCTAACTGACGCCCGGTCATAGACACGGTTTAAAACCGTGTAGAAATTGTCTTGTTAACAAGGGCCCTAACAAGATTAAAAACATATTAACTGAACCACGACGCCATGAAAACCCAGGAGCTGTACTGCTTAAAAAGACAAATCTTACTCACCATCGTAATAGCCCACTAATCAGGAGGTCAATCGCCTAACGGTTTTGCTATGGCCATCGCTTTAGCTTACGATTTTATTTTGTTATTAGTCAAATACCTTACGCTCATTTTCTCTTATATTGTTGTTACTAATACAAAAGAAAAAAAAGAGAACCCGAAAATAACAGATTCTTGTGTGATTACCAAAATTTCAATTTTAACAAAGACAAACATTCCCACAAAGACAACCCCTTCTTTATGACGCCTCTTCATTGGTGTGTGGTACCTCGCGTAGTAAATTAAGCTCATTTTTGACATGTCGGCTTGAGACAGTGATAATTTTCCTCCCGAAAAAACAGCAGATTCCTTTGGATTGTTCAGAATCTATCTATTGTAAAACTCACCATTTTTATACCCCACTAATCGCGTCTCTTCTTATTGTGCGCGTGGTGAGTGTCGTGATGGTCTCGTTTCCTGGTTCTGTCGGCTCGTTTGGCTTCGCTCAAGAACCGATCCAGACCAAACGGATCGAAGTCTGCCTCGCCACTGGGTTTACTGACACCGCCGCTACCACTCTAGGGAAACGAATAAAATACGCGATATTTTAGTTAGAAAAGTTAACATCAATTTATAGTTATAATGTTTATTTTTTAAACATATAGCTGCTCCATGTTTAAATTTAAAGAAAATATTACAAAAATTAAAAATTAACATCGAGCAGTTACATGCTTAAAAATCTAATATATAAAACTAGCAAACCAGTGAACCAAATGTTCGCCAAAACCTGATTTCTCGAAAACCGGAAGTGCTACGTTACTCAAATCCGGTTTGTAGTCTTATCAGACTATTCTTAACTTATAACTTAAATATTCTCTTTATCTATCTCTTACGGTTTGGCCGCTGAAACAGCACCACAGACAGACGGACGGACTTGTCTAATAGATAAGAGATTCTCGTGTCACGGTGTGCGTAACTGAACTACTCCGAAACGGCTCGACCGGTTTTCGTGAAATTTCATATGCATATTCAGTAGGTCTGAGAATAGGACAGCATCTATTTTTCATCCTCCTAAATGTTAAGGGTGGTCCCCATTATTTTTTTTTTTTGAACAAAATTTTTTGTTCTTATTTTTTTATGATACATCATACAAAAATACATTATGTTACAACAAAAACATTTCTGATGGCGTAATTAATTTGATTTAATTTATTGAACATTATTGAGAGATTGAGGCGTTTGAAGTTGTGCAGTGACCAAAAATTTACTATCTCGAGCTCCTCCGTGCTTCGGAAGGAACGTTAAGCCGTTGGTCCCGGCTGCATTTGCAGTCGTTAGCACCCACCAATCCGCACTGGGCCCGCGTGGTGGGTCATGGCCCAATCTCCCTATTCCATCCATAGGGAAGGCCTGTGCCCCAGCAGTGGGGACATTAATAGCCTGATGATGATGATGATGATGAAGTTGTGCATATCATCGTTTTTCCGTAAATTAGCTGCGGTAGAACAATCAGTACAAAAAAAGGAAAATAGTATTTGCAAATATTCTACGTTAACATACAAAAGGAAGAATAAATCTACTGTTTACTTGTATTGGAAACAGTCAAAATCTTTACTAAGGGGGTAAACGAGGCGCTCAAAAATTGCGATTTATTGCAAAAAAATTTGAAAGGGCTCTTAAAACCCGGCGTACATTATAAGTTTTATTAACTTACCGGTTCATCTCTGGGGGTATCTTTCTCAAACTGTACGGGACCGCTTCGTGTGTTGGAACTGCTTGTGCCTGCGAACTCTTTGTCAGCCACAAATCTGGGAAAGCAATGAAGAAATTAATTAAAACTTGGAATAATATTTTTTATTTCTTTTAAGCATTTAATTGCTATGTGTTAAATCTAAAGGTGGTAGGGAATTGACGATTAAAAAAGTACTTAGCAAAGTCTATTTAAATAAAGATGTTTTGAGTTCTAGTTTGAAAGAAAATAAGATGTTTAAATAGAAATCGTTTACAAGAGAGAATTCCACGCCCTCCTTGCAGTCTAAGAAATACAAGAGAAAATTCGACACGGACAATTAGGACCACGGTAGTATAATGGTCAGTGCATTCGCCCGGATAGCGGAGGGTGCGGGTTCGAGTCCCGTCTGCCTGGTCCGCGTGGAATTTACTCTTTACTAGAGTAAATTCCACTATATTTCCCTAACATTTTAGGTTATGTTCGTGTTTGCCATTTGTAAACTTGACATCAGTCTGTCCCTTCTATTCTTCAAAATAAATAAAGTATAAGTAAGTAAAGTATAATAACTAGAAACTTGTCAAGTTTACAAATAGCAAATACGAATAGTCAAGTGAAGTGCTGACATTAGAAAAAAAAAGTAAACGTGAGTATCGTAGAACACTCGCTTGGACCGAAGTTAAAAATAAACATAAATTTAAGAACAACTCCAGTACCCTTAGCAAGAACTAATATCGAATTCGTAACGTTTGCGAGTACGAAATGTCATTGCCAAATGTGTACTGATTTTTAGTTCTCGTTAGGTACTTTGTGCCGCTGCTGTTCAAGTTTCCATACAAAATTTGACATTGATAATTCGGTTTGCAAACTATTCGAATTCGATAATGGTTCGTGCTAGGGGTACTGTATACACATACGCTACGAAACAACTGACGGTTGTGACGGAAAAAAAAACAAGTCCGTAACGTCCGAAAAGGAACTTTGTATAAAAAATAAATAACAGTGAATTAAATAAATAAATAAATAAATAAGACAAGAAAAACTTACTCATTTCGTTTAATTATCATAATTCTTCAGCCTATTAATGTCCCCACGCCGTTTCGCTCCGCTGCGTTGAAGCGTAGTACAATTCTGTCTCGCTCGCTCGACTGAATGTTTATTTACAGACGTGTGCGTGTGTGAGAGTTGCTTATGTAGTTGAGTCGGATCATATTTTATTGGAGTTTACTCCTTAAGAATCGATTTGCATATATAAGGGGCCCGGTATGAGAAAAATGTGAGGAGTGAAATCTATCGATGAATGACCTCGTTACGTTTTTACTGTCTAAGCTGTAGCAGCCTTAATGCTACACCGTAGCACAGTATCGTAGCGTACCTTTATTTATGCACATCTGAAATTGACTATTGTAAAAGTTTAATGTAAAATATTTCGTCGATTAGTTATAATAAATGTATATGAAATGAATAAATATATATTTATATATGTATATTATTTTCATTAATTTGTTAATTTACCCTTTCATACAGTATCAATCTTTTTTAAGTTAAATAAACTCTTTTTGCGTCTGGTTAGACTATCGAACTTAAGAAGTAAACTCCAGTCGTGCGTTGGAGCTGACACACACAATTCTTTGATGCTAGTATGAGCGTACCGTATCTTCCCTTTTTGTTTTAATCTAAGGACTTATAATTAAAACCAACCTGCGCGTGTTGGCGATGGAATCCAAATCGCCGTAGTTATCTTTGTCGGCGTTTCTAGAGGGCCGGTATATATGTGAGCCCACGTTGTCTTGGTTGCGCCACGGCTTATCGTATACGTTGTATGCTTCATCGTCGCCGTAACCTGGAAATAAATAATTATATTACAATTAATTAATAGGCTTTTTGACAGGAAAACAAAACTTAAATAGATAGGTATATTATTATTGCTGTCAGTATTGAAAATATGCTACCAATGAATTGGTGTTTGACAGAAATTGTAGTTAATACTTGAGGAGCTGGCGAACAAAACGGTTTAATTACGCATCTGGTCAAACTACATTTTTCTTACAGTCTGGAGGTTTCGGACCCGTTGGATTTAAATCTCAAATAATTTTCAATCAAAACCGCCTAAAACAGTGTTAAAATTACTAAATTTATAAATTAAAAACCATGGCAAAAGCTCACTGGAAGTATGTCATTCAGTTTTATACAGCTCCTGTAAAATTTAAGTTTATGTAACTATACTGTTTTGTACGCCAGCTCCTTATTTTATAAGGTTTATTAGAAATCATTATCATTATATATAATAAAACTAAGTTGATAGTTGTTAAGTGCGTGTCGAAAAAACTTAAAAAGGAGTCCCGGCACGATAAAGGGACTTCTATAGTGTGATAGCCCTTTATCCCTTCCTCGAACAAGAAAGTTCCCGTTTTAACCTAAAGTTTTCTAATATATAAGGGCTTTTGCAACCCTTTAACTTGGAAATTAAGTGTAGTGGCGCCATCTGTTGTCGAGTATTTGAACTTGGAAATTTAGTGTAGTTGCGCCATCTGTTGCCGAGTATTTGAACTTGGAAATTTAGTGTAGTGGCGTTATCTGTTGTCGAGTATTTGAACTTGGAAATTAAGTGTAGTGGCGCCATCTGTTGTCGAGTATTTGAACTTGGAAATTTAGAGTAGTGGCGACATCTGTTGTCGAGTATTTGAACTTCAAGTTGTGAGAAAGTAGAATACCACTGATCTCTTCTCAATTGCCATTTCAATTTAAAAGATTACAGTTTCTAATTAAATTAGCCTTAAGTTTTACAATTAACAAAGCGCAAGGGCAAACTTTAAAATATTGTGGCATCAACCTCAAAGAATCCTGCTTCTCTCACGGTCAGGCTACATGTAGCTTGCTCAAGAGTAGGAAATTCGAAAGAATTATATATTTAAATATATATATCCCGAACAATAAAATGAAAAATGTTGTTTATAAACAAGTAGTGTAAATAATGAGAAAATGTTTTCAATTTTTTTTTTTACTTTTTACGACATATTTTTTATTTATATTTTTTTTTCAACTTCCACGTAATCTCATATCAACTCCCGATCGAAGCCAGGTATCATAGCTAGTTTAAAAATAAAAATGTAAAGAAATTTTTACGAGAAAAATTTCTACGCTGACCAGGCAGCAGGCGGAACGGGACGGACGGGATTTGAACATGTAGCAGGGCATTTGACAAGTTTTAGAAAACGATCTCACGTTATTTACTAATGTTTATAGAGTCCATAAAAGTGGATATTCATCATATGTTGTGTATTTCGGGAAAAAAACTAAATCAATGACTCTATTTTCAAGTTGCCGCGAAAAATGTATCTCTGGACAATATGGCGTCTCACTGGTGTGTGACGTCACACGACTGTCATTAAAACGTCAAACCATACAATCTAATGTCACTTTAACCGGAAGTTTACTTGCGTGTGACGTCATTTTAGGCTCCACCAATCCCAAACGGGTCACGTGACAAAAGACAAGAAAAGTATTATCTTTATCGACGGTTTTAGTAAAATTATGAATATTTTTTCTGTAAAAATACTAAAAACTCCTGCCAATATTCATTCTAAATACAGATGCTAACAATTGACACTTTATTTTTAATACTGTCAAATACCCTATTAAACTGCTAAATTCACAAATCTAAAGAAATTCTACTCGATCCTGGCATCCAGTAGGTTTTGGAAGTAAAGAAGAACAAGAGATATTGTTTTTGACTACGCAATCATCTTACGGAGCTCCGTGGATCGTCAGTTAAACCTTTTGGACAGGTTTCAGCCACGATTTTGTTCGTGATGTTGTATCTAGAGTTTTTGATATCGTCGATCTATTGCTAAAAACTGCATTAAAAGAAGTTGCGTCGTTTAAAAGACTACACGTACATACATCGGGAGCGACTTTGTTTCGTACTATGTAATGAAAATATGACTTACCGCTGTCCATTCCTTTGCTATTGTTGAATAATCTCTGGTCAAACATACTCTCCCCGCCTTGCGACTTGGCGGGCAAACCCAACGCAATCTGCTCGGATATATCGCGTTCCCTGTCTTTCACCAGCTTTGATCTGAAACAAAAGTAATCATAATGATTTATTCAGTTTAGGCTGTTACAAGCACATATAAATGTCTAGAAGCTATGCCATCGGTTCGTAAATCTACGGCGGGAGACCTTGTACTGAGAAGAACCGGCAAGCAAGGGCTGTTTTTTTCTCCCTGTTTTATCATTTACAGAGTCGTCAAGTTGAAAAATGACTTCAGAGTTGATTCATGAAGTCACCTTTCATTACATAATGTGAAATTATACATTAATTGTTCATCTGCATTTTGATTGCTGTGTCACACAGTATAAATACAAATAGTGTTATTTATAATAGGTGTAATTAAAAATTTACATCTTAAATATCAAAGTAGTTAGGGCAGACTCATCTCCGCTGGCAGCACCTCCATATTTTAGGGAATGTAACGACACCATTAAGTAAGTCCATATATTACTCATGGGCACGGAAAAACTACTTGCACGTTCACAAGGAACTGTATCCCTAGCGCAAACAAATATCGAATTCGCATAGTTTGCGAGTCCGAAATGTCATTGTCAAATGTGTACTGATTTTCAGTTCTCGTTACGTACTTTGTGGCGCTGCTGTTCAAGTTTTCATACAAAATTTGACATTGACATTTCGCACTCGCAAACTATTCGAATTCGACAACGGTACGTGCTAGGGGTACTGTGAAGTAAAACTGAACGATGAAAAGTGACAGGAGACGAGGCAATTATACAGGGTGTGCCACGGGTTTGTCACACGGAGGGAAAGTATATTAAATATTGAAGATAGGATATTTTACCGAAAAAAGACATATTATTTTTAATAATAACTAGAACTGCATTTACACACTTTTAAAAATCGCCTGCTGCAACTGAGAATCAAACTTGTGAAATTTGAAAAAAAAATGCTTCAATTACTGCGTGATCATGGCGCTTGCAACAGTGCCGAAATATTCGAAACGCTAAAAACAAGATACATGGTAACAATCCCGTAAATAACATAAATTACTATAACGTTAGTGACCATGAAAGTTTAAAAAAAAATATCATCTTACCTTTTGTCAGACACAACTTGTCTGTCTCTGTGATTTTAACCCGGGATTCATTTCGTTTCAAATGTGTATACTTAAAGATTCACCATCATCTGCCTAATTGTGTCCCCACTGCTTGGGCACAGGCCTTCCCTATGGGTGGAATAGGGAGATTGGGCCGTGACCCACCACGCGGGCCCAGTGCGGATTGATGGGTACTAACGACTACAGATACAGCCTGGACCAACGGCTTAACGTGCCTTCCGAAGCACGGAGGAACTCGAAATAGAAGATTTTTGGTCACCCATCCAAAGACCGGCCACTGCGAAAGTTGCTTAACTTCAACGATCGCAGCCGAACGCTATAACCACTTGCGCCATCGAGCTCCCTGAATTTAAAGATTATTACTATATTACCTTTTATCAGGAGCAGCTCTCGCCAAGTTCCTCTCCCTCTGTCTATCCTTATGCCTCTCCGCGCGCAGTTTGTCTCTTTCGGCAGCTGTTAACCCAGATTCATCGGGTTCAGGTTGTTCAGCTTCCTCTTCTGGAGCTCTGATACCTGGATATAGATAGATACTGCTTAATTGATTGAGAAATTAGTATTATGAAGTTGTTGTTTTCAGATTAAGAATATTAAGTTTTTTTACGCCACATAGGAACATCGAAATTATTTTTTGAAATTATTGTTTTCAGATATAAGATTACTTTTCAACACATTTGCTCAAAGATGCTTTTACGAAGCTTGTATCATCATTATCACCAGCCTATTATTGTCCTCACTGCTGGGGCACAGGCCTTCCTTATGAATGGAATAGGGAGATTGGGCCGTGACCCACCACGCGGGCTCAATGCAGATTGGTGCGTGATAACGACTGCAGACGCAGCCGGGACCAACATCTTAATGTGCATTCCGAAGCAAGGAGGAGAGCTCGAGAAAGTAAGTTTTTGGTCACCCATCCAATGACCGACCACTGCGAAAGTTGCTTAACTTCAACGATCGCAGCTAGAGGCCTACTCTAATTCAACGGAAAACGAAATTTCGATCGAAACTTCGCACTTTTCTTACTATGTTTCTGGTTCGTTTTTAATAATAATAATATTCTTCGTCGGAATATAGATTGAGGTGTAGAATTTCTAGACCTAACGACCGAGAAAGCTTCAATTTGATAGTTTATCGTTCAAATTAAGTATAACCCTACATTGACGAAATTAAATTTCGTTTAAACTTCGTCATCAAAAGTTCGTTTCGGAAAAAGAGAGTAGATCCCCTGAACGCGCTATCCACTTGCGCCATCGAACTCCTCCAAGGTTGTATACATTGTTCGAAAGTTCAAAGTTACGGGCCATACAATACAATTTATACCTTTGTCTCACTCTAATACTAAAAACAAAAAGAGACGAAAGATGTAGTTCTAATTTTTACTATCTGCACGTGGCGCCATTTGGAAATACGCGCCGTTTTTTTATTGGAAAAAGTTTCTTTCATGACCTGAATTATGTACCTACATTAGGGGCATTCCACGTGAAGCGGACAGGTAAAAAAACTCGATGTTTCCGATTTCAGTAATATTTGAGTATGTTCTACTTATACTTATTATTGATACGTGTACCAAATATTTTTGTGATATAATGACTACTTAAAGAGTAATGGGACTTTGAAGTTTTCGACAACCGGTTGGCATGCAGTACTTCAAAGACGATTATGGACTCATAAAATTATATATTAAAATAACTAAACCACTGGATTTCCTACTTTATTTACTGGGCTTTTTAACTGTGTTTTTGGAAAAGAAAACAAAATTTTTTTTTCGTAAAAATAAACCAATTTAAGTTTTTTTCCTTGATTTTCACCAAGTTAGACCATTTAGTTTTTTTTATTTTTTTTTATATAAATTGCTAATATTGTATAGAACATTGGTGCCAACTTTTATAATGGGCGTGAAAGTGGATTAGGAGCTAGACTGAAAATACTGCCGAAGGGTGGCGTCCAGCGCCGCGCCTGTTGACCGCCGCTTGTGCGCGATTAGTCATCAAACTGTCAATCAAATAAAATCACTTTAGACGGAATGTTTTGTAGAGTTTTAATAAAACCAATACATAGAAAAAATTCCACGCGGACCAGGCAGCAGACGGGACTCGAACCCGCACCCTTCGCAATCCCGGCGAATGCACTGACCAATTATGCTACCGCGGCCCTCACGGACCGCGTCGAAATTCCTCTAGCCATTCTTAAGCTGCAAGGCAGCGCCATCTCTTCGCATTTGGGTTCGTCCTGTCTGCTAATTGGGCCGCGTGGAATTTTTTCTAGTAATATTTTCTTTAGATTTAAACATCAAGCAGTTACATGCTTTAAAGAAATAAAAATTATAACTTTCATTGCTATTTCTTCATTCAAATGTTTAATACTTGTAAAAGTATTCATTTGACATTGTGGGTTACCTATAATGCGAAGAGATGGCGCTGTCTTGCAGCTTAAGAATGGCTAGAGGAATTTAGACGCGGTCCGTGAGGGCCGCGGTAGCATAATTGGTCTGTGCATTCGCCGGGATTGCGAAGGGTGCGGGTTCGAGTCCCGTCTGCTGCCTGGTCCGCGTGGAATTTTTTCTATGTATTGGTTTTATTAAAACTCTACAAAACATTCCGTCTAAAGTGATTTGATTTGATTGACAGTTTGATGACTAATCGCGCACAAGCGGCGGTCAACAGGCGCGGCGCTGGACGCCACCCTTCGGCAGTATTTTCAGTCTAGCTCCTAATCCACTTTCACGCCCATTATAAAAGTTGGCACCAATGTTCTATACAATATTAGCAATTTATATAAAAAAAAATAAAAAAAAACTAAATGGTCTAACTTGGTGAAAATCAAGGAAAAAAACTTAAATTGGTTTGTTTTTACGAAAAAAAATTTTTTTTTTCTTTTCCAAAAACACAGTTAAAAAGCCCAGTAAATAAAGTAGGAAATCCAGTGGTTTAGTTATTTTAATATATAATTTTATGAGTCGATAATCGGCTTTGAAGTACTGCATGCCAACCGGTTGTCGAAAACTTCAAAGTCCCATTACTCTTTAAGTAGTCATTATATCACAAAAATATTTGGTACACGTATCAATAATAAGTATAAGTAGAACATACTCAAATATTACTGAAATCGGAAACATCGAGTTTTTTTACCTGTCCGCTTCACGTGGAATGCCCCATTATTTTCTTGCAAATGTGTTGAAAAACGTTGTATGACGTTCGTGCGGAATTGATATTTACGAACTCGTCACTATGCTTAGTGTTTTCAGATACAAATGTCCGATCATAAAACAAAGAAACGTCTTTATTATAAAGTAGCCTTACTAGGAACTCCTCATTTGTTTATAAAATGACTAGCTGTCCCAGCGAAATTCGTACCGCCATAAAAAAATAAGGGTTGGTGGTAGAAGGGTGAAAATTTAGGGTTGTATATATTTTTGTATGATGTATCATAAAAATATAAAAACAAAAAAAAATAGTCCAAAAAATAATTTAAGGGTAAAATAAAATACCCCTAACGTTTAAGGTGACGAAAAATAGATGTTGACTTTTCTCGGACCTAATGAATAGGCATATAAAATTTCACGAAAATCGGTCGATCCGTTTTGGAGTAGTTCAATTACGCACGCATGACACGAGAATTTTATATATTAAATTAAAATTATTCGCACTCAAGGGGGGGCAATAACGGCTATTATGAAACTTCTGGTGTCCAATTTTCTGTATTTAAGTATTATGATTATGACAACAAATGACAAAAAAGTTTTTTTAGAAGATTGCCCATCTTGTATTAAATCTTTGAAAATTGTACAGAACTCTTCTTTTGCCTAATTGGACTTTGGCTGTTATTTTCAGACATAAAATTGTAGAAATTAACTAAATAATAAAACCAATAAAAAAATCACATTTCCTTTGTTGGTTCATACCGAATCTAATTTAGTTAGCGGAAACTGAACTAAAATCTCCTAAAAACTCACCAGCCCTATGATCCTTAAGCTCACTGAGCTAAAATTCTCAAGTGTTCTTCCTTCTTCTCCTTCTCACTCTGCGCTTATCTCCTCTCCAAGTGAGCCCGTGATTCCACCGCTTCTCTGGCCTTCCTATCTGCAAATTACACTAGACTCACCAGCTCTATGATCCCTAGCTCTCTGCGCCAACATTCTCAAGTGTTCTTCCTTCTTCTCCTTTTCCCTCTGCGCTAATCTCCTCTCCAACTGAGCTCGTGCTTCGACGGCTTCTCTGGCTTTCCTATCGGCTATGTATAAAGCTTCGGCTAGCTTCGAGAAGTTCTCGTTGATGTGGACTTGTTGAAGGCCTCGCCCGTCTGCTGCTAAACGCTTGTCCAAAGGTATCGTGTATCCTGTAGAATAAAATCAAATATTCATAAAAAAGTACAGATCAAAATGAAAAAGTAGCCAAAAGGCGGGTCCTATTATCTCAAAAATAATGAATTTTGCAACACTTGTGGTCAACTACAAATAAATTCTTGAATCTGTGTGACAATGCCTGTAAACGTAACATCAATGTGCGCGTGGTCAATTTAGCACAATTATTTTGATACCTTTCTATTAAAATATAATTCCCATCAACTATAAAATCGATCAATATATTGCTGAAAATAAATCAGGATAAGTATTTGAATTAAAGCCATAAGTTTGTAGTGGGTAAAGGGCATTGTGAACTAAGTTTCCTTTGACTTTTTAGTAAGTAAATTCTGGCAAAACAAAAAAAAGCTATGCTGCCGAACACAAATGGTTATTCGCTATGTGCGAAGTACATGGTGGGGGTATAGTGAAGCGATCGCAGCGCTTATAGTGGCAGAAATACGCAACAATCCGGGAAAGTAAAGTCAATTTGCACGGAGTTCGTAATAAACAAAAATTTTTTAAAATGCCTATTAATAGATGTTGTTGTGTTGTGAATTGCAAAAATAAGGGCACAAATAGTCTGTGTATATATTTCCTACATTGGACTGGAAATTAAATCAAAGAAATAAATGGATAGATGCCATAAAAAGAAATAAGTAAGCGAAATAACCTTAAATTATGATCAATTTTATTTGCGCTATATATTTTATGTGATATTCATTATTGTCTTTATTATTTTAGTGTTGATGGGTCGCCATGGTATCCCAAACCTGACGACACAATTTGTAGTGAACATTTTATGGGAAACAAAAAATCAGACGAGGAAGAAAATCCGAGTTATGCTCCTACGATATTCCCTGAAATATATCGAAAGAGGAAGGTTAATGATTCACAGGTCCTAGCTAGATATACACGCTTGACAAAACGAAGAACCACAAAAGTCTCAGATACCACATCAAGTCAAATAATAATTGAAGAAGGGAGTGAATTAAATCAAACTCAACCTTTTATGATCGATCAAGGATGTCAAGTCAATATGTTTTCTGAATCGAAATTAAGAGATACAACTTTTATTTGTATTAGATTAATTTACAGTGATCACTGTGATCCAACATCAAGAATTTTAATGACAAATAATTCAAGAAAGAAAGATAAAAGCTGTGGCACTGACAAAAAATCGTATGAGGATCAATCTACCGAAACAAAAAGTCAAGAATTTGTTGGTATTTCATCAATAACAAATGATCAAGAACTCCTAGATCCTTCTGGTGTGTCATTTAGCAATTTTGAGTTTTTATTAACAAGATTAACTATGAGAAAATGTACAGTTTCCACTAAAGACCGACTTCTGATTTTTTTGATAAAAATGAAAACTGGCTTGACATTTTCAGCATTGAGTGTGTTATTTGGTGTACAAAAAAACCACAATCTCACGTATATTTCATTCGATCTTACAAAATCTAGCTTGTTCAACTGCTAATTTAATCTTTTGGCCGAATAGAGCCACCGTACAAGCACCAATGCCCAAGTGTTTCAGTCCAGATTACATCAATACAAGAGTTATTATTGACTGTACTGAATTCCGAATTGAAATCCGACATTATTTAAATTATTATACAATATATAATAATTTTTATTTATCTTTACCTTACTATATTTACTAGAAATCAATAAAATACAAACTGATGTTATTATTTGGCATAATCCCGGAAAGTTGCGCATTGTAGGTGGCGCTACTGTCGTGCACATAGCGAATAGTCTGTCCATTCTATTATTATCTTTTTGACAGATCGACGCCCATGAAATTTTGTATTATTTACGTTAAAATGTCTTACAAATAATATTGTACTTCATGGACGGGTACCGCCCACTTAGTGATGTGCCACACATAATGATTACCACAGATTACAAATAATCGATAGAAATAAATGAGTACAACCAAATTATAAGGAAAAAAGTCAAAATTATAGTTTTTTATAAACCTTAAATGAAATTATTAATTATAATCAATAAATCTAATTGTTCAGAGTATTAGTATTAGGATAAACAAACATAAAAAGTATACTGCTTTTTTGTTGTATATACATACATAATATAGATAAATCACACCCAGACCCAGACACAGAACAAATACTTGTGAAAATCACACAAATATTTGTACTAGGTAAAATAATAAATCTAAAGAGATTTTGTAATAATTTATTAAACACCAGTATTTTTGATAAAAAAAATAATTTCGATACTTATAATCGATTAAATAATGTTCTAGCATAAAATCGATTATAGCTTTAAATCGAACAAGTTATGTGATAGGGTGTCACTATTTTTACTTCGATTGATCTGTCAAAAAGATAATAATAGAATGGACAGACTATAGTTACAAACCTTCGTGATGGGTTACGCCATATACATAGAGAGAACAGACTGAGCATTCTTTAGCCTTAAAAATTTGAACGCTAATTATTGTCTGCTCGATAATTTCGTCTCTTCCACACTAACATCAACAGTCGTATATCCCTTTTTCTCTTTCTAAAGATCAAATTTTTGCAGGCCAATGCATAACCTTTAGTGTTCATCCAAACACGCTTAGGAAGGATTAACACTCGCTCATAAAATCAGTAGATATATGGCCTTAGTACATCTCAATAAAAATGGAATTAAAAAAGAGGTCACAAATTTATTGCTTAAATTAAACTATGAAAAAAACTGAGGATTTACTTGCCACGGTCCTATAATAAAAAGTATAAAGATACACCCTCATATATATATATATATATATATACGCTAAAATACACGCACATATTTATGTACACACATACAAACACATACACACACTTACACACACATACATATAAAAGTTAATTATCGTAACTAAATAAAACGTATTGTAATTTTGAATAACGTTAGGTGATTTTTATTTTTTCTTGTTTATTATTTGTATTGGCTTTATTGTGTATCTGAGAATAGGGGAAGGGCGTTGAAGCCAAAATACAAAATGAAATTCCTAGTTTGGCTGAATATGTCATTTAATAATTATTGTTAAATATTAGCCTTAGTGTCAATAGTCTTATAAGGAAAAAAATACCGGCCAAGTGCGAGTCGGACTCGCGCACCGAGGGTTCCGTTCGAATTCAAATTAATACCTCTACGCTTTCATGAGAAAAGAGGTAGAAACTTTAAAATTTTCAAAAATATTTTTTATTATATGATGTAACTAAAAATTCACAGTTTTCGCAATTTTTCCTTTATCAGTACGAGTTTGAGCTCACGAAAACTATCATAGTTTTCGTAATTGTAAATTATATATTTCTATGGCCATTTTGGTGAAAATAATCAAATATACTTAAAATGTAAGACGCAAATGATTTAATGATCGAATTTAAGCACTGTTTATTTGTATTGAAACGAAAACAATAAAATTAGTACCCTTAGTACGAGTGCGTGCTAAAATGTGTCCCTATCAAGAAGTGCTTGAACACGACTCAAGCACTTCTTGGTTCACAGTCACACACGGACCGTTGAAAAGTCAACATGCTGCTGAGCTCCGTGAAAAAAAGCGAAATGAATACTTATAGTATGTAAAATGTTGTTTTTTCGACAGATATCTCATCAATGTTTGTTAATTTAACGCATTCGAAGCAAATTTTGTTTTTATACTTACTATAAACTGGTTTAATAGAAAATATTTGTGATATTCAAATGCATGGTCGGTAATATAGCCGTCTCTTTCCTCGCGGTCCGCATCTGCTGTATTGCTAACAGCGCATTCAGAATTTCGCGTAGAGACAAAGAAATAAGGTCTATATTCTATTGCATATAGCAATAAGTCGTAAAATTTTACGAGCTTACATCTCGGACTGTCATAACTCTTTGACGCATGCGCTTTGATTAAGAACTTATATAGTGTGCTTTAAAGGTGATTTTCAATGTTTAAATAACGACTTATATTCTTACGGAGCTCCGTGGATCGTCCAATATACCTATTGGACAGGTTTCGGGCATGATTTATCGTTGCACGGAACCTGTTGTTGTTCGCACTCACCTTTAGCGTTCTTCCAATGGGACACGCAGGGGGGCACCTTCCAGTCGCGCTGCTGCTTGACGGAGACGCGGCGAGGGGGGGAGTGCAGCACGGGCGCTGGGGGGGAGGGCGCGGCGCGGGGGATCTTCTTGTTGATCTGGAACCGGGGCGGCTCCATCGGGTCCGACTGGGCCTCCACCATCCTGGGGATGGTTGGAAGGGATCCACACTTAGTCACAGATTGATGATTACAAAACCCACACCCGTTCATGACATCTTTTAGCTGATGAGAAGAATGGGCGCAAGAAACTCATCCGCATTTCACAGAAGTAGCAACATTTACAAAATAGTCATGTCACCGACACCAATACAACATCCGCTCACATTTTGATTGCTGTGTCATCTTCTATCTTTATATATATAATTCTTCTGTGAGTGTGTATGTCACTGAACTTCTCTTAAACGACTGGACCGATTTTGATGAAATTTTTTGTGTGTGTTCAAGGGGATCTGAGAATGGTTTAGATTCACAATTTTGTCCGCTGGACAACCCCTATTTTTTTAGGGCGGTACGAAGTTCGCTGGGTCAGCTAGTAGATATATAAAAATCAATTGCTGTTCGTTAGTCTCGCTAAAACTCGAGAACGGCTGAACAGAATTATCTTATCTTGGTCTTGAAATGTTCGTGGAGGTCTAGGGAAGGTTTAAAAGGTGAGAAAAATTCGAATAAGTGCGGGGATAATTCGAATAATTGCCGGGCGGTACGAAGTTTGCCGAATCAACTAGTAGACTATAAATACAAATACTATTTGGCCCATTTTTAATTTTTTGTGAAAGGAGACCACCTCTCAAAATCTCTCAGTTGAATGACTGAGAGATATTGAGACTAGGTCATAAAACATAGAAATATTATAGAAAAATATACATCAAACCACTCACCTGATTACTCGTTGCTTAGCGCCCGAGTTGAAGGCGCCCCCTTGCTGCGCCGGCGTATACCGGATGTATTGCGCAGGCGCCTGAAATATCCACGCACTATCAACGACATTATAGAAACTGGAGTGCCTTCATTGAGAAGGATTCACTTTGAATTACATATTTTAGAACTTTCGCTTAATTGTAAACCCTCGTTTACAACAAAAAACAAGTCATATACAAGTTTTACGCAAACCTTGTAGAATACTTGTTGAAAACATTCTTTTGTTTATACTGCATAGGCAACTAGTTTTATTTTTCAAGTATAAATGACTATTTACTTCACATATTTTGTTTATCCAACAAGTTTGATGCTATACTATGTATGTAAGTGTGAACAAAAAATGAAGACATTGTAAAAAAATTGCTGTATACATGTATTATACCTTGCTTGGTGTAAACGAGAGGTTTACTTTGTAAGTAAATATATATTTGACCATTAGTATTATATAAACACGTAAAACATATAAAAAACAATCGGAGACAACTGTTTGTACTCTTGAATTTATGAAAATTAATTATTATTTAAATTGTGCTATACAATAGTATTAATTCATTCATTTGAAAACATCAACAATGCACCTATTTGTAAAATGGTGACTAAGTAAACTATTACATGTTTTTTAAATTTTATTTAGGGATAATTGCTATTTGTAGTTTACAATGAAGCAGAAACAAGATATGGTTTAAATTTTATTTGTAAACTTATGTGTAATTTGGAAAATAGAGCCTTAAAAACTACAATTAGTTTATAAAATAGATTTAGGTCTACCCGCTTTACTAATTTTATTCAAATATAAGTAAAGACACACATCACACTATTCATCAAGTGTTTGAAAACATGATTTGATTTAAATATCATTTAAGAACATAGGTGCAAGTAGCCTTTAATCTATTATCATAAAAATCAATAATTCTAATGGGGAAATTGCTGTTACAGCTTAAAAAATCCAACTCACAGCTTTTGGTGCAGCTTTAACGGGCATAGCAGCTGATATTTTAGCATTTGTCAGTTTCTCCAAAGCTAATTTGGTCTTCTCTGTGATATCTTGTATTTCATCATCATCTGGCTTCTGCAGTGTCGGATCATCTTCTGCTAGAACTTCAGATGGCAACAGATCTGTCAGCTTTGAATAGATAATCTGTGGAAGAAAAGATGTATTTTAATAATCATACTTTTTGTGTAAATTTAATTGTATAAAAATTAATTGTATTTGGAATATTTTTTCCTTAAAATAAAATTTATTAGATATTTTTAATTTTTGCAGAATTTATAAATTAGCTAATCCCTTCTTAACAGAAATGTTTTAGATTTGTTTGTAGATTTATGTCCATAAGACATAAATCTCTCTGGTTAACAAGCTTGTCAACATAATTGGTAATAAATATCAATACATCACTATTACATAACTATGTACTGGAGTGCCTTCAGAGGGCAGTCCTAGTAAATATAAACTAATATTTACTAGAACAACAAAAACAGTTTCTTTAAAAGTCTACCTCCGTATTGATGACCTCTGTGGCAGAGTGGTATGAATGCCGGGTTTCAAGGTGTCGCCTACTCGAGAGATCCCAGGTTCCAATCCCAGTGGGGGCAGATGTTTGTGTGATGAATACACGCATTTGTACTCCAGTCATGGATGTTTAATATACTATTTCTATATAAACATACTTACATATGTATCGGTATATGTATTCTATCCATAGCCCTAGTATGCCATAACACAAATGCTTACTTTGGGGCTAGGCTAATTGGTGTGAATGGTGGAAATATATATTTATTTTATACTTTTACCTTGTCAGCACTGTGGCCTTGTCTTGCTATTGCAGAATACTTGACTCTTCCTGACTCATCAAGTTGTACAGCAAGTGCATTGGAAGTGCTCTCTTTGCCACGAGCACCCATTCCCAGTGGATACTGAGCAACATGGATCTCGGGAAAAGCACCCCCATCTTAAATAAGAAATTATTGCTCATAAAATTGAACATTATGATAGAGTGTAGACTTTTGTTGCCATAGCAAACAAATAAATACCATCCTGGCAGCTGGATCCAGCCTGGTCTAACCTTATTTCTTTCGCCTTAAAAGCTGAAGAAAATGTGTCAATGTGACATAAAACATCTATTTCCCAACTATGAAAGGAAAATGATAGGGGAGAGAGAATAGGTTACACAATACAGCCCCTAGTCCAATAGTAGTTGTTAGCCACAATGAATAGTACAAAGAATCTTAGTTAACAAGACATTTGCGAAACACTGACTAGACACCCTAATGATGAATTAATCCTTTAAGAATGTTAATATCTACCTCCAAAATCTTCTTCTGCTCGAGGAACCCATCCTTTCCTCTGTCCATAGGGTGGTACACTACTCTGTGACACTACCAGCGCACTACCAACACGTCTAGCTTTTATCTCATCATCGCGATCCCATACCTGCTGCGTAGGAGCAGGTAATAAGCTGAAAATAAGAACATTAGTAATGAGATTATTCCTTCAATGTTTTTTTTAATAAAGTTGACCAAAAGTACAGCCTTGTGTACTATGACTACATTTAAATAGATAACAATGATAGATTATTTAATTTATAAAGGAAATATCTCTAAACACACAACTGATGAAGAAGGGGAAGATCGAAAGCGAGATAACTTGTTGTGAACAATTTATAGGAAAATTTAATTTTCTGATAAAATGTGTTTACAAAGGATCTTTTTACTGTAACATAATATACGAATGAAACAATGGAGCTTATGAAATAAAAGCTAAAATATTTATTTTGCACAAAATCAACACACCTAGACAGTGAAGCCATTTTGAATGACTGATTTTATTCGTTCAGAAATGACGTAAATACAAAAAGGTTATTGAAGAAGAAAGAAAATGAAGACGAGTGATGTGGAAGACAAACTTCGTGAAAAGTTTTCTTGAAACATGCTACTTTTCTGAATAGGATTACTCAGCGATAGATACGTATTATTTCCTGTGAATATTTTAAATATCAGATATCATAAAAAAGTAAGTTTCTAAACGAACCAAATTTATGCCTTTCGTTTTCTTTGGAAGCTAGGGAATTAAAACATACAGCCTAATTTGTTTATAAAAATCTATTAACAACAAATAAAAGAAAACGCATTTCTTTTATTATAATTAAATCATTATTTTCAAACAATATTTTGAGTTGATATAACATGACTTGAGAAGATTTATAGTAATTTACCTCTAAAAGATGTAATTTAGAGCGTAAAATCTGTCAGATTCGTATATATATGAAGTAGGCTGCGAACGTCCCCCTTTTATAACCTCAAAAATGCGCGAGAAGTATCACTGACTGATGGTAAAGTGAGCTTATTTTATTAAATAATTGGTGTAAAAGTGAACATAAAATTAAAATGCCGTCGAAGAAAAGAAAGTACAATGCAAGATTCCCAGCGGTAAGCCCAAAAACCACTCAAATAGGGTGTTGATATTGAGAAAATAATGATTGTTTTCATCAAGAAATTTAAATATATTCGTGATATCATGACATTGTTTATTTGTAGGGGCGAATCAAGAAGATTATGCAGACTGATGAGGAAGTGGGGAAAGTCGCTCAAGCTGTACCAATCATAATTTATATCCTTTTCAATTGATCCCTGTATTTGGATGTTTTATTGACTCCAAACATTATATTAATATATAGTGTTATACTTATTAGGGCTGATAATAATAGCCTGAATCGGTACGATACACTCATGGTGAGTTCCCTTGTTGGTTTAGGATTAATCATTATTCATTTTCCTATAATGGTTTGGGTATGATTGTGATTATTTATGTAATAGTAAGTTGTGGTGGTATGAGCTTTAAAACTATCATGCTCTTATTGTTTTATAAAGTTGAAAGGTTATATAAGATTTATAAAGGACCTTTACATATATTTTTACTCACATTTGACAAGTAGACACCTAACTCTTTTATCCATATAATATCTCATAGAATCCTTAAAATATGCCACATTATTTCATCATAATTGTCATGTTTCCATAAGCCACTTCTATAAGATCATAACTTAAATCCAAAATCCAGCTATAGCTGTGAATAGATTGTGCATTTTAAAGTAATATAATACATATTTTATCAACATGGTACTTTTGAATGTGCCATTTGCAGTTGATAATTCATGTTAATATCCCTATGATATTTCACTGTTCCAAATGCATTTGAAAATATATTTAATAACCTTTGCTTTGAGTTCTTTGGGGTAGGACTGAAGCCATTCTTCCCATTTGGTACCTATTTACATTCAAAATAGGCACCAAAATATTATATTGCCAGCTGAGAAGAATAAAATTATTAAATGGAGAAATTTTAACCTTCATTACACACTTCAAATAGGTATGCCAGACCCTTCTGGCAAAAAAAAAAGTGGTTTGCGTGATTTTTCTCTAAAAGCCAATAAAATTTACTGTTGAATACATTAAAAATATATATATACTCAATGATGGTAAAACATATTTTCATTTTTTTATTTTTAAATTGTTTCAGCAATAAGAATCCATACATACTGAGCTTAATTTATCCTATACTTATGTTCTACTTATTTAAATAAAAAATTTTGATTCCACTATGACGCAACTTTCAGTGTTACCGGCTCTCTGCCTATCCACATGTGGTGGACATCCCTTACCACTTAGGGGTATGAAAAATTTATAGTAGCAGATTCTCAGCCCTACTGAATATGCATATAAAATTTCATAAAAATCGGTCAAGCCGTTTCAGTGTAGTATGGTAACTAACATTATGACTTGAGAATTTTGTATATAAGATATAACAGAGGAATGCCGTTTCAAAATATTAACAAAATTAAGTAAAAATAGTTTTATTTTCGAAAAGTACTAAATGTTAGTATATTTTTAATGCAGTGCATGTTTTGTAATGAGAAGATGTCCGTAAAAGTACCCCTATTGCATTAAAAACAATTTTTACTTCAATTACTTGACATAAATATTGACGTTTTGCCATTCTTGTTGTTTCGATTTTAACAGTTTAGGACTCCTTTGTGACCCAGAATGACGAAAAGATTCTAACAAATTCACTTCACACACATCAAAATCGCCTTAGGCGTTTAGAAGTTATGGTGGAATAAAGGACACACATACATATACATCAACCCCTGAAGCATTACGCTCTTTTGGGCAAATGTGTAAAGAAAGGAAACAAACCTTTTTAAAATCTTTCATTGATCACTTTCTTATTTATACTTCGTTAAATGTTAATAGGTATAACAATCAACCCCCGATACAAAGCCTATTGACCCCTAAAGGGGTCTATCCTTTGCTCATTAATGTTATCTTTCGCAATGCAATATTAAATATTCTTGATTTGTAACACATGATAAATTGGTATCATGTGTAATGATGTATTGGTAACAACTCATTTTTATGTAAATGTCGCCACTTTATAAAAACTCCACCCACACTGTTATAAATAAAGTTGTGCTCAGTCAACTTCAATAAGTTTATTTTCAGTTCATTTCTATGGATTCCTTTCCTTTGAATCATGGATTAACTTGAATAAAGTTTATTTCTATTTTATTTCTAGGGACGCCCTTCCTTTTAGGTAACACTGCCCCTCTAGCATGATCACCGAAACGGGATATGATAAAGCGATATATCGGCATTAACTGTCAGACTACAGTGGAGTTTGACAGTAGTCCCTTTTCGGTGTTCATGCTATAGGGGCTGTTGCTATAAATTTATATTTGTATGGTTGTTCACACAGAAGCTTAGCAGGTTTTAGTATAATTCTCCTATCATTTTTGAACTTTAATGGGTGGGCTAATTAATTTAAATGCATTAAAGAACTTTTGACAAATTGTTGTAAGATGAGGAGCTGTTATCTGTATTTATTACATTAAGAATAACTATGTCCAACATCAATAGAATACCTGTACAGTTACAGTAAGCGCCACGAAAGATGAGACTTGACGGGCGCCGTGCCCCGCCTCCCACACTCTTTCCACCCAGCGCCCGGTCTCTTCCCACCTCAGACCTCATACCACTAAAGATACCTTTAAAACGCCTACTGCTCATGTCAAACCACGTGGCGCGTCAAGTCTCATCTTTCATGGCGCGTATTGTACTTTGTAGAGTTTAATCATTATCGTTTTTCTCTATGTGTTGCAAGAATTATTTTTAATTAATAGTATAAAATCTACAGACGCTTTTTTTATGCTAAGTTACGATTTTTTTCTTGTATGTTACTTCACGCCTCTCTAATCAAAAACAGTACAACAAACAGACTACTTAGTAATATTTGCCATCCTGGAAGTGCCGCTAGCGGCCTTCAGCTGTTCGCCTATTTTTATATAATTATGTTTTAGGGGGGCATATGACCTGACGGCCCACCTGATAGTAAGTGATCATCGTCGCCCGTAGACATCTACAACACCAGGAGTATCACAAATGCTATGCCGGCCTTTTAGGAAGAACTATCTACGCTCTCTTTTTGAAGGTTTTCGGGTCGTATTAGTCCGGAAATGCTGCTGGTGACAATGTATTCCACAGTTTTGTCGCCACTGCTAAGCATTAACTCTATGAGTCATCAATTCAGTGAATCCTTAACTCAGCCACGTTATATCAACACCTCGTACCCTGGAGTTGTTCGTGGAGTCACTGCTGAGCAAAGCCATGCAGGTGACGATGGCGAGGAACGCTCGGACCCTGAGCCCTTCGCACGTGAAGCAGTGTATCCTGGCTGAATCGCGGTTCGACTTCCTACGAGACTTGGTGAGTCACTTTATGCTCAATTCTGGGTCACAATCGATCTTTATAAATAGAGAGGACACAGAGCCCTCCTCGAATCGGAAGGCCCATTTGAGGAAGCAATTTTATAGGAGTCTGTCTATAGCCAGATAACACAGTTATTTATTATTGTTTTCTTGATGTGAGTATTAAGGCCTGTTTTCAATCAACCACTCAAGGCCGAAGTCCGCCGATGGGACTGAAACTTAATATCGTATTAAGTTTCTTACCCCTCTGTGCTTCGGAAGGCACGTTCGCGCTGTACTGGTGATTGGTAATCAACGATATTAATACTTAGATTAAAACAAAAAGGGTAGATGCGGCACTCGCGGTTCAAAAGTGATCCGCTTAAATTGTGGTGCATGACCACAATTCGCTGTAGTCACAATTGGCCATTCAAACACGCTGCATGTACACTCAATATAACAAAATTGCGTATATTCTGTGTTATAAAGATATAACAATGCCTTCGCTGATTTTATAAAGAACACAAACAGTTAAAAATCAAATAACAAATGCCTCGGCAACATTTCTCATTCGAAAAACTGTAAAATCATTTTTTTCTTAAAAATCACGGTTTGTCGTGAATCGCCATTTTGTTATTAAGAAAAGGACAACAATACAGCTCAGCCGTTCTCACTCGGAAGTTGATTCGCCGTTTCGCTCGCTCTGTGTTGAAGCGTACAGTTCTGTCTCGCTCGCTCGATTGAATGTTTATTTACAGACGTGTGCGTGTGTGAGAGTTGCTTATGTAGTTGAGTCAGATCAGTGGCGTAGCATGGGGGGGGGCGGGGGGTGCGGTCCGCACCGGGCGGCACTTTGCCGGGGGCGGCGCTGCGGAGGTGGCAGATAGAGAAAAAAAATTAAAATATAAAAAAAAGTTAATTTCTTTCAGTTTTTTTTTCGTCATTTTTTTGTTGTTGTTACCAAATACCCAGGTACCTATGCAGGTTCTATGCATGGGTGATGCAATCGCAAGGTTTTCTCTGTAATTTTTCTAAGTGATATTGTGATAGTCTACCTTCTACTCTATATCAAAAAATGTTAATTTCACTCTTAGGTTAGTGTTATTCAATAAAAGTACTCTTTTTACCATGCCTCAATTTTTTTTTATAATGGATTGCAAAAATAAGAGGGCGGCAAATTTGGAATCCGCACCGGGTGCTAGTGACCTATGCTACGCCACTGGTCAGATCATATTTTATTTGATGCCAGTATGAGCGTACTGTATCTTCCCTTTTTGTTTTAATCTAAGTATTAATATCGTTCTTGGCAATGCGCTGTTCTATTGATTCCAACCATAGGGAGGAGTATTAACATCAGACTTAGAGTTCGAATCCTTCTGTGTTACGTTTGACCTTTGGTATTATATGGATGCGAAGCATGGACCATCAAAGAGGACACCAAGAAAGGCCTTGAAGCTTTCGAGTTGTGGTGTTATAGACGTATGCTCCGAATATCTTGGACGTACAAGATCTCGAACGAGATAGTATTACAACGCGTCGGTAAAGCTCGACAACTGCTACAGGTTATCAAACGTCGTAAAGTTGCATACCTGGGTCATGTGCTGAGACACGAACGATACGACTTATTGCAATTGATAATGATGGGCAAAATTGAAGGGAAACGACGCTTTGGAAGGCGTAAAAAGTCATGGCTCCGAAACATCCGAGAGTGGACCGGGATCGCCAATGCAGGGGAGCTCTTCCGTTTGGCGCAGAACCGAGAGGAGTACACAAAGTTAACGGCCAACCTCCGTTAACGGAGAGGCACCAGAAGAAGATAGGGAGGACAGTTCGCGATTTCCGAACGTGGAAATTAGTTCAGGGAGGAGCTCGATGGGGCAAGTTGTTAGCGCGTTTGGCTGCGATCGTTTAAGTTAAGGCACTCTCGCAGTGGTCGGTTATTGGATGGGTGATGAAATATGTACTATCTCGACCTCCTTCGTGCTTCGGAAGGCACGTTTAGCCGCTGGTCCCGGCTGCATCTGCAGTCGTTAACAACCACCAATCTAAACTGGACCCGCGTAGTGGGTCATGGCCCAATTTCTCTACTTAATCCATAGGGAAGGCCTGTGCCCCAGCAATGTAGATATTAATAGGCTGATGATGATGAACATGGAAGTCATAGAACTCAATAGTTAGTCATTGGATGTGTAAAAAAATCATTATCTCCTACGTGCTTCAGAGGCCACTACAAACCGACGCCTTAGCCGAATCTGCAATAATCCGGGTGCTAACACCCGCAACTCCGCACTGAACCGCGTGGTGGGTCATGGCCCAATCAGCCTGTGCCTTAGCAATGGGGACATTAATAGGCTGATGATGAACTGAAATAATGCTTTAATCAAATTGGCTTATTGAAAGCTCTTTTGAATCGTCCAATATTTTTTCCTAACACCGACCGATTCAGGACATCAATACATTCAGACCCCTCTTTCCCAGTGGGCACTTTGGGCAAGTGCCCAGGGCCCCGCGATCGATAGGGGTCCCCCTCAGATCAAATACAAAGTCCCTAGTTCCTGTTAAATCACCAAACGGGGGTCATAGGGGCCCCATTATCCTAATATGCCCAGGGCCTCCAATAGGTCAAAGACTGCACTGAATACATTTCATACTTTTATGATGTACTTATGTTACTTACAGGTAAAGAACATTCCAGATGTTTCTGCCGCTGAGGAGAAAGAAATGATGAGCGCAGAGAACTCTCCTAATTCTTCAAGGTAATAAATGAGCGGATACATACATACACACAGAGACCATATTGGTGTGTAATAAATTGAAATAAATAAAACATTAATATTTCCTACACTCACACCAGTGAGCCTAATCCCAAAGTAAGCATTGGTGTCGATTCTGGCATGATTCTCTAAACTTAAAACTCAATTTAACATCAGTCTCTTCCTTTCATTCTGTATAGAGAATGACAAGGATACACTGTTGTCAATTTAAAGTTTAGGTTTAGAGAATCATGGTAGAGTCGACACCACTAAAGGTACAATGCTGCAATGGGCTGTAGACTGCAACCACAGGCGACACTGCCGCAGGCTACGCGCCGCGGCTGCATACCGCAATGTCGCCGCGCTCGGAATCAATTTCATAGAGATTCATAGAAACTATTAGTGTCGCCGGCAGTCTGCAGCTGCGACCTGCGGTCTGCGGTTCAGTTCGGACTTGTACCTTAAGACTTCGTGTCATGGGAAATTACACAATATTGGTATGTGAGAACCCCTCCCGGTTCTAAATTATAATGCCAGTTCACGCTTTACAGTTGGTAATCGCCACACAGTCCACATAGGTCTCACAAAATACTGACTGAGCACTATATAAGTCCTTATACAATCATACACGAGCACTTACACTTTGATCGCATTGGTAATCGTTCCGAAAACGCTTAGATTCTCTGCGGAAATAGAATGGGCGTGACGAAAAACGGAACTAACATTAAGATTTTTATTTGGCAATCAAACCCAGCAAACTGTAAAACGTCAAAGTTTTGTATTGATACGGATTTGTTTGTTGTTGTGATTTCTTGCGGTTTTTTGCATTTAATCATGTCTAAAAGGGGTAAAACCTTACAAATACGGTAGAAAAGCACTACAGCGCCCTCCAATCTAAATCCCATTCTCTTTCCGCGCAGACTCTACTCCCTTATTAATAAACGAAGACTACGCTTGTATTAGTTACTTCTTTTTTTTTCTTTGTCTATTGAATGACAAATGCCATTTGAATGACATAACCAAAACATGGCGTAACTTGTCTAAGCTTATTCCTTGTTTATTAATAAGGGGTTAATGAATAAATAATATCTAAATTAAGAAACGTTAAATTTATTTCGGTTGACTTAAGACTCTTATGATCTTCTTAGATATTTAAACCTTCTAAATTTATCCCCTGTTTATCTTTGTCAGCGCAAGTGGCTTGAAAAGGTTACTTTAGAAGCCACTGTGCTGCCAAAGATCTAAATATTTGACTGTTTTCTTATTTCTTTGAAATTTACCCGTTAATCTACACTTTAAAAAAACTTAGAAGTTTCTGTTCCTCAGATTCCCCGAAGCCACAGCGCCACCACGGAGGGTAGTCAGAGAAGACTCAAACAGCTCAAGCAGCTCAGAAGTCAGACCTCTCTCATCTGCAGTCAAAGACAAACTAAAGAAGGTCTTATCCGTCTTAGACACAGAGCCCAAACCGCACAGAACCGAAACTGTCACCTCCACAATAATCTCAGCAGACACAGCCATTGACCTAACTAAAAGACCGCTCGAAGAGAGACCTGTACGGACGGCGAATTTCTACCAAGAAACCCTCCTAACCGAAGAAGTACCGCACAGAAGCGTCATAACCCTAAATCCAACCTACGCGAGCCCTCAACCTTCGACCAGCTACACGAATTTGACCCCTGTGGAACCAGTCCATAAGATCGAAATCGCCGTGCCTAACCAAGAAAGCTACTTCCTAGATTTAAAAGCTACTCCGTTAACGCCCAGAACCCCCGTCACACCAAGGACTCCTGTGGCACCAATTTTAAATATAGACTTCTCCAAAAACTTGGGGAAGCCAGAAATCAAAGTTTTGGACAATGCTGTTGCTAGCATCGTTGGTGTTCAAAAGGAGACTGCCAAAACTAACATGAAAACCAATAGACAGAACTCTAGAACTAAGTCGGAAAGTAGGAAAGTTGAAACTAAACTACCGTTACCACAGACCCAACCTATCGATATAGACCATTTAAATTCGGGAAATCTACAAATTGACGAAGACTATGATACCTGAACGTGTGATCTGTAAGGCTCTGGAATTGTGTGTGTTTCTGTTTTTGTTCATTGTGTATTTTGCTTAGCACGACATTTTTTGTTGTTCAAAATTAATTATTCGTTTATGTCTTTAAATTAAGCATTTAATACTAATTAAATTATAGACTGTCGGATTTCCTTTTCGGGCTATAATTAGGAGATTATGAAATCGGTGAGCTCTTTTAAAGATTCAACAAAAAAAACTGTCGTTTGAAATGAACTTTTAATACTAAACTTTGTCCATAGTCTGTTCCGTTATTTTTCTATTTAAGTATTTAAGGAAATTTAGGCCCGTAATGTGTAATTGTGGACTGGTCTTATTTGCTCAAGTTATAGTTACATTATAGTAAAGGTCACGTAAACTAACAACTGTAATAGCCTTTATTACGTAGCAAAAAGAGCGATATTTGTAAAGCAAAAAAGTATAGCTACTGTCGTGACCTTCTTTGGTACTATTTGATACGAATAAATTAAATAAACCTGTCCACATTAAAAATAAATGTTGATTAAACTATTAATTGTTCTACTTGTTGTAATACGAATAGAAGTATTTCAATATGGAAATAGAATACCAAGGTAACTATTATGTTGTTCAGTCATTTGTGAAATATGTATTTTACATCTTACCAATATAAGTGATTTTTAGTTAAATTTAACATTATTAGGTACTGACAGAAATGAGTGCAATTGTGGGATTAGTGACTCCTTTAAGATCATAATCGATTACATACAAACCTGTATGTTTATGAAGTCTATTTATGCTCGTAAAATTATGATCAAGCCATTATCGCCTCTGTTAACTGAAAATAAAGATGTACCTTATCACTGTGCACAAAAATAGTAAATATTGTTTCTATGGGCACCTATAGAATATACCAAAAGTTAATCTTTCTGTTTAATGCATCATAAGACATATTTTCGAACTTTTGATTTAATTTAGAACAAAGGACTATACGATTAAAATTATCTTATAAAATTTTAGTAAATAAATATTTAGATATTTAAAATAAGTTCCCTTTCTTATAGAAACAAAGTAATTTAAGTAACTTTTTTTCGTTGTTTTGTTGTTTACCATTTTAGGTAGGTGGTATGATATTTAAACTTTATAATGTGAGTATAAAAAGTTGACAGCTGTTAATTGCAAAGCGAAATATCACTTATGTCAATAGCACGAGAGTTCAACTATAATGGCACCAAAACATAATGTCGATGTGATAAATTATGGTCAATTCTTACTAGCGCAGAACAAAACATATTCACCAATATCTTCGCAACGTAATGTAGGTACATATGTCTTCTGAGCAACGAAATAGAAATGATATGGAAGCATTATTATGTAACAAGGGCCGCTAACATCAAAAAACTCCGCAACTAAAACTAAACTCCAAAAGCGACACGCACACAGACAAAACAAAATAATTTGACAAATCAAATAACTGTAAATGCATTCGGATATCCATTCATTTGGTAAGATAAAATCCCAACCAATCCCATGATCGGCGTGCTGTTCGCTTTTTTTCACCCCACCCACATAAACACAGTTTCTTAGAGCCCATTAGAACGAACGGTTTTATCAAAGTACGTTCTATTTTAAGTTCTGGATGTCGGACGTAAAGTAGGAAATCCAAAGAGCACTACAAAAGAGCTAATTTCAGGATTTTAACGGGCATCGAAAAAGCACTTTAACTTACAAAAAAGGCCTTTATTCTAATCAGGATATTTCATAATCAATAGACACGCGGGAAGCTCTCTAGCTCGACATAACCACAAATGAAAATTACTTCAAATAAGGTAACGTATAGTTGAGCATAGACAAGGATCCCTGCGCAGTAACAATTTTACATACAAAAACGTCTACTGCGCAAGTTTACTTGTCTATGGTTTTGCTCAAAAAGTTTGCCGGGATGTATATCCATGAAATAGTGTAGTCAAGTCCATGTAAAATAAAGTAACTTAAACCAAGTAGATCGTGCACAAGTTTCTAGTCGATTTCATTGGAAATGAACTCAACTCTCTTAGACACAAAGTTCATTTTCAAAGTTATAAATATTCAACCAATCGCAGTCTAATAGCCAGTTTTAATAATTAAACTTCAGTAAAAGGTAAGGATAATCTGGTTCCGTTTCCTAGCAACAGTTGTTATTATAATCCTAGATTTTAAAAAATATCTAGGAAATAAATTTTTAACACTGGGCATAGCTGATTTTCCGCTCGAATTAGAGCGCCTGTCTTAGGAAGTGACCTTCAACTTTCAGAAGACAACAGTAAAATAACACTACCTTTTGGTGGTGTTGTGTTCATATTCGATATAACCCGACTGTTGACGACCTCCGTGATCGAGTGGTTTGTACGCCGGCTTTCATGGTGTCGCCGACTCAAGAGGTCCTGGGTTCAAATCCCGATGGGGGCAGATGTTTGTGTGATGAAAACGAGCATTTGTACTCCAGTCATGGATGTTTAAAATGTATTTTCTATATAAATATACTTATATATGTACAGTATATGTATTTTATCCGTTACCCTAGTATCCCATAACACAAGCCTTATAGTGCTTACTTTGGGGCTAGGCTAATTGGTGTGTGTTGGAAATATTTATTTATTATTTTATATTTTTTTATTGTGCCGATTAATGCCGGCCAGCTCATGTGTGTCGTTACCCTCTCTGTCGGTGAGTAAGGTTTCATGGCTCCACGGAGTAGGGGATTGGGTCAGGGTAGGCAACGGTGTGAGTAATATTTTTTGTATCGCCAGCGTCTATAGGCTATGGTGTCCACTTACCCTCAGGCGCGCCTTTAGTTTGTTTGCCACTATTTTAACATAAAAAATCTAAATAACAACTGGTTGGAAAGAAACTGAACCAGATTATCATTGCCTTTTATATTTCTCGGCACGTTACTCTAGCGCTGAACAAAACGCGTCAGGGATGCGCGCAAGGAGAGCCAATCGGCGCAACGCACGCCCACCCGCGCACCTCGTTTCCCCCTAAGACATCTTAATTTTTACTACTGCGCATTAACGGTCAGCGCTAGTTTCGTGCCGCGCAGTGGTGTAGCATAGTGGGGGCGGCAGGGGCGGCACTTCTTAGGGGGCGAATTTTTTTTACATTAAATAATAAAAATATTACAACCATTTAAATAAGAGGGCGGCAAAATTGCGGCCGGCACCCACGCTACGCCGCTGGTGCGTCGACTTATATTAAAAGGTATGATATGATTTATTAAAACTGAACGTTAATTGCAAATTAACCAACAGTTATTAGTTTTTATATAAGAATGACATTTTGTTTTTGTTTTTTTAAGGTACAAAAATAAAGTAATGCCGTTTAATGTTATCGTTTGGGCAGTTTTTGCGAATCGATATTGGTGTTACAGATTTTTCTTTTACAAAGTTTATGCTAAGGTCCTATGATATTGTAAAAAATATGATTACGTGTCTTTGATATCAATTTTAGTTACGTACCATACAGTTCATGCTAAACTGTACTGTAGGTACACAACTCCTTGATGTTTTAGAAAAAGAAATACCTTGTTTATTTGAGTGTAACAACTATATGACAGTAGTTTAGTTATATAACAATTTAACACCAATTACTTGGATAAAGCTTTGTTTCACATGTTTTGTAAACGCGTCATGCCAACACTTAACTTGCCTATTCTTATTTGTTGTTTGCAATCTTGACAACATGCTGTCCCTATCATGATTTATAAATAATGAAAAGGACAGACTGATCTCAAATATACAAATAGCAAACACGAATAACCAAGTGGCACTTCACTTATTTACTTGAAAATAATTAAGAAATAAATACAACATTGGATATCATCACAATAGCTTTGAGTTGTTTGTTACACTCAAATACTTTTCTACGTGAGTGTGTAGAATGTAATGTAAATAAAGTGTATGTCAGTAAATAGTTGCTTAATGTCCGGCGAAAAAGTAGCAAGCGATTTTGTTACTTATAACAACATGAATTAAGAATGTTTTTCTATTGTCACAGCTCATACAATTTTTAAATCACAATGTCGGTATATAGTTTCCGCCGCTCTGCGCCGGACTCTAGTTATAAATTGATATGTGCGTAGAGTGAAAGAAGCGTTTTGGCAATAAAATGTTGATTCACATACAAAAAACGACGGTTAGTCGAAGAATTTAAAGTCTTATTTTTAAATTGTAACTTCTTTATTTCACTTCTAATAATTTTTATTGCCAACGCGTCGTATGAAGCTAATTAAAGCAATAAATGTTCGAAGGGTAAAAGTATACAATACTTTAGGCTACTGTGTACAATGCTATTATCTATGTTTATACTTATGTTGTAATAAATTATGATAGAAATACAGATTGGTGATACGTAATTCAGTGATAATTATTTTATTGCTTTAAACTTTCATGGTCACTTACATTATAGTAATATAAGTTATTTACGGGATTGTTACCATGTACCTTGTTTTAAGCGAGTTTCCGATATTTCGGCACTGTTGCAAGCGCCACGATCACGGAGTAACTGAACTAATTGCGGGTAGGCTGTTATTGGCAGACATATCGGTCTACCCTCCGACGAAGTCTTTTATTGCGTTCGATACCCGTACCACTGTTCACATTCTCACTAGTCACTCGAAACTGTTCTCGACACACAACACTTACAGTATCGGATCGCGACACGACACTTTTTTGACTATTTCTGGTTTTACACATACGAACCACAGGATTCCAGACAACTTAACTTATATTACTATGATAATTATTTTACCTTTATACTAACTACATTATTCTAAAACGGACTAAAGTTAGTCTTGGTTTAAACCTAATGTTGTCTTTGTCTTCATATTAGCAAACAAAAGTGGCAACATCGGTTTTACTCCAGGTTTAACTTTAGTCAATGTTTTGTAATAAGGCGGCTCAAGCTTCGTGCAGACAGCGCGCACATTGGTCCTTGTAGGCGGTTGAAAGCATTCCGCACTGGGCGCCAATCGCCTATCGGGTTAGCTATGGCTATCGCTTGAAATTTCATTTTGTTAATTCTGACCACCGAAGGATTTGAAATGCCTAGCACTCATTTTTTTTCTTTTGGTTTGGTTATAACAATATCAAAGAAAATGAGCGTGAGGTATTTGAAAACATTCTGCGGTCAGAAATAACAAAATGAAATCGTATGTGATAGCGATAGCCATAGCAATCCCATTTGGTGATTGACCCCCTAGTCCCGCGTGGTAGGTCAAAGTCCAGTCCATCCACAGGGAAGACCTGTGCCCCAACAGTGGGGACATTGATAGGCTGATGTTGATGATGAGTCGGTTGTAATGGATAGTTTTGTTTAATAATAAATGCTGTTGACTGACAGAGTGGCGGTCGGTACAGCCACAGAAAGAGGTTAGCAGGGTGATCGATCATAGACCCTTTGTACAGGAACCGATGTCGCCGGCTCGCCCCCACTACAGTTCCATCTAATAGGTAATGGCCAATCAGACGACGCAACATCAAACCATCGAACCAATCAGCGCTCACACTCGAAGGCGACAACGTAATCAGAACCATTTTTTGGCAGTTTGAACATTTGACACACAGTTAACTGTGGCGCGCCTGCCCTGACTACAAGGCCCTTCTAACCTCTTTCTGTTCTGTGGGTACCTACAGCTATTCGCGTATATGTACACGCGTGGATAGCGTATCCCGACTACGCGTAGCAAAAGCTCTAGCTATCCTTACCAGTGCCGTCTTTGACCTATTGGCCCTGGGCATATTAGGATAATGGGGCCCCTATGACTTCCGTTTGGTGATTTAACAGGAACTAGGGATTTTGTATTTGATCTGAGGAGGCCCTGGGCACTTACCCAAAGTGCTCAATGGGAAAGACGGGTCTCATCCTTACGCAGCTAGGGTTCACTTGCAACAAATCAGCTATCAACTTGATAATTAGCTGCTCTCTATTTTCTTGCTCCCTGTCCAGAACTAAAGAAAAGAGTACCTACAACTACCTAGTCATTCACGTATCAATGAGGTTTTTCAAGAAAATTCATGACACCAGTTGGCGCCACTGTAATAATGAGGTGTCCTTTCATATTTTTTTAACGTTCAGGTGTTCTTTTCTAAGGTCAGGAGCGTCGGCGTCGCTAGTTATTGGCGTGAATTCATCGCGCAAGCATAAATGCTTAGCTTATGCAAGCTTACAGTGCGAATCTCGCGGCGCGTGGCATCGGAACTAATTTTAGGGAAAATATAAATAAGGCTTTTGATTTTTTAAACGAAAGTGTAAATAACCCTTTTTATTTCCTATTACTCTTTCCCACTTATTGCAAATTATAAAGTTTCCTACAGGTAAGGGACTTTATGTATCTACTAAATAATATGCATTTCTTCAACAGCGCCATCCTTTTTAATGTCATCTAATTGTGTCCGGGATAAACTCAAAAAATACTGCATGGAGCTACTTCCAATTTGGCACGAATATTATTAAGTCGGGTCAACATATAGGCTACATATTATCACGCTATCCCTTACGGGGAACGAGCAGTGAACCTTTATTTCTAACTCAGAAACGGGTTTACCGCACCAGTTTTGGCAGTAAAACTGATACTGAACCGATTTTATAAATGAAACCATAAATGCCATCACATACAAAAAAACTTCTTTTTATTGCTTTTATTTTAAATTAAATTGATACCTAACAATAACACGGGTGCAAGTTTTACATGAACCTGCACTCGGGGGTAATTTTCAGTTGCAAATAACATGGTGTAACGTCCTATGGTAGCTCTTAAATCGTAAAACATCACGCTCATTTATACCGCCGCGGAATGGAAGGAATGAATTTTTTACAACGAAATTGTACATAACATAATGAACTTTATGTCAATCGCATAATGGTCAATTAATACTAGCGCCGAGTTGAAACGCTTCGAAGAGAATTTTCGTAAACGTAACAGAGCCTTCAGAGAAAGAAAGACGCGAAGTCAGCTGATTATCAGCTCCGATATAGGCATTTAAAATGTAATAATTTAGTCCCTTATTTCCGTAACGCAATGCACACATTCCGCATTGCGTTACGGAAATAAGGGGGAAATTGCTATATCTGCTTCTAAAATTTCCTTCAACGCACTTCGACTTCTACAAACTAAATACGAGCCTAAACAAGTCACACGTCTTCTGCGAATTTCCTTAGTTTTTAGCTCGTTAAGTTTATATGTTTCCTCGCAGCCCTAATTAGCCCTAAATTATTACATTTTAAATGCCTATTTCCTAGTAGTCCTACTGCGGTATAAACACAGCAGATTTTCCTAGATTATTTCGATCATGGTCTCAGGCAGGGCTCGAACCTGCGTGTTCCTGTCCAGGCGGATGCACTAGCCGCTATACTACTGTTACCGTTAGTGTATCCATCCGGAAAGCGGAAGACGCAGGTTCGAGTCCTGCCCGAAACATTCTAGGGAAAATGTTACATAATTGACATAAAGTTGATTATTACTATTCAAAATTCCGTTGAATAACTTCGCTTCTATTACATTCCGCGTCGGTATAAATTGAGCCTTAGCTAAACGTTGAAAAATTTTACGCAAACTTATTTTTAATTAGACAAATAAAAGGAAAGCCAATAAATTAATTTGAGTTAAGATTTTTATATGGGTATAACATCGCGTGGACGCGCACATTAGCATTTTATCATGGTGTCCATATAAATAGCCAAGACCCAGTGGGCTCTATCAGGGCATTTACGAGTACCTATTCATTGTTTCTGAATAGTTAAGTACTTAGTTCCTTTTAGTTCTTGTAGTGCCTGTTAGAGGCGTTGTTGTGCAATACATTTAGGAGGAAAAAACGCGCAGTGAGGTAGATACAATTATAGGAAATCGATTAGTCACTGCAGCAAAGCGCAGGCCACATTGAAAGCTAACGGCAACTTCTACCCCATTATTAATAAACGAAGAATAAGCTTGGATGAGTTACTCTATGTTATATTAATTAAAATAATTGTAATTATTGGAATGCAACTATTACTCATTTTTTTTTAATAATTTATTAGTATTTTACATGCTCTTCCGAGTGCGAAACATATGGAACTATATATTATTTACGAACTGTAACAAACAATTTTTCATGCAAATAAACTTTTATTTATGTTTTGTATCTGTTCATTAAATAAAAACTAGCACTTGAGTGATACAAACTAAACAGGGCAACACTAGTCTGAAGCTTACTCCATGTTTATTAATAAGGGGCAAGAGTTTAAAAATAAGCAACATATTATAAAAAAACAGCATATTTTAAAATATTTAAAGTTAGTTTGTTCAGGGCTTTGATAATGTATATCAAAGCCCTAAACAAACTAACTTTAAATATATGTATATTATACATTTTTAAATATACTATCTTCAATAAAGATGCAAATTTTTAATGACGACGTCAGAATTTTTTAACTATAAAAAATGTAATGAAGGGAAAACAGTGTGCAATGTAAATTATATGGAACATGCACTCGTTATTTGAGACCCCCAGATCTCGTTTAGCTATCAATGTGGCCCGCACCAATTTTTTAGACTAGCTATAGACAAAATGCCAAATGGCGTGTGCACCCGAATACCATTCATAAACCTACTTTTAACAAAATTTGAAAATATCTTAAATGAAATTAATAGCATCCAAAAGAACCTTGTAATTTAATTAAAATTAACTGGCAAGATATTTTATTTGTATTTTAATGGTTAATAAATTTGATGTTAATTACAATATTTCGGCACTGCCTGCCCATAAATCAACGGATTTTCTGAGATTCTTTTGTGCAGTTAGAAAAATTATGAATAATGTACAACAGCTTACATCTAAACATGTATTAACAAAGTGGACATACTAATATACCTACATAACAGTCTGTTGTGTTGCTTTCACTTAAAGCTAAAAATAATAGTGATCCTGTAGTGGTCAAAACAATATTTTGATCAGAATTAGACAAAATCAGCTTTAAGACAGATCTGAAATACAAATTAAGAATAATAATTACTAAGGGTGGTTTTCTAATAATGCCATAATTGGTTAGTATTGTATTTCTGTAAGGATTATTTTTCATTCATTAAATTGCATTATAAAATAAAACGTTTGATTTTAATATTTAACAAATGCTGGAAAATAAATAAAATACTGGTCTAGCTGCATAAAGACTCTTCTTCAGCTAGAACAGTATTTTATTTATATATTTGTTATGTATTTTTGACTAGCTATAGAGATAGCTAGTCAAAAATATTTCATTCTCTATAAAATAGATTAGCTATTTTATAAATATGTATTATTTGTATAGTTTACTTTTGGTCATCACCAAATCTGTCTTAAAGCAAATATGTTTTTTTGTAATTTATATTTTTGGGCATAATTTAACTAAAACATTTCGTAAATAGCAGAAATTAATTTGGCAATTACATCTTAGATTAATTATTTCAGATAAATTATGATATTGTATTAATACTGATTACAGTTACTTACAACATTTAAGTTAAATTGTATGATGGCCATATTTACATGGGTACAGAAAATAATTTAGTTAGGAAAATGTTAAGACCCGCATTATTAAATGTAAAATTAATTCTATGTTATAATATTATTATAATATAATACAACCATTACTCATAATCATAATAAATCATTGCTAAGCCTTGCCTAAAAGAAAATGTATCAAAATTAAAAACAAAATATTATGCTGGTGAATGTTAAATTTTAATTCTGGTAATTTAAATATTTGTGTAATAACACATTTATCTATTTTCTATTTATAAGCACCCTTATGTTATTTTAAGGCACATACAGTTATGATTTATGAGTTGAGATATTTCCAGTCATATTTTGTATATTCTATAAAAATTATACACAATAATTTGTATAATTTACGATTTACAATATAATAATAAAGGAAGACATCATAAAATACTTAACAGTTAGAAATAATTAATATAATTTAAATTATTACACATTTCAGCTGCTACGACTAATATAAGTTAAAATTACCTAATATGCATTATACCTACATCAAATACACCATCTTATTATACTCAAGAAATTTTGGAATGTAACACAAGTTGGCAGTCTTGATCAAAAATCATTTAAGTACTCAAACAGTGGGTGACGATTGGACTGTGATTACATCAGCTGTCTTAAATATTTATAAATTTACATTCTACCAACAAAATGAACTTGCAAGTTGATCATCAAAATTGGCTAATGACATGTCACAATATGCCTTATGTACACTGAATTCATCTCAAAATTCAGCTAAACTCATTTCCTTCATATAGACTCTCACATACCTCAAGTAACCTTAAAACTGGGCCAATGTTATAAGGAAACAATGACTTGGACACCAATCGACTTATCTGCAATCTTAGTCTGATCAAAACTCTCATTGTATCATCCAAACCCCTTGTGCCCCCTGAGTCTGCCTGCTGGCAAGTGTCTAAGAACTTGGGCCAATTTCTCCTCACATATTTCAGGAACCTAAGCAGGTACAGCAGAAAACAGGTCTCATTACTAACTAGATAATCTAGTAACACATCACTATCATGAGATACAACTTTGAGAAACTCAATGAAAGAAGAGATGGGATTCAACATAGGTATAAGATCTGGATACATAGAGTTTCTGTAAACTATACCACATGTAATGTCTAATGTGCACACCATTGATTCAATCAAATAATCATCCTGCTCACTGAAGAGATGGATCAACATTTTCGTGAATGGTGTCTCCGGATGAAACTCCAAGCTGTTCCTAATGAACACATCTAGCTTTTTCAATACATCTCTAATGGATCTCTCCACTATTTGCATATCCTGTATCGCATTATAGTCTGATGAATCAATTGAACTATCTGATGAGTCACAACGCATCTCTTTAACAGTAACAGCAACTGATTTCAGGACTAATAAAGACATTCTCTGCAGCATAGTTTTATCAACTTCATTTCTTGGCTGTGTTGAATCCTCATGGTCATCCTCTCCGTAACTTTGATCCACTAGTTGTATCATTGTAGATAACGGAGAAACTTCAGGCCCCAAGGAATAATCACGTATGATGCGACAGTTGTGACCCAAAAATCCAAAACCACTTCTACTACTCTGTACTCTTACATCTGATAGAAGCCTGAAATCTTTCACAAATCTCACAATGGAGTGAGCTAAACAACATATTTCCTCAGGTAATATGTCCTGCAAAGCTAAAGTTGAACCATAACACAAAACTTCATTGAAAAGACTTAATAAATGAGTATATATAAGATATGGAAGCATGGTATTCCTCAGTAAATCAACAAACCCTTGCAGATCAGCATAAAAGGGTTTTGTATCTATAACAGAGAGATTTGCTTTTACACTAATGATATTCTCCCACAAAGAGAAGAATGTAAGTATACAGTTTTCAGCATTCGCTAGATTCAGGTACCTTAGTAGCAGGAGTTTCATGTTATTCACTAGGACTGGCCAGTGGTGTTCCAAAGTCTTAATTGTTAAACATTTTATGTGAGATGTGTCGAATGACTCCGAATCTGTTAAGATAACAGTGACACATCCATTCTCATTAACCCTCTCTATCCTTGATTGTAGGGGTTCTGGGGATGCAGAATCATCTAAGTCTATACTGGACTGAGGTTCCACTGACAGTTTTAGAACTGGTTCGTGTAATTTGAAAGTTGTTGGCCTCTCCTCATGTGACCTGTCTTCCGTGGATGTAGAAGGGGTGGTACTATGTGTTTGCAAATTAGAGAATGCATTATGCAAATTACTACTCTGTGAACTTGAGGATGGAGTATCTGAATTATTACTGCTAGCACCGTAACCTACACTACTCCTGAAGGGATTATCCTCCTGTACATGCATACCTCCAGCTGAATTTATATAATTGCTGTCTTCTAATGGATGTTGCTCCACATCTTTCCATTCCACTATCCTTTTTATGATATCTAGACTGAAATTTATCTTTTGTACTGTTATCCTGTTGATTCTATCAAATAAATAAATGTTTTCAGCTATCTGTTGAAGCCAATTCTCATCTACTGTATCCTTAGAAACTATTAAAAAGCTGGCTAGCACTCTGCTAGCCACAAAAGTAATGAATTTACTTTTATGATCAGCTAATTCAACGACTTCAGTAATCCAGTCATGTTGGTTTCTAACAAAAATGTCACACGCTTGCATTACCTTTGAACATATGGTACCCGTGCTGTTTTGCTTCAAATAAATATCAAACATGAGTTGCATAGTCGATAGATATGTCAATGAACAGGTCAATGGCCATGATACTATGTTAAGCTGCCTGTCAAACAATTGAGTCACTAGGTTTTCATCAAACCTACACAAACATTGACCTACAAGGGCATCCTGAAGTAATCTTAGCTCAGAAAGGAGTTTGTCATCAGCAGAGCTCCAATGAGGTGCTGAACTTGAACATGATGGTATAATATCTGTGCTGCTGTCATTAGGGAGCCTTAAAATAGCTGAACAATCAACCGCATCTTCGCTTACGGTCCCACTGTCTGGAGACTCGCCGTTTCGGGAAGGAAACTCTTCACCGACTTCCACAGGGGTTCCAGAATCATATATGTCAGTGAGAACGTCCTCAGCGGAACGGTCACTCCCATCGTCAATATCAGGAGCATCAATCCTCTGCTTCTTTTTCACAGGTTGATCTGAAGCCATACCTTCATTTGCTGGTTCACAATGAATATGTTCCCTCCAAACCATTAACTTGCGGTTCTTGCCGATTGCAATCAATAGTGAACAGCGTTATTTGTAGGTAGCAATATAGTTTATCTCGTTGCAATCATCGTTCTGTAAAGAATAAAGTGAACATGAATGCATGACCTTTCTGATCAGCTACCTAATTACGCGGACGACAAAGCCATCGATTTAACGCATCACAGATGTATTCTTTTATGTTTTTATTGAAAGATAACGTCAATTTCAGGTCAAAACTACATTAGCTCAGTCATATTTCACTAAAATTATAAATTTATTAGATTATTTCGTTGAACTTTCCAAAATATTTTGATGGCATACATACCAATGTCAGAACGAGGTTGTCTGAACAGTTTTGCCATATGTGGGTATCCATATATTTTTGATAATCACTCACTGCAATCCAAATAACCATAAAAATGCACAGGTTTATGTATCAATTAGACAAAATATCGTATTTTTTTCGCTTCACGAAAGATCGTTGCCTCCATTACGTTCATGACGCTATATCAATTGACGTCCTTTTTGCTTTGGAATTTAGGTTCTTTTTTTAAATATGATCGATTGACAAAACAGAAAGTGATTACTTAAAATATAATTTCTTATTTATTAATTAATCAAATCATAAGTTTCATTATAAATGAGGTAAAAATTAATTAAATATAAATAGTTGGAACAGTAGCTAACTACCGGTTCCTGGTGTACTACGTTGCCAGTTGTCAAACAACTTCCGAATTTAGCAAATGCCAGTGTACACCTGTGCATTATATTTGACTTGACTCCTTGTATGGTGGTTCAGAGTTTAATAAAGGGTTCAGACTCTTTGATTAAATAAAATCGAGTTATTTATTTATTTTCACATGCAGCTAAGGAATCTTGCGGTAACAACCTTGTAATGTGACATAACAACTCGAGTTCAAAGCTCGCAAAAGACGATGCAAAACATTTCGAAAAAAAAGGTGAATGGCCACTTTAAGCTTAAAGCCAGAAACATATTAAAGTGTCGTGTCGTGGCGCGCCAGAAGCACATCTGTTTCATACATTTACTATGGTTAGAAACATATTTACGTGTCGTGTCGACGCTGTAACTTCTCTCTCTCTCCCTCCCTCTCTCTAACCCATATTGAATGTATGAAACGGATGCGTTACAAAACGCCACTTGATATGTTTCTGGCTTTAGTCAGAGTGATGGCGATTCCGGTATGATTCTCTATACCTAAACTTAAACTTGACAACAGTGTATCCTTTTCGTACTTTATACAGAATAAAAATGATAGACTGATGTTAAGTTTAGAGAATCACGATAGAATCACCAGTCAAGTCCTTAATAACCTTAATCTATGGCCATAAAGGTAATTTTCCGAACGCTTAAAAACTAGTATAAAACAGTTTCTCAAAAGCTTTGTTTCATTACTTAAGCTTCGAGCGAATACTTGCTGTGTGTGACAGGGATACTCGCAGCGAATAGCCGCTGCGACCAGTAAAAGTAAGACCGCACAAGGCAGAACTGCACTGCAGCTCTGCGACGCGACAGTACTAGATACAGTTCGGTATATCGCACTGAAACTGCAGAGGTGCTACACTTTTGTCTGTTAGTTGGTCGGTAACGACTAAACGCGATGGATGAAACTGATGTATAAAATTAATTTTTTTTCATCCATTATACACAAAAAAATTGCAGGACCGTCACGTTCTAACTTGTATGAAATATGAAGTGACGCATCGCGGTCGCACTGCATACTAAAACGCACCTAGCGGTAACGGAACTGCGCGTTGCGATCAAAGAGTAACATAAGTATAAGGTTGCGATACTGTGCGTCATTTTGCTCGGTTACCCAACTTTGTAGCGTCGTGTCGCGCAGCGTAGTCCTATTGCCGCGCAGTGCGGTATGTCTAATACATTTTCTTAGAAACAAACTTTTGAAGTGCAGTGTCTCGTCGCTCCGCTGCAGTACAGTTCCGCCTAGTGCGGTCTTACTTAACAGCCACAATTCTCTGCCTACGTGTCACACATAGTTACGAATTTCGATAGTCTGTAGGTGTGAAAATTTCGTGCAATATATAATAGAGCAGCGCTGAGCGGAATGGCTATGCAGTGTTGTCATCTGTTAGACCAAAAAATGAGAAGCGCGGAGAATAAAAATCTGTATGCTTGAATTTCAGTCCAATAAACTTGTCAACCAAGGTAGTTTAATGATTAACAAAGTTATTAAGATAAAGAAAAACTAGTTAGATGAAAAACATTTACGAGTACCTAATTAAGAATATTTTTGCAAATTAAATCACATGTTATTACTCTACTAAAAGTAATAACGTGTACTCTACCACTTTATTAAAAGTAGTACAACTACATTTTACTCGTTGAAATCACCAATTCGCTAATTCACTGTAGAATTAAACTGAACATTCGAATAATGAACAAACAACCCACATATCGAACTTCGATACGTACGGCCTCAGATTAGAAAGCAAAGTCTGCATCTGAGCGTACGTTTGCGGTTCAGTAAAATGTTGTTACTCGACCGAGAAGAAACAAAATAAGAACTAATCTTTATATATATAATTCTTCTGTGAGTGTGTATGTCACTGAACTTCTCTTAAACGACTGGACCGATTGGGATGAAATTTTTTGTGTGTGTTCAAGGGGATCTGAGAATGGTTTAGATTCACAATTTTGTCCGCTGGACAACCCCTATTTTTTTAGGGCGGTACGTAGTTCGCTGGGTCAGCTAGTTGTATATATTTCCTTTGGAAACATTAGCCTCCTTTAAAAGTTCACGTGGTATTCACTCATTCACTCACAAAGATATCTTGGGAAATCCTCGACTCCGTTTCGTTGATGTTGTCTTGACAAGACACCTCAAACCCAAGTAAAGCCTCGTAATTTTGAATCCATAATCATATTTAAAAAATATGTATAAATCGTAGAGTAAAATCTGACATCTGTATCGGTACGGTAGCCTGTAATCTGTATAGATACAGATAAATCTGTACATATGGCAACACTGTAGCTATTTGTTCAATTCAACTCACAGCGAATTAAATTCGCGGCAAATAGCCTGCCACATACATTGAATAGTCGCGGTGATTAGGCATTCGCAGCGAATAGCGTCTTTATTTACAGCGAATGCACTCGCAGCGAGTATTCGCTGTGTGTGATTGTGGCTTTACATGATGCGCGCCTGCTTTGCCCTATCCATAGTAGGATAAAACTTTCAACGCAAAGTATTAAAAAACTATGGCGTTTCCAAAATAATTTTTAAAATCTTACAGTGCAAAACTGAATTTTAGGTTAATCGATGGGGATTAATGAGAAAAATAAAATTTGATCTATTTCCTTAAGTATCTATTTCAATATGACAATAAACAACAACACTTGAAATGACCTGGGCATATCCCGGGCCAGGATATATCCCGGTATGAAAAAACAACAAAATTTACCCGTCCCAACAAGGACAAATTGACCAAAAAAAAACAAAATCAGAAAATCCCTACTCTGTGGCACCTCCACCCTTCCCCTCCACCCGTCTCACTCCCTTCCCCTCCCCCATCAAGTAAAAATGTCTGCTTCGAAAGACTCGAAAAATAAATTTTGTAGAAGGAAATGGTATTTGCAGTGAAAATCTGATAATGGTTTAGTTGTAAGCAGGTGAAAATCTTTTGTATGATTGTGTACAGTGTAAAGAAAGTTTCCTTGATGAGTCATAATTGTGTTTTCGCATAACAATCGATAGAAAAATTTAGGTTAAGATCTTTGGACGTATATTGTATTTGATACATTAAGATAAATGATTGGGCTGTTTTGTCCTAGATCGAGTGGTAATTCCGACACACGCAAGTACATATTATTGTTTATTTATAGTTCTGATACGGAAATGTATCGATATGTCATTGGGTCTTGTAGTTTTTTTTGTGTGAATTTCTAAGTTCATTCGTATGGTTGCGAAAGTGCTCTGGTATTGAATGACACCCGCAACCTTGCGTCTAACGAATAGAAAGCAATTGTCGCCTTTTCGATTTCAGACAATAGAGAAATTTGCAAATTTCCTGCTTGTGGGCACTCAGAAATAGCAAGTGCATGACAAATTGATTTCATTGAAATTTGTTATTTTTGCCTGAAGACCCTTTCCTTTTTAGGCTTCAGGTTTTATTCCTGTGAGGATAAGCTTGGGTTTCTGATAAGAAACCAGAGCAGATACAACATAGTGTATTATTACTCTAAGGCTAATAATACACAATGTTGTAACTACAAGTGCTACAATGGTCAAATCATTTGTTTAAAAAAAAGCCTTTTTTTTATAGAAAGGCGAATACCAGATAATAACAAAATACCACCAAAGTAATAAATAAAAAAACTGTTTTTATATTTATTGATTAGATTCTTTTGTTATTAAATTTCCAGTAAAACAACATACTGGAAATATAATAACAAAAGAATCCAATTTAGTTTAGTTACCACCTTAATTGGAAATTAGTCATAATTATTAAATTGTCACTAAATAGGTAATATTTACAAAAAATGAGTTGATATTATTAATTTCAGCTCTATTGACAACACTGAAACTAATAAATACATTAATGATATAATAAAATTATTTAAAATGTAAAACATTTGTTTTTCAGATACATAATTATGACCATGGATACTGAAATCACAATATACAATAACAAGCTACCTGCCTTAATTTTTTAAAGTAGATTTTTTACGAATACCTGTTAAGACTAAGTGTGAGTGTGTCATGTGTAAACAAGTGTTTCATTGACTCTGTTGTGAGTGATAGCCAGCGACTGAAAATGTCGGATGAGGAGGATTCGTCGCCTGACATGGCTTTAGTGCCCATTACCAATGTACCGAGTAAGTATATTTCCCAGTGTTTCTATTTAAAACGACTGGACATGTTATTTCAAATTAACTAGAAAATATTTATTGAAACCATTCTGATACTGGAATGGCTACCCTTCCAGAATTATAATCAGAAATCTTCGACACCCGCAATAACAACAGGGACAATACAATTTGATATTTTTGAAATTCTGTATATTGGCACTCCATACATTTTGAATATGGTACCTGACCTCGTATCTTGTTTCTTTTTAAACATAGCCAGTGTCACTCACAGTGAATTAAGGATTCTCATGCTACACTGTACATCCAAACCACCTTTTCACTACCTTAACAGTTGGTATTTGGGATAAAATTATCCTGTGTCCTTTCCTGGGACTCAAACTAACTTTTACCAAAGGGATTTTGAGAGTGAAAAGTTAACAGACAGACTCACTTTCACATTTATAATATTAGTATGGATTGTTTTCTTCCATAGTTTGAGATAACAATATTTTTAAATATTTACTAATTTTTAAATATTTGTAAACTCAACTAACTGCAATAATCAAAAATAATTACTAAACAACATCACACACAAGATTCTGACCTCAAGGTTAGTGGGAGCACTTACCTTTAATTACCAGTAATCATAATTAACCATACCCTCACAAAAGTTTCTTTTTAATACTTTTTTGTCATCACTTTTGGTATTCAAACCTATAAACCTTAGAGATTTTGACAATATCAAGTCGTGAACAGTCTCCAAATCTTCCCTAGTACCTTAATTAAATATTATTAATTTAATATACATAACCAAATAAGGTGGTGTAAAAATATTTTTATGAGTCTTAATTGGAAGTCGGTAAATATGACCTGGATATGGTATGTCTAATTAACCAAGGTTGCTCTATTAAACATAATTAACGGACAAAGATACTAAATGAGCATGTCAGTTTCCTGCTCTCTGTAATATTTTGTTTTTAACTGTTGCAGGTAATAATAGATTGCAGATTGTTCAGTTGCTTCTTATGTTTCTACTCGTATACTACAATTTTAATAATACATTCTTACACAGGAAGCTAATTTTCTAAGTTTTTTTTTGCTTTCCCTTTTGATTATATTATTGGCTAGCGGTCGGCCGCGATTTCGTCCGCGTTAACTTTAAGTTTCTTTTTTCTGAAATAAAAGTAGCCTAAGTTACTTCTTATTACATCAGCTACCTGCTAATGAAAGTCCAGTCAAAATCTGTCTAGCCATTTCAGAGATTAGCCAGAATAAACAAACAGACAGACAAAAATTGTAAAAAATGATATTTTGGTATATGTACCATATATATATTCACATGCATGTAGTATAAAGCGGTTATTTCAATATTACAAACAGACACTCCAATTTTATTTATATTTATAGAGTATAGATATGTCTAGGTAAGGTAATCCCAATTAACCACTCAAAGAAAACGGCTCATGTTACACTCAATGTTCATAACTCTTATGTCAGATTGTATTAAAGCAGTCAATGAGTATATGTTTAGCAACAAGATTATCCACCATATGTAGTAGATAATTGTTTGCTGCTTCCATGGAGTATGTGTACATAATCAAAGGCTTCCCCTCCTAAGCTAAAAAAATGAGTCAATTTCATACCAAATTTCTCTTCCATAATGCCATCTCTTTCAATTTAATAAGAGAAAAAGTTACACAATTTGATTAGGTATCATGAAATTTGGTCTGGTCAATGGTGCCCTAGACTTTTTCAGGTTCTATTTTATTTAAAATGGTCTAGTCATAATTTGTGTCTTTTATTGGTTATAGATTGTACATGAGTTATGTATGGATTATATGAAAACAGAAACAAAAACAAAAATCCTTTTGGATAGTATAAAATTTTATTTACAGCTTTAGGCCCTAGAAATTATTCCAGATTTCATTTATTTATGCCATGAAATTTGTACTATGATTGTAGTATATACTTAACCAGACGATCTCAAACTGTTGGCGTTAAACATATATTATTGTCATAGTAAAATTATTACAATGTATTTTTTACTTTAATGACTTTCCAAAAATAAGAATGAATTTATAACAATTTGTTGATTGAGAATTGCACTGCAAATATTGCAAAATTCAATAGTTTTTTTTCTTGTATCCATGAGCAGTCCAATAAGCTTTCAACAGATTTGTTGTATGTCAGTAACTTGAAAGGTGCACATTCATTGATATGTCTGCCCATCATCATAATGTTAATGTCTTCACTGCTGGCCCAAAGGCCTTTCCTGTGGATGGAATAGGGAGATTGGGCTATGACGATGTAGGTACTAACGACTGCAGATGCAACCGGAACCAACAGCTTAAGTTAATAAGTTTTTCGTCACCCATCCAATCACCGACCATTGTGAAAGTTGCTTAATTGCCACTATCGCAGGCCGAACGCGCTAACCACCTGCGGTATTGAGCTCTTCTGCCCATATTCATCATTATTTGCTGTGAATTTCTTCAACATAATCTCGTAAAAGTATGCAATAATATTGCATGATCTAGGTGTTAATAAATAAATATAAATAAATATTTCCAACACTCACACCAATTAGCCTAGCCCCAAAGTGCTTACTTTGGGGCTAAGACTATAAGGCTTGTGTTATGGGATACTAGGGTAACGGATAGAATACATATACTGTACATATATAAGTATATTTATATAGAAAATACATATTAAACATCCATGACTGGAGTACAAATGCTCGTATTCATCACACAAACATCTGCCCCCACCGGGATTTGAACCCAGGACCTCTAGAGTCGGCGACACCATGAAATCCGGCGTACAAACCACTCGGCCACGGAGGTCGTTAATGGTATTGAATTGTGTTATATTTACAACGATATTGTTCCACATCTGCAACACCTTCCTAGTTACATCATTAAAAAACCCGATGTCTTTAAACATTACAACAGCCTTCATAAATTACAGCTGAGATTATATTGATCAAGTCAGCTCTTTCAAATAAAAAAAACCGCATTCGAATTGGCCTATTCGTTTAGTAGCTATGATGCTACAGATAGTCCCCGTAGCATGAGCACCACAATTTACATTATATCACGTTTTTATTGCGTCTAACTGTCAAACTCCATAGTGATTTGACAATTGAGCGTGATAAAAACGCTTTATATATCATATGGCGGTGCTCACTTTGGGTTAGTATTGCATACTAGTTGAGAATCAGTGGCTTAATCAGTGCTCTGGCATTAATAAATGTACAACGCTGTGGAATGCCGCGTTACGCGCCGCCTGCGCCTGTGCACTTATTGTTCTGCGGTTATAGGATATCCTCCTCGTTTTAGACATTGTTTCCTGTTGATTGTCTGTCAACACTTGTATGGTGTGAAACGATATTTTTTTGTGTTGGTTTCGCCATATTTAGTTCGTAGACTTAGGTTTCCCATTACGGCATAGTTTACATTTTCAACCTTACGTTAAGCGTGAGAGGATGATCGCAATGGTTAAGGAATATGTTTACTTTGCCACGCTTTGTCGGTAGTTGGTAAATAAGCAAGTTTCTGAAACTCAAAGTGTACTTAAAGGCTGACAATTTAATCCAACTAGTTAATTAACTCTTTATTTAGGTGTGCCTAAGGTTGAATATCAATCGGAAAACTGTCGAGCCGGCTGTAATTGCCGCCTACCTAGGTATATGGTGGAAGAAACAGTACTTAAATCAAATAAAAACTTAACTTTCCTATTGTTATCAGTTTCTTCTTGTTTGAGGACACTGGTAGTATCTTTTCATAAATAACAGAGTTGTAAATGAATGCATATACTGAATTATCTTCATATGTACACATTAGCTTGAATAACTGTAAAATTCCATAGTTTTCTGAAAGTTACACGAGGTATGTAAGGTTTTTAAAGTGTCACCTCTGAGATTAAAAGTACCACGTACTCGAAGAACCGAGGACACCGGACAGCACAAAAGTACGCGGGAGTCCCCAAAGAAAATTAAATTTATGTGACTAGGAGAACTTTACTTGAGGTTGCGCGCTTGATCCGATTGTAGACTAGATTTTGCCCGCGACTTTATCACCATTGTCGTTATTAGGGTTCCGTACCCAAAGGGAAAAACGGATTTAATTTTTAACGTAAGGGAAGAACCCTATTTCTGTCACTCAGTTGTACATTTACGATCTAGAGACGCCATGACTCACGGGTCTTTAGATCGTAAACGGACTGAGTTGCAGAACTGAAATTTTGGTACATAATGGAGAATGCTTTACCAAAACCGAATATTTCATTAAAACATCAATTGCATTATTTTTCATAGGGGTGGTATTCATTAAAAGGAAACATTTTTTAACACAGCATATGACACATCATTGTCTAGAACTCGTTGAGTGGGATATAAATATATTTTTATTTTCAATGACAAAGAAATGGTAGGCCGGCAATGTTGTAATTTTTAGACCAATTTCGTTACGATCTATCGTTATCAAAATTAATTAAGAATGTAAAATCAACATAACTGCATGAAAGAAGAAGATATGCTTTATTTGTACAACAAATACTGAAAATTATGATTCATAATGTACTATGTAAGTTGTGAAAAAAAAAACGGAACTATTACAGCGAGGTCGGACTCGCGCTTGATCATTTTTTTAGACTTTTCGCGATAAAAAATATCCGTTGTCTCACATAACCAGGCAATAAACTATGTGTGCCATATTTCGTTCAGATGTTTTTATTAATAAATAATAATAAGAAGGAAAATAGGGAAGATGCATATATAATATTTATGAAAATTTTATGATTAAAATGTTAAAAAAATATAAAAGAAATGCTACTGCAACGTTTTTATTTTACATAATGTTGTTTTTTAACAATTATTATGAATTAAAAATACTTGAAACGGAACGTATTTTAAAACACCTATCGGCGTTTAGTGACGTCTCTCCTGTTATGACAACTTCTTTGAGGTATGGTTGTTAAAGTAAATATTATTTTATGGGAATATTTATTGCGTTTTTTTACATTTAATAAAAATGGAAGTTGCGTTTATCAAAGCAGACTCCAGGAATTTACCAAGAGTTAGCGTTGACATGGTTATAACGTTTTTTGTCCAAAGTGCAGAGTTTTTAAGTGTAGAAATGAAAGGGACTAAATTACTACGGTATGCAAAAATCGTAGTTGTTAAACTTCGTATTTTATTCAGCGGCTTCTACAAATCTTACGGCGATAATGCAATCGGCTATGTCCAAATTAAAAGAGATGGAAAATTATGTACAGTAAAAGGTCGAGTTCTCCGGAGCATAAAGTACGTAAAGAAGGTTATCGTGTTACAGTTATTTTAAATGAAACGCAAAGCTTGGTTCAGTCCTGCCAATGTGAAGACTGTGCCACACATTTTAAACTTTATCTAATTTTCGACGTCATTCTCCAACTGTTAAATTAAAAATATGTTATAGACAGGTTTTGTAAGTATTAGGTAGGTTACTAATGCGTTTTTACGTACAAGCAGATTAATGAAGCATATAACAAGTATATTCGCCGACTTACGTCAAAGTGATCTTCTCAGCATCGAATAATGGTCTTTGGAGAATAATTGTCATTTCTCTTCGCAGCTTGAAACCACTTTTTTCAGTTTTGGGTCAGAAGTTCCAGTCAAAAACAATTTATTTGGGAACTTTGTTGAAGTAGATTGGCACAAAACATGAGTCAACACGGATTTTTTTCGGAATATTAGTGGTATTGTTATGATCACATGATGTTGATGGATAGTCCATTTTAAATTTAAAAAAAAATTTCGTAAGTCGAAAAAATATGCCAAAGTATGAAAATTTAAAGCCAGCAACGAACAATTACGACCAGTGACAGACAGGAGTGACGTCATCGCAACCATAGGTTCGTTTTCGCGCGAAAATTTAAATTGTCAATTTAAAACCGCATTTTTTCCGATAAATCACAATGTTTTAATTTTTTAATATATCTGTGTTTTATTCTACATGGAATTCTTTAAATTAAAAACAAAAATAAAAATATTGCATCTTCCCTATTCTGATGATATAAAGAAAACAGTAGAAGCAACTTGGTCAAGATTGGGAAAGATCGCAACGAATAGAAAGGGTTGGAGGAGGCCTATGTGGCTATAGGTCACGCTGAATAAATAATAAGAGGACCAAAGTTATGCTTAAATATTAATTTGTTAGCAATTAAATTTGTAGGAATATTAGTGTGATTTCTTTACGTTTCTCTCCATTCCAGTCTTGGGCGTGAAGCGGCTCAAGCAGATCGAGACGATGTTCCTCTCTCGACGTCTGCAGGGCCCCAGGGCTTCGGCCGCTGGGCTAAGCGTGGAGACTCTGCTGGACGTTCTCCTAGTGTTGTACGATGAGTGCTGCAACAGCTCGCTGAGGAGAGAGAAAGCGGTGGCTGATTTTATACAATATGGTGAGAGAATTATGCCGTCATAGCGATCTTCTTCGGTTTACATCCAGACGATGTTCCTCTCGAGACTTCTGCAAAGCCCCAGGGCTTTGACCGCCGGGCTTAGCGTGGAGACTGCTGAACGTCCTCCTGGTGTTAGCCGATGAGTGCTGCAACAGCTCGCTGAGGAAAGAGAAGGCGGTGTCTGGCAGCTGCGGAAGTCTTTGACAATAGAACAAAGTGATGTACTAAAGTTTTATACATTAATATCTACAAAAAAGTCCACAATATCATATGTCTAACTATTACAGATATGTCACAACTAAAGGTCCCCTGCGGTTTCATCCGCGTTAATTTGAGGAAAAAAAGATATAGTGAGTCAAACTTTAAAGATGGGCATATGCTGTCGCGAACTTTTAATAGAACTTTTAAAGGGGAACAATTCCGTCGTACATGATTTTTGTGTGACTGAAGTCATTTAGGCAGCGTACGCAACGGAATATCCCAAATGGCATATTTTTACCCGTTTTTGCAACATTTTACATCGATACTCTGCTCCTACTAGTCGCAGCGTAATATTATATAGCCTTAAGCCTTCCTCAATAAATGCAATATCTAAAACAAAAAGATTTTTTCAAATCGAACGATTAGTTACTGAGATTTGCGCGTTCAACAAAAAAAATGGTGCATTCGGTACAACGAGTCCTAAACTACGCACCAAAATTTTCACTATCAGTCAAATAATTTTTCATGGAAGATTTTTAGTTATATAAAGAAATTCATTGTGTATCAAGCCTGAGAACAAACACGTCTACACTACAGCTCTACACTGAAGCGAAGAGAGGGCGGGCCACTAGTTAAATATATTTTAAATACGAATACGACGATGAAAACCGTATCTTTTCCAAAGGCAGTGGATGTAGAGCAAATGTTATAAACCTTGTACGTTACTGATAATTACTGAAAGTCTTGTACAGTGTTACAAGGATGTTTATTGAATGTGAGTGACAGTTCAGGGTGGGCGCCACTGTCTACTTAAGGAGGGAGGCGCGCAGTATTTTTTCCATACAAACGTTCCTCCTTGATTTTATTCACTAAAGAATTGATTTTCATGCATAAATTATAATTTTACTCATTCTATGCTCCTGTTTTTCTTTTTTCCATAACTTTTGTTTTAAAGTAACTAGAAGCCCTCGAAAAAGGCCATAAATGAACAAATTTTTATCACCACTAAAGACGTCTAGTATGGAGATTTAATAAGCATTTACAAAAAACCTAAACATAGAGGCATAGTATAGCTACTTATTATTCATTGTTTAAAATTTCTTTTCAATTTTTCAGCGTTAGTTACTGTTGTCCCTATCACACGGTATTTGCCAATGCGTGACAGCAATAGTTTTTTCAAATACCTATTTCTCAAATGTCTCTCAGCTCGCGTCCGCTCTTAAATTACATACAAAATATGACGTTTACAAAGACGAAGGAGTTCCAATTTTCGCCACATTCATTAAGATCCTTGTTGCACTATATGTGGGTCCCACATATAGTGCAACAAGGATCCTCTCCTCTCGGTTTTTAGCCAGCTTTGACAACATTTTACGGGCTATTCCAAATACAAAGTATTTGAGTTTGTGTTAAGTCTCCACTGTGTCTCAAAACTTCTGTTTTATATTTTTCAATCATAATTATTGTCCAACAGCGAAGCCCATAGTGACGGCGTTGAAGCGGCTGCGGCTGTCGCGGGACGACTTTGAGCTGGTGAAAGTTATAGGGAGGGGAGCTTTCGGCGAAGTTTGCGTCGTCAGAGCTTCTTTCATGCAGGTATGTTGAAAAAAGGGTTTTTTTTGTTATATAGGGCGCATCATCATCATGTCAGCCGTATGACGCCCACTGCTGAGCATAGGCCTCCCTTAAGGATCTCCACACCGATCGGTCCTGCGCCACTCGCATCCATCGGCTTCCCGCGACCTTCACAAGATCGTCGGTCCACCTTGTAGGGGGCCTGCCCACTGAGCGTCGTCCGGTGCGTGGTCGCCATTCCAGAACCTTTCCGCCCCAACGGCCATCGGTTCTTCTTGCTATGTGTATATTTATACGGCGCATATTATAAAGGGCGCACTCAGTCGAAACTCTAGAGTTTCGACTACAAGTAGGAAAACTTTAATATCTGTATATTACTTTGTTTATGACCTCCAACAAAAGCGGATATTATCATATTGTCATTGAAACGTCAAATGGTACAAAGTAATATCACTTTGACCTCAAGTCCACATAATTGTGTTGTCATTTCAGGCTCCGCCCATCCTAGACGTTTTCGGTCCCATGATATTGGATAAACAAAAACCTTTTTCATGATTTTTTTTTATAAAATCTCTGCCAATATTCATGTTTCATGCAGAATGCCGACAATAGGGTAATTGACAGTATGAAAAATAAAGTATCAATTGTTAGCCTCTGTATGAAATGATTTTGTTCTTCGGTCACGTGACAGAAAACGCCTTGGATTGGCGAAGACTAAAATGACGTCACACGCTAGAAACTTCCGGTCAATGTCACATTACATTGTATCGTTTGACATTTTATTGACAGTCGTGTGACGCCATTTGCTAGTGAGACACCATAACGTCCAGGGAAACGTTTTTTCAGCATCTTGAAAATGGATTTTGTTTACTGAAATACTCTACGATGAATATCCACTTTTTATGGATTGCGTAAGCATTAGTAAATCACGAGATCGTTTTCTAAAACTTGTCAAATACCCTATTAGTGTAGAAAATAGTGTCCCAGAAATATGGACAAAATAAGTGAGGCGCTGCGATCGCTAAGTTGTCTCAATAAAAGCGGGCTGTTGTGCGCTAATTTGAAATGACCAATTCCGCGAAGAAAATTTGTACATTATTCAACTAACTGACCGACGGCAGCGCGGCTGGTGGCTTAAAAATTAAATATAAATTCTACAAATTTTCAGGGACAGGCGTGCTAATGCTTTAGCACGGAGCGATCGTTCTTCTTCTCTCTAACCTAAATGCTATTAGTGCTTTAGTTTTCAACTGTCAATCCCCGTTGAATATTTGTCTACGGAAGTTCAGTAGTATTTTATTATATCTTATATATAAAATTCTCGTGTCACAATGTTAGTTACCATACTCCTCCGAAACGGCCTGACCGATTTTTATAAAAATTTATATGCACAAACCCACGGAATGAATCGGCTGCTATCTATTTTTCATATCCTTAAGTGATAATGGTTGTCCGCCTGTAACGTACTGTTCTGAATCCTACAATGCGCCTTCGCGCCAAAATAGAAACTATTGGGTATTGTAACGTAGTGTTCTCATATGGGTTAGGAGGAATGTTATCACCTCTTACCCCTACACACACCCTTAAAATTTTTGGTATTTTTTTTATATAATGTGGTATTAAAAATACATACCACCACCTGCCCCTATTTTTATGGCGGTACTAAGTTCGCTAGGTCAGCTAGTTTTCTTATATATTTTTTATTAGGGCGCGGACGGTGGCGTTAATATGGCTGCGGCGAGTGGCGGTACAGTTTCCACCACCACGGGGGAACGAGTGTACGCCATGAAGATACTCAACAAGTGGGAGATGCTTAAGGTAATCAAATTCAATATTTATTTATTATTTTTTTGGAAGATCAACAGCTAAATAAAACAGTTTCAACAGCTTTTAATCAAAAGAGTAAAAACTTTAAAACAAAAGCCAATTATAGGTCTTCACCAATAAAAACACAATACAACAAGATTATGCATACTTTTAAACGTAATAATTACAAAAAAGTTAGAGCGTTGTACCAATTACATTGAATAAATGATATCCTAAACTGATTATCATTTATTTAGTTTAGAATGATACAAGCACTTGTGAAGGTCGCGAAGCTTCGCCATCGGTTCGCAAGTCCACGGCGGGACCACCTCTTACTGGGAAAACCGGCAAGAAACACAACAAGGCTGTGTTTTTCTCCCTCTGTATTACAATATTTGAAACCAAGTTGAAAAATGACTACAAAGATAATACTTAGGACAGGAATGGCGAACTTTTATAATGCGATTCGAATAAGAATAGGAAAGCCAATGACCTCCATCTGTCAAATGACGCTTGAAAAGTACGGTTTGCAAAAAATCTTGGAACTCTTTTTTAGCACTCGGCAAATTCTAGAATAAAAAAACCAAACATTTGTAAACAAACATCATGACGATGACAACTCCGGTAGTTATGCAGAGCTGAGCTGAATTAAAGAGCTAGATTCCGATTAATATTTTTACTCACACAGTCATAAATGTTATTAACTATCGGTGTTTTTTTTCTCAATCTTAGTAAATAAATTTTATTAATAAAATCTGATGAATTTTCTCACTTAATCTTAGTAAATAAGTTTTATTTAAAAAAACCTGATGTTTTTTCTCACTTAATCTTAGTAAATAAGTTTTATCGAAGAAAAACTTTTATTGCTCACTCTACCTATTTTGTTTCAATTGACAGCTTTGACATCACAAAATGGCGCCCAGTCGATCCTATTCTTAGTTGAATCGCATTATACATATCAACGTGCAATGTTACAAAACAAAAGAAATGTTTATTTATGTCGTAGCTGTCCCATCAAATAATTTTGACTTTGTGATATTGGGAAAATTATAATAGTAAAAACTAATATGAACTCAAAACTATTTATTGTTATGTTTCAATTATAAGCGTAATTTAAATCAAAGTAAAATTAGTTGTAGTAGCTTCGAGATCACTCGCGTTCGTTCGCCATCTAATACCTACTTCACACTTTTTTATCGAAGATTCGTATTTGCATAATTAATTTTGTGATCAGTTACGTGCCCAAAATATTGGTGCCATTGTTTCGCCATCCCTGACTTTGGCTTTTCGACCATAGAACACTCACGAGAGATCGAGTCACTATATTTTTGGTTGGAATACGAAATCGTGGCATCGTGCACACACCTTTATCATGTGCAAATGATTATGCAAAATGTCACCCATTCCTTCTTTGCTGTGCCTATGGCTTCAGCTAACTGCCAAATCTTGATTCGCCGATCATCCAGAACAACTTTTTTCACTTTTTTAATGTTTTCTTCGGTAATGTGTGTATGCGTGCGTGAGTGCGTGCGTGCGTTCGTGCGTGCGAGCGAGCGAGCGATAGCGATAGCGAGCAGACTTATCTTCAAATATTTCCGTCAGCGTTTTGTTTTTCTTTGTGAGGACAGCTCTGTACTCCAATTTCGTAGAAAGCGCTGATGAGTCAGACATGGTGATGTTGAAGGTTCAATTACTAAAAATGTAATGATGCTAATGACATGAAACTTGGTATTTATATTATTTAGAATATCCTCGATGTGTGCGCTGCTCCATTCCCCTATGCCTTATGCACCGCCTAATGTAAGATTATTTAAGAAAAGAAGTTTCACTTCAGGTGTGTGGTCCGTGCACACATTTTTTTTTAATGTTTTCAATATGTTTTTGTTGCAGAGAGCCGAGACAGCATGTTTTCAAGAAGAGCGCGATGTTTTAGTATTCGGCGACCGTCGGTGGATCACGAATCTCCATTACGCCTTCCAAGATGAACACAATTTGGTATGTCAATAACAATTAAATTTAGTGTTTCTTGAAATAATATGTAGGAAGTATTCAATTGCTTATAGCAAGAATACTAACCAACTAAATTAATCAAAATTAAAAAAAAGGGGCAGGCGTAAGAAAGGTAGACAATAGACAGAATTGGACTGAGTTCTCACTATAGATGTGAGACACGATGTGATAATTTAATTGCAAATTTGTAAAGATGTCTTTTAAGTATAAGCCACACTATCGCTTTCCTTTTTTAATTTAAGAACGTTTCAAAAGAGTTTTTAATGAGTTAACTTGAATAAAGTTTATTTTGCATTTCATTATTTACATTTGATTTATTAAAAATTATTGATTTCTTGACAGTGTTCATTCTCCATAGGCATGGTTGAGCGTAATTATTACTTCTGTATTGTTTACTTCCAAGAGGATTTGGATGGCGCAGGTGGTTAGCGCCTTCGTCCTGCGGTCATAGAAGTTAAGCAACTTTTGCAGTGGTCGGTCATTGAATGGGTGACCAAAAACCTATTATACCGCTCCTCCGTGCTTCGGAAGGCACGTTAAGCTGTTGGCTGTTCCCTCCCGGCGATAAAAACCTGCTATATATCATAACGCGGTACTCTTGCTAGGGGGGCAGGACTGAGAACACCTAAGCCTCTATTTCTATGTCTATTATTGAGACCAATTATTATTATTCTCAATTCGTACAGGAAACATATAACTTTCGAGCGTACGTGTTATTCTTAATATTATTCGGGTGTTCGCCTGCTTGGTTTCATATCATTCCATACAGATTTCGCGAAAAGGGGGCCGCCTTATCGCCCCCTCAAAGAATGATGTCTGGTATAAAAACTAACCTTTGTTCTTTCCCGGGACTCAAAAAATATTAATACCAAATTTCACTTAATTGAGCAGTTTAAACGTGAAGAGTTAACAGACAGACATTTTCGCATTTATAACATAAGTAAGGATGCTGTAACACTAGAGAAGTTGTTAATTGAATTCCTTTCTTCTACAGTATCTTGTGATGGACTACTATTGCGGTGGAGATCTGCTCACCCTTCTATCAAAGTTCGAAGACCGTTTACCCGAAGATATGGCCAAGTTCTACATCGCAGAGATGATTCTGGCCATACATAGCGTTCATGAACTGCGTTATGTTCATAGGTGAGTTTTAAGTTACAGGCAATAAGGTTTAGATTTGAGGAAAGTTTTGTGGAGTCAACGGGTAAGTTTAGACTTTTGTAACGAAGAGTTTATTAGAAGTGAATTTTAAAATGAGTGTTCAAAGTTAAGAGTCTAGATGCAAAAATGTTCCTTGATTGAGCAGATGAGTCTTATATTGAAGGTCATAAGGTTAAAAAAAATAACTTGAAAAAATTCAATGACAATTACATTCGATTCGATTTTGTTATCACTTTTGTTAGTACATAACCTCCAGTAATACAAATCAAGATCTTGGAATTTATACACTTTCGCATTGGGTCGATCTTAGGATGGGTGACCAAAAATGTATTATATCGACATTCTCCGTTCTATAGGCGGTTAAGCCGTCGCGTCGGTAACGGCTACATCCGCGTTTGTTAGCGCCTACCAATCCTCAGTGTTAAAAGTGGGAGGGCATAGCGGATTTTCTGCTTGAATTGGAGCGCCCGTCTGGGGATGTAACCTAAAGTAACCTCGTAAAATTATATTACCTTTTGGTGTTTCCGTCGGTAAGGATCCAGGGCTCCATGGGATAATGATTATATTTTGATTTTTAAGCATTTTTATGCTAGATGATTATATCCCAATCCACAATTCAGTAAAAAATATCTTTAGATTTAAACGTTAACAAAAGACAGTTAAATGCTTAAAAAATAAAAATATCATTATAAATGCGATTTAGTTTTTCAAATGTTAAATACTTGTAAAGGTATTCATTTGACATTGTGGGTTACCTACAATGCGAAGGGATGGTGCTGTCTTGCAGCCTACGAAATACTAGAGAAAATTCGACACGGACAATCAGGGCCGCGGTAGCATAATGGTCAGTGCAACCGCCCAGAGCGAAATAGCGAAGAGTGCGGGTTCGACTCCCGTCTTCTGCCTAGGCCGCGTGAATTTTTTCTAGTTTTTCTTTAGGCTGATGATAATTATACAGAGGAGCTCGATGGCGCAAGTGGTTAGCGCGTTCGGCTGCTATCGTTGAAGTTAAGCAACTTTCGCAGTGGCTGGTCATTGGATGGGTGACCAAAAATTTACTATCACGAGCTCCTCTGTGCTTCGGAAGGACGTTAAGCCGTTGGTCCCGTTTGCATCTGCAGTCGTTAGCACCCGCCAATCCGCACTGGGCCCGCGTGGTGGTTCATGGCCCAAAACTCCCTATTCCATTCGTAGGGAAGGCTTGTGTCCCTGCAGTAGGGACATTAATAGGCTGATGATGATTATGATTATTATTTTTTGTTTATAGGGACATCAAACCAGACAACGTTCTTTTGGACGCGAGCGGTCACATTCGACTAGCCGACTTTGGTTCTTGTTTGCGGTTAGGTGAAGACGGCAAGGTGATATATTTTTGCTATATTACAGTAATTTGTACCCTTAGTACGAGTTTGAGCTCACGAAAACTATCATAGTTTTCGTAATTGTAAATTATTTTTCTATGTCCATTTTGATGAAAAGTAACCAAATATACTTAAAATTTAAGAAGACACAAATGATTTAAGGATAGAATTTAAACACTGTTTATTTGTATTGAAACGAAAACAATAAAATCAGTACCCTTAGTACGAGTGCGAGCTCTCGAAAACTCATTGTTTTCGTAATTGTAAAACTCGTACTAAGGGTATTGATTCTAAATCGATGCCTTTTAGATTACATGAAAATTGACACTACGAGAACTTGTTTAAATTAAATTCAGCAAAAGAACGAAAGATGGCGCTTCGAAATAAGAAAAGTTGTTTTATTAAGTGTTTCCATTTATTTTATTCAATATTGGCTGATCGATATTACCATTGGTAAATAAATAATTATCAATCATATAATTTTAGGTACAAAGCAACGTGGCAGTGGGCACACCGGATTACATATCGCCCGAAATATTGCGAGTAAGTTGGATTATGTTGTTAAAACACTATCGGCCTTACCACAAAACGTAGACTCAAGTTAAACCTGGACTAAAACGGATGCTGTCTCTTTTGTTTGCTAAAAAGATGACGATGATGAACATTACGTTAAAACTGTAGTCCGCGTTTTGTAGGAAGGGGGTTAATGGGGGTGCTGCTCAGTTTTCATAGAAACTTTAACTATGCGATACGACTAGGGGGCTGTTAAAATTCGTGGTTGGGCTTTTGGTGCGTTCACTTCAAACTGGCTTGAAAGTTCCGATTCTTTCTTTGATTGTGTTAACATAATAATTATATTATAGCCATTATAATTTTATCTATACTTATAATAAATCTGTAGAGAGGTCAATTCTGTACATGAAATATATTTTCAAAATAACTATCAGGGGGTGATTAGTGATCGATACTGATGCCAAAAATGCAATCAGTAAATTTTTTGTCTGTCTGTCTGTCTGTGTGTATGTTCCTTATAGAAACAAAAACTACTCAACGGATTTTAACGAAACTTGGTACAATTATTCTTCATACTCCTAGGCAGGTTATAGTATACTTTTCATCACGCTACAATCAATAGGAGCAGAGTAATGAAGGGATATGTTGGGAAAACGGGAGAGGTTACTCCATTTTTTAAGCTTCCGTCGCGTGTGCAGCCTTAATGGTTAAAGTTACATAGAAATCATGTATGACGGAAATATTTTACATAAAATTGTCTAAAAAATATCCCGCAACAGCATATGTCTATCTTTTATGGTTGACCCACAATAAAACGTGTAATTATATAAAAAATGTCATTGTTTCTAGCACGAGCCTGAGAACAAAAACTATAGTTTACACTACAGCTCTACACCGAAGCGAAGCGAGGGCGGGCCACTAGTTCTTTAATAATATTGTTAAACCATCCCACATTGTGTAGCTAATGAGGTGTTTGTGATCATCGTGTAGTTTGGATGGGGATTGACTAATGGGGCCATTCAAGAATTATAGGGGGGGGGGGGGGGTCTTTGCTATGCTTATTTTTGATGACATGGGGGGGGGGGGGTTTCCGAGATAGTGATTACGTCAGCATCATGGATTCGGGTGTCTTGGACTGAAGACTTACGTAAGCACTGGAGGGGGGGTGGGGGTAAATAATTGTAATAAATCTGCTTACGTAATACTTGAACGGCCCATAAGGTTTAAACTGTGTTACGATTTCTGTAATTTATATTTTCGAAATAAAATGAATCTATGTTTTCACTTAAATAAACCAACTGGATGATCAACCATTTAAAGTGTATATTTTGTTCATAGGCAATGGAAGATGGACAAGGCAGATATGGATCTGAATGTGACTGGTGGTCGTTAGGTGAGTTTTTGTTTTAAAGCTGAAGGAATTATTTATTTTTCCTCAGTATTATCTCGGTGCTAGCCGTTGACACCTCGTTAATACTAAAAATGCTATGGGGATTGTATCGTTATGTGAGTTAGTTCATTTTTCCCCGAGAGTGAGGGATAACAAACATATATACATAGTCTTTTTTTATTTATTGTTATATCCAACATAGCATTAAACAATGGTACGCGATTACATCTAAAACCATTAATGTTTATACTGCGCTATCGGAGTTTACATTTGTATTACCTAATTTACTACATAATTTATAATGCTCTTATACAACCGAGTTAGAGCAATCTAATAAAATAATCTTTCAACTTTTTTTTAAACACATCAATTAGCCTAGCCCCTAAGTTAGCATTGTAAGGCTTGTGTTATGGGATACTAGGGTAACGGATAGAATACATATACAGTACATATATAAGTATATTTATATAGAAATACATATTAAATATCCATGACTGGAGTACAAATGCTCGTATTCATTTCATAAAAATTTGAACCCGGGACCTGTCGAGTCGGCGACACCATGAATCCCGGCGTACAAACCACTCGGCCACGATGGTCGTCAAATATTTTAACATTAAAATAATTAATATTCATATGTGTGATGCTGTCTTGTAATTCTGGCGGCAAGTTATTTTGTCACCGTATGTATTATTTGCGTGCGCCTCGCAAAGACGATTCGTGGCGTATTCCTATGCCTACACTTCACTTGGATATTCGTGTTTGTTATTTGTAAACTTGACATCAGTCTTTACTTTTATAAGCATGATAGGGACAGACTGCTGTAAAATTTACAAATAAGCAGATAAGTGCCGGCATTGAAATTATAATTTAAGGTTATTTTTGCATAACTCGCAGGAAACGAATCGAAAATGACGACATACGTATTCTATCTCTCTCGTACGTGATTATTAACCTAAATTGTGTTGATAATTTATGGTAGTTGACTTTTATATTTTTTTTAAACTAGCTCATATGTAAAAAAAGTATGTCTTATTGATTGATTGCTAGGATTTAAAGAAACATATAAGGATATCTTAATCCTGTTCTTTATCAAAGCGAGCTGTACGAATAATTTTTCAATAGACCCGCTAAAGCGACAACTAAACAATGTATTTATTTATTTTATTTTACGTTAGATTTAAACATATAGCAATTAAAAGCTTAAAAAAACATATATAATAAACAACTGCTACTATTTCTTTCAATGTTTAATACTTGTAAAGGTATTTTGTTTGACATTGTGGGATACCTACAATGCGAAGCGATGGCGCTACCTTGCGGCCTAAGAAATATTAGAGAAAATTCGGTACGGCATAATTGGTCAGTGCAACCGCCCGGATAGCGGAGGCTGCGGGTTCGAGTCTGCTGCTTAGCCCGCGTGGTTTTTTTTTTAACTTAATGTATTAATTTGTTCGCTCGAGGAGCTCGATGGCGCAAGTGGGAAGCGCGCTCGGCTGCGATCGTCGAAGTTAAGCAACTTTCGCAGTGGTCAGTCATTGGATGGGTGACCAAAAATTTACTATCTCGAGCTGCTCCGTGCTTCGGAAGGCACGTTAAGCCGTTGGTCCCGGCTGCATCTGCAATCGTTAGCACCCACCAATCCGTACTGGGCCCGCGTTGTGGGTCATGGCCCAATTTCCCTATTCCATATTCCATCCATAGGGAAAGCCTGTGCCCCAGCATTAACAGGCTGATGATGATGATTATTTTTTTGTCCAGGTGTCTGCATGTACGAAATGCTTTTTGGCGAAACGCCGTTTTACGCGGAATCTCTAGTGGAAACGTACGGCAAGATTATGAACCACGCTCGGTCTTTCCATTGCCCGCCTGATGAGCATGCTGCACAGGTAAATATATAGCTATTTTCAGCCAATTATTGCTAGCAATTGTTCTCATAAGGGAGAGAGAGAAAGAGAGAAACATTTTAGTGACCATTAACAGATAGATACAAGTATTACAAAAAGCATAAACACATTAGCAATAAATTAAAAAACAAAATTAAGAAAAATAAACCTATATTGTTATATAATGGTCAATCAAGACCCTGCCTCAGTATAATGCTAATAATAAGGGTCATCCATGATGTACTTTACAATAATTTACTGATTTTTCACAGTTATTTTTGCTATTAATAAATTAAAACAGCAGTCGTGCAATTTGTTCTGAAAATTGGCCAACAAAACGTAACCCGTACAGATAGAGTTATTAATATTTTTAAGATTTTTGATAATAGTTCAAAAGTGATAGATTTTAAAATATGACGTCACGAAACTTGGACCCCTCCCATCCCTTTTCACATAATGCCACAATTCGTCGACCCCCTCCTTCCCCTTTAACGTATTTTATGGATGATCAACTAATAAGATAAGAGTCGCTGTATTACACGGAATCTCTAGTTGAAACGTACAGCAAGATTATGAACCAAGCCGGTCCTTCCATTGCCCGCCTGATGACCATGCAGCACAGGAAAATAGGAATGAAATGGATATCAAATCAAAATATACCCTATATGGTAAATAGGAATGAAATGGATATCAAATGAAATTATAACCTGAGTGATTTTTATACAAATTAATTTAATATGGACATATAATAAGAGGAGAAGATAAATGAAAAGGATCTTTTGCTGGCGCTTCGCCGGCGACGGCCGGGGCATTGCCACAGCATTAACCTAACCTTACCCAGATATTTTTAATTCAACTTACAAAGATTTTTTTACAAATTTCATTACAGATGAAAAGATTGCATTAAAAAAACATTACACTAGCGACCGCCCGCGACTACGTACACGTTAAATTTAGTTTTTTTTCTAAAATAAAAGTAGCCTAAGCTACTCCTTATAACATCAGCTACCTGCCAATAAAAGTCCCGTCAAAATCGGTCCAGCCATTTCAGAGATTAGCCGGAACAAACAGACAGACAGACAAAAATTGTAAAAACAAAATATTGTGGTGTATATATATTGATATGCATGTAGTAAAACGCGGTTATTTCAATATTACAAACAGACACTCCAATTTAATTTATATGTATAGATTAAGTGGTCAATAAAGGTAATCCGTCGGTAAATGAATGGAATGGCGCTTTCTGATTGGTACAAATGGACGGTTGCTGTAATCTCGCGCTCTCGCGCGAAATCGTTCAGTGGCTAATTTCACAATAAAACAATATGATTTATTAAGCTGTGTGTAGAAGCTGTAAAAAATAAAATGATGATAAGTTGTGAATTCGTGGTTGAGAGCTCTTTTGAATCGTCCAAAAAATTTACCAAACTGCTAATCAGAAAAAGGCTATTTAAAATCCATTATCGTTAGCGTGAATCTCGAGATTCAGCTTATTTATTTGATTCCCTCGGTGCAATTTATTTTAGTATTTTTTTACAAGTTACAAGTGAACATAATTTTTTACTTATTTACTAGCATATTTATCGAATTAGCATCACAATTGTATGACTGGTTCCGAAAATAATCACCCTTACATTTTGTGTCCATATTATATTCGCACTGAGGGATCAACTAAATAAGCCGAGTATCAAATATTTATTAAATTATTTACTGTTAATAAAACGCGTTTTCCTTAATTTCAACAGGTGTCAGAAGAAGCCAAAGATTTAATCCGAAGACTTATTTGCGCATCAGAAACAAGATTGGGAAAGAACGGACTGCAAGATTTCAAAGTAAGTTCATCTATATTATCTTATACTAGTGGACCTTACTATGTAAACGTTGAATAAAAATAAATAGCCCCTAGCACGATCCATTATCGAATTCGAATAGTTAATAATAATAACCTTTATTTCTCACCATAATCACAATGTTCACAATGTTGGTATTTGGCTACATAAAAACAATGATATAAAAAACATGCAATTTTTTTTACCAAAAATAAAAGATACGTATTGACGATACGAGTTGAATCCGATCTATTTTATAATATGACAACCTCCGTGGCCGAGTGGTTTGTAATGTGTACTGATTTTAAGTTCTCGTTACGTTCGTTGTGGTGCTTCTGTTCAAGTTTCCATACAAAATTTAACAATGACATATCGCATTCGCGAACTATCCAAATTCGATATTGGTTCGTGCTAAGGGTTCACATTAAAATAATTTAGCTACCTTCAAAAATCTAATTTTCTTCAAATATAAATTTAGAAACACCATTAAGTTTAAACTAAGGACATAAGGACGGTACGGCTGGTCCACAAGTTTAAAGTGGCTCAGCGCGCTATGGAAAGGGCTATGCTCGGCGTTTCTCTGAAGGATCGCATCAGAAATGAGGTAATCTGACAAAGAACCCGAGTTATCGACATAGCCCACCGGATTAGCAAGCTGAAGTGGCAGTGGGCTGGCCATATTTGCCGAAGAACCGATAACCATTGGGGTAGACGAGTTCTGGAGTGGAGACCGTGTCTAAGCAAATGTAGTGTAGGACGTCCTCAGGCACGATGGAGTGACAATTTCCGCAAGGTGGCTGGCAGGAGCTGGATGCGAGTAGCCCAAGATCGATCTGAGTGGCGTGCAATGAAGAAGTATACCCAAAGCTCAACATAGATGGCGCTGCAAACGCTTCACACAAACCACAGCTGAATATTGCATGCATTGCATATTATATTTTTGTTGTAAAAAATATTAAATAAGTGGTAAAAATGTATTCAACATGGTCTGTGGAGGGGAGGAGTATTTGTGCAAGGCAGAAAAGCTGATCTAGTAGAAAGGTACTCTTTCTATTATTATGCTAGAATGCACATGCTCGGTACATAGATGCATTTTCAATGATTATTTTAATAGTTCATGGATCTCAGTAACTATAACTGAGCTCATTAGTCAAATCTATCTTATTTTTGCATCAATCAGACATCTCAGAGTTAGGTTACCTCTGCTTAAAATGGGAAGTATAACATTGGGTTTTTTACAGACTTGAGGCATATGACCGCAATTTTTAATTTTGGTGCAGTTTTTTCTGATCAAAATGCAAATCCATCCAGATGCAATTACCTACAGATATACATACCATGATGTGTATACCTTTCAAAGCAACATATAAAATTATATTTTCAGTCAGTCAGTAAGCATGCAATTTTTTTCACAACAACCAGGTACTGCACAACGCGGTATTTGTAATTTTATTAATGAAAAGCTTAAATTTGAATATAAGCTAAAGGGTTTGTATTTGATAGAAGTTTTGGGTCAAGCGATTACAGCGCCCCTAGTGGCCAATTTTTGCAAATTTCTTGTCCATTGGAGGGGCCTATAGCCTGCAGTGGACTAGGATAGGCTGTTGATGATGATTGATGAATACTAAATAATCTCAATTTTATAGAATCATGATTGGTTCGCGGGTTTGGAATGGGAGAATCTGCGTGAAATGCAAGCTCCGTTTGTTCCCGACGTCTCCAGTCCTACAGACACTTCCAACTTCGATGTAGACGACACCGATATAAGGTAAGTTATAGTTAAACCGTAATCGAATGTAGTTACAGAATTAATGTTGATTGAAGTTGTTTCTGGCGCTTATTTTGCATAACAGATACGGGCCGCCCACGTAGCAGGCGAACTTTCTACCACTGAATTACCGATGCTTGACGATGGTCAAGTTTTTTAATAACAGTCAAAAATCTAGTTAACGCGACATGCTAAAGATGTCCATAATAAACGTTTCACTTTAAAATTAGAGAACACGTATTCGTTGCTACTTTCAGGATCCATCTTAAGTTACGTTTAGCCGTTGGTCCCGGCTGCATCTGCAGTCGTTAGCACCCGCCAATCCGCACTGGGCCCGTGTAGTGGGTCATGGCCCCATCTCCCTATTCCATCCATAGGGCAGGCCTGTGCCCCAGCAGTGAGGATATCAATAGGCCGATGATGATGGCGCGCTATACTGAACATCATCGTGTCGATGTCTCGCTCATGCGACTCGGGCAGACTCGCGGTCGTATTTGGGTAAGGCCGTATATTTTACCACTTAGTAACAAAGAGTAACATAGATGCTTCTATATAACGGTAACGTAAAAGTAACGCGAAAGTCACGAGTAAAGTATGTAAGGCCAGATTCATGCTGCACCTTTTTTGGTGTAAATCTTCAAACAAAATAAAACAAATTCTTTAATCAAACTAATTCTTTTATTTTGATTTACCTAACAACAAAATTGTTATTGTTCTTCCTCAATCTGTTAGTAATAAAACGCACAAATAACAATCAAAACTTAGTATTTTTCAAAACTAAACAAAAACACAACATAGATACGTTCCTCTAAAACGTAGTATAAAAATACACAGAAAACAATTAAATCAGTCTTTCATAAAATTTAAGCAAATATAAATCAATATTATATTCTTCCTCTATATTTTCTATAGTCCAGTACTTAAATACTGGTATTAATACCATGCAAAAAAAAAGTCTTTGAAAATAGACATTCTGATTAGGCCTTTTTACAAGAGACGGCCAAAAAATAGATAGGCCCAATCAGAATGATCTATTTTCAAAGACTTAATTAAAGAATTTACTATAGTAACAAAATACAGAGAAATAAAAATAAAATTATACAAATAAATAACATTTTTACCGCTTACTGGCGGAGAGCTAATAGAACATAATAATAATTTAACAAGGTATACCAGTCAATAAAATCACAGAAAAAACTTACAATAACTAATAGGTCAATGCTTTAAGTAAAAAATACGATATCGTTATCATTTTGCAGATAATATACTTTTGAAGCTGGCTCTCGCTGAATCAAATTTACCTTTTTTATGATAGAAATTGTGGTCACAATATCAATATCTAACTTTCTTTGTACTAAGAATTTCACAGAACCGTTTGAATCTTTAACAGTTTTTAAAAATTTTACTTTGTAATAATTTTCGCCATTGTTAAATTTTATGTTCTCAACAAATCCAATGTAATGCTTCCACGTTTTTCTTTCAAAATATTTAACAATAACGCTATCTTTTATATTTAAATTTAAATCATTCTCCTCATTTTCTTCACTCTCTATAATCTTTCCTCCTTCTTGATCATTGTGCTCATTTTCTTTACTCTCTAACACCTTTCTTTTGCCTTCATCATAATTTTGCTCAGTTGCTGCAGTATCTATCACCTTCGTCCCTCGTTCTTCATCATTCTGCTCGTTTCCTTGAATCGCTATCGTCTTCTTTCCTCCTCTTTCTTCTTCGGTCTGTATAACTTTTCTTTCTACTTCTTCATAAATTCTCGATTCATTGTTGTCACTTTCATTTTGCTTTAAATTTTGAATTTCATTTTTCTCTTTTGAAACTGGTTTTTCTATTTCTGTATATTCAAGATAAATGTTTTTGTTTTTTACTAAACTTTTTTTGTCTATTGTTTTAGACATACGTGCCTCGTTTATATCGCGATCTTCAGTATTAAATTGAATTTTCTTACTTTCATATTCTTTTTTCATTTTGTCTTCTGCTTTTAAAGTATTTTGTTCTTTGGTATGATTTTTATCTCTTTTTGTATAATCAGTCTTCAATTGATTGCAACCTTTGTTTATCCAATGGTCATCTTTCCTAAATATATTGCTATCTCTTAAATCACCGCTTACAGTATTTTCGGGAGTGTTTCTAATTTGTGACAATATTCTCACATTATCGCTCTCAGGGACATGTTTAGTAGTTTTACAAGATCTTTTTGGTATCAACTCTTCATTTTCACAAAGTATTCTCCTTTTCTTGTCTTGATTAGTTTTAGTGTCTTCATCAGCTTTTTTTAAAATAACTTCGGATAACAACGTCACTTTCTTATTTGGGTTAATTTCCGTCAGAATGCCAGTTTTTTCGTTTAGTGCATAGTGCACATTGGCTGGATTGTTGTCATCATCTAGACTCATTGCATCATCGGAAAATAAAACCGTATCATCGCTGTCTGCATATTCAATATCGATTTCGCTGTCGTCTTCCTCAGTCGATGAAATAAAAGTACGCCTTTGCTTCGTTTTCTTGCTTTTCTGTGATCTGACATGTTTTCCCTTTTTATCATTCTTTTGTTTATTTGGCTCCTCTTCGATTAAAAAGCTATGATGTATAGGCGAGTGACATTCACAGTTGCCTCTGGGATCTCCACAGAAACAGCTGAGCTCTCTGTGCTTGAGTTGGAACTTTTCTTTTGTTATAAGCTGATGAATTTTCATAGTTTGATGCAAAGGACTAAGTTTAGTATGAATAGGCAGGATATTAATACATGGAATATAAAATATTTTTATACTTGTATTCTCTGAGTTTATAACGTCAACTGCTGTTTCAGCATTCGGAATATCTTTTCCCTGAGCGATTTTAGCATCTAAAGTTCGTTTAATGACTCCCCCTATACCGTCCGCAGCACCCTTTCCGTGAGCCGCCTCAAAAAATGACCAAGTACCGTACTTGAACTCGTATTCGTAGATTTTTTGACTAAAAAAATAAAAATTCTTTTTTTGGCGATATTGCGTGGTTGGGCCATCAGAGAAGAAGTGCAGGGTGGAGATGTTGGGATGATTAATTTTAATATGTTGTAAGACGGGATCGAGGTGTGTCCATATTGCTTCAGGGTTGTGTTGATTCTCCGGGGAAATAGAACAAAACGAAATCGGTTTTTGCACTCCTTTGATGTAAATCACTCCCGTATGTAAAGTAATCTGTTCTTTAATGAAGTGCATTGCCTGTATTTCTGTGTGATATTTACAAGTAAAATTCTCCGAAAAATCGATATGAATGCATGCCTCATCATCTTTTAAATTATTAATGCAGTCTTTGTATTTTTTGTACTGGTAATGAAAATTAAATATGTGAGTTTTAAATTTTTTCAGTTCTGAATTAAATGTCTCGAGCAAGTCTTTTAAAGTACCCTCTTTTATTATTTTTACGATTTTCTTTATTTTCTTTTTCTCTCCTTGTTTTTCATACTCGTGCTCTTTTAAAGTCCATGTAAACCAACTTGCTTCTTCAGATAGTTTCTCATTGTCAACACATAATTTATTTTCTAAACACGAGTCACACCTGTTGTACATGCAATCTTTTGAGTTGAAATCGCAAACAAAAAATGCTATTACTTCAATGAGGTTGTTCGATTTTAGAATATTTAAAAACTTAAGTTTATCAACCATGAATTGCATGTTGGAATGCTTAATGCAGGCACAACTCTCACAATCTTTAACTTTAGGAGAAAGTACATAAAATGGACGATATTTTTTAAAAGTGCTGAAACTAATAGGGCCCTCTTCCAAAATATATTTTTTATGTAGCATACTAAGTTTATCTACTAAATATCTTTTCTGACGTTTAACTTTTTTACACGTTCTATACTCCTTTTTCCCAGCAGTAGCGCGGCTAACGTCGTCTTTATTAAAAAACCTTTCTATTTTTTTAATTAATAAACTGTTTTTATCCTTTCGTTTATTATACTTTTTTAAATTGCTTTTTAATCCCAGACATGTTTTTATATTTGCTTTTTGTTTGTATTTTTTTACGACATTGTTGTCTAATATTTTTTTTAAAACAGTTTTTTCAGCATTATTTGCACTTTTAAATTGTTCTCTTAATGATTCCTTTAATACATAGTGTTCAAAAACTTTTTTCTTGACTTCGTCTTTTTTTGGCGTTACAACATTAGGGATAGTATTATTTATGAATTCTGCAACTTTTTTCCTCGGTGTCTTTTCTTCAATTTCTTGCATATGTATATCTTCTATTTCCTTTTTCGTGTTTAGTTCAGCTAAAACAGATTCATATTTTTTCTGCATCTTTTCAATTTTTTCTTGTTGCCTGCTGATTTTTTTCTGGAGATTTTTGAATCCTTTTCCCAATGTATCTATCCGTAAACGCAATTCTGCATTCTCACGTTTCAGCTTATGTTCGATGCGGCGTTGCATATTATGGTAAAATAATGAGTCGTCATTTTGTTGCTTACTTGAAGCTTGTGATGTTGATGGTTCATTTTGGGACGTATTTTGTTCATCTTTTGCTTTTCTTCGATCTTCTTTCCATTTTTGACGTAATTTTTGTTTGTCCTCTTCAGTATATAAACTCTTTTTTTTCTGATAGTGTTGTGCCGATCTTTCTTTGGCTTTCTTTTTTATCTCTTCAAACTTCTCGGGGTTTTCATTTTTAAGCTTTTCCCGATATTTTTTTTGTTTTTCAGCTGCAGTCATCGGCATCTGTGTTTTTAATTTAATTAGTAAAATAAATTTCGGTATTATATTACGCGATAAAAACTCATTAAAAGTAAGTTAAGCTTATAACCGAATTCATAAAAAAAAGATTAATAATTCGCATTCGAATGTGTAGGTTTGTGTGTGCGTTTGCGTGTGTGATGAATGAATGCTGTAATTTTATGTTGGTTTAAGGATCTGTTAACTTAGGATTTTTTACGAATATTTAGTACTTTAAGAGATATCGACCAAATGTGATTTTGTATTTCTTATTTTAAGTAGGAACTTATTGTTGCTGGCGTATGCGAGAATGCAAAAAATTCTTGACCAAAGTTTTATTTACACAACTAACAACAATCAAAGTTTTAATAAACACAAGAAAGTGCTAGAATAGCTAGAAATGACAACGACACTTGCATAATTTAAGCACCGACGATGGCGGTAGAATGCAAGGTGGGAGCAAAATACGTAGGTAGGTACTACTGTACGTACACACATCAACCTCCCTAGAGCGGTAAAATTTCCTATACCAGTTTTGGATTTAATGTTTCATAGAGTTCAACATCAATTGAGGAATTTTGGCAGATTTGGGTAGGTTAATCTGTGGCCCACTTTACGTACGTTACTGATGAGTAAACGATTAGTTCATCTAGTCGATTCTAGTACGTAGTACATTATAAATTAAATGTTATTTTATGTAGCATAACAAAATTCAACAGCACACAAATGCGAGCCATAACTGGCGCCGTTGATTGATTTTTATTAATTGTTGCGAATATAAGACATTAAAAAAAGTCAGATGATGACATAAAAACGGTATTTACTAATATTTTGAGATGTATCCTGTGTATATATCTAAAGAAATAGTAACTAAAACCGTGTTTATTGTTTAAAAATAAAAATAATACTGATTGTCAGAAACTTGATTGTGTTACCAAAAATGGAATAAAAAAGTAACTATAAATTAGAAGAGTGTATATGCACGGATCCTTACAACACTTCAACGTTACGTTACATACAATCAACGTTACCGGTAACATAGAAGTAACTTAGATGTAACGTTGAAGCAAAGTTTTTTAGGTTATAATTTACCATAAATCGATAACTAGAGCTAAATTTGAAACAAAAACACACAACGCACATTGCTAAACCACTTATTGATATTTTTGTATAAAATAAGTTTAATAAAAACTGTTATTTACCTTTGAAATTGGCTAAATTCTCTAAAAAAACCTCCGACGAAACACAACGCGTGCACCTTTGCTCGAATCTACAGTCAACAAAATGGCGGTATTTTTTTTTTATTGGCTCGCATAGACACACAGTGTTGCCATTGTCATTACCAAAAAGAACCATAAAACCTTAACATTATTTAGAGGTGAAATTGGAGTAACATACAAAATCGTAACATTGAAGTGAAAATACGGGGACAAACATTTAAATTGCAATAAATTCATGAAATTGGCTTATTTTAAAAGATCAAAAATACGATTTAGTTGCTTAATTTTACGTTATTTATGTTAGTTCTTGTGAATTTGCTTGTCAATAAAAAAAATACAAATTTTGTAGTTCCGAGTGTTTGGATGCATAAAAAAGACAGCGAGTTTTTTGCTAAATTTGGGGGACTGGCCAAATTAAACTCACTTTAGTTATGAAACTATACGAAGTATTTTAACTTTGAAATATAATTGTAAGATTTAGAGAGCTACAAAACAGAATTAAAGTTTTTTATTTACAAATCACTAGTTACTTTTTTCTTTATACGCAGTCAAAGTATGGGACATTTTTTGGTTTCAAAAAGTGGCAAAATTTACGGCCTTACCCATTTACCTAAACGGAGTTTTGTAAAAGGGCTCCTAATAACGGAAACAGACACCTGAAATATATACCGAATGATTATATTCATATTCACTTAAAAATCAAAAAATAAATTGGGGGTTCAAGTCCCGTCTGCTGCCTGGTCCGCGTAGATTTTTTTCAAGTTACATGCCTAAAAAATAAAAATTATAAATAAATTGTACTTCCATACAACAGACGTGAGTTTATTGCTCGATATTATAAATATACTGTAATGTTATATAGTTATATAGAATGGTACGACACTGGACCGTTTTTTTATATTTATATATCTATTCCTTAGGTTATCGGAAGCAGTCCCTCCATCGGCCGCATCGTCAGCGTTCTCCGGTCTGCATCTCCCCTTCGTAGGGTTCACGTTTACTGGCGGTTCGAGACTGTCCGACTTGGGGGCGCCGCCTACGCCGCTTAGTCCCGCTAAGAATGCGCCTAGTCAGGTATATTGTGATATCCATACATATAATAAAATGGTAGAAGAGTCAAAACTACATTGAAATATTTTTTAAAAGAATACTTGGGGTGTGATCTACAATCGAAACCGAAGCCAAAAATATAGTTTTTAGAATTTTTGTCTGTTTGTTTGTATGTATGTCCGTCATAAACTCAGAAAGTACTGCATGGATTTACTTCTAATTTGGCACGAATATTATTAAGAAGTCGGGTCGACATATAGGCTACATATTGGTGTCGATTCTAGCATGATTGTCTAAACCTAAACTTCAATTTGACAGCAGTATATCCTTGTCATTCTCTATACAGAATGAAAGACTGGAGAAGGAGGAAGGAGAGACTGATGTTAAATTTAGTTTTTAGTTTAGAGAATCACGAATTACTGGGAACGAGCAGTGAACCTTTATTTCTAACTGACTCCACGCGTACGAAGTATTACTAATATTATAAAGACTAATGTGTCCGGAATGATATGGAAGCATTACCCTCTAACAAAGGCCGCTAAAACATGGTTTCAAATTCATACAACCTAACTTCAATTTAAACGCGACATGTACGCAGACAAAACAAAATATTTTGACAAATCAAATATCTGCAAATGCATGCGGCTATCTATTTATTGGTTAGGATAATGTTAACCGAAATATACAGGCTGTAAAAAAAGCTATCACAAAGACTAAAACTACGCATTCTGTACACCCAAGCAAGTAATATTACAAAATATTATATGTGGGAATCATTTGTAATTTAAGTTAAAAAAAAATACAGTACACAATGTATAGCGCGGCGCGCTACTGTGGCTCTACGCAAAGAATGTGCCTGTGTGTATGTGTGTACGTGTGTGTAAGTGCGTCGATAAAAAAGTTTCTAAATAACATTTTGAATATATTATTGTACTAGTGGCCCGCCCTCGCTTCGCTTCGATGTAGAGCTGTAGTGTGGACTAAAATGACTCTTCATACAATTATAAAAAAATCTGAAAATGGTATATTTGCCTTTACCAAACTTCTATTGACATCACGTCACTCAATTGTTCTGCCTTCCTGGAACCTCTCCATTAACATTTGAAATTTATGGTATGGTATTAAATTATGAATCGTTTGTATGGGGGTATAGGAAAGTGTTGTTTTTGGACCTTATCAGGCAATTTTTTTAATTTTTTCTGCATAAGAACTATTCGCGTACTTCAAGGAATATTCTAAACAAAGAATTATCGAAATCGGTTCAGCTGTTCTTGAGATTTGAGCCTAGCAACACATTCAGCGATTCATTTTTATATTATAGATAACACTTGAAAAAAAAATAGTGACTTTGACCTTCAATATCTCCATAACCATAAATTTCCCAGGTATGGTCCAAGAGAAAAAAATGATCGTCATGATGTGGAAATTACGTGGCCTTAAAATTCGTTCAATGATTTTTTACACCCTGTATATATATATATATATATATAGATATATATATAAATATACTTGTATATGTATCAATATATATATGTATTCTATCCGTTACCCATCCCGTAACACAATCCTACAGTGCTTACTTCGAGGCTAGGCTAATTGGTGTGAGTGTTGAAAATATTTATTTATTGATTGAGTTTGTATCCAGGCACCGAGTAACGCTGGCGATCGCGCGGCACTTAAGGCGTTAGAGAGGGAGAACGCCCTTCTCGCTCACACCATCGCGGAACTGAGGGCCGGACTAACGATGGACAGCGAAGCGCCCCCTGGTGAGTTATTTACAGAATAGGGTACTTTCCAAAATTTTGAAAACTGCTTATATTTATAGATCGGGACAAACGATTTACCGCGAATACTTCGGTTACCAAAAATGCAACCTTATCCATCGTACTTTGGTGTCGTTATTCGTTCATCATCCTTCTAATATTCATTGTCTCATCTCCAACTATTATCAAACTATATCTGAAGTATTGTTTACAAACTTACAGACGATTTGGTCCAACTTAAAGAAGAGTTAGCTGTTTTAACGAAGAGGAACGCCGATTTGGAGGCTCAAGTAAAATGCTACGAACAACTAAATAGCGGTGTTACCATGCAGGTATGTTTATAACAGACTTGTATCTCATTTTTGTTTAAAACCCTCAAAATAATATAGACTGCGTTTGCTGCTAATGCAGATGAGGAGTTGGCGAACAAAACGGTATCATTGCGCATCTGGTCAAACTACTTTTTTTACATTCCGGAGGTTTCGGGCAAGTTAAATTTGAATCTCAAAATCTCTATCAAAACCGCCCAAAACAGTGTTAAATTACTATTTTTTTTAAATTGAAAACTATGCCAAAAACTCAAATGTCATTCAGTTTATATAGCTCCTGTAAAATTATATTTTATGTAATTATACCGTTTTATTCGCCAGCTCCTCTGATGATATTTGTATTTGCTATTTGACGATAGCCTGTCCTTATCATGCTGTATAAGGAATGAAAAGGACAGACTGATGCCAAGTTTACAAAACAAACTCGATTAGCCAAGTTAAGTGTTCGCATAACATTTATAACGAGATGACAATGAAAACAATTGATTTTTGACGACCTCCGTGGCCGAGTGGTTTGTACGCCGGGTTTCATGGTGTCGTCGACTCGAGAGGTCCCGGGTTCGAATCCCGGTGGGGGTAGATGTTTGTGTGATGAATACGAGCATTTGTACTCATATCTCTCATAATCTAGTGCCGCATTGTTTCATCCATAGTTAAATTTGACTAATATTATAAATGCGAAACTGTATCTGTCTGTTACCTGATTACGAGTAAACCGCTGAACCGATGAAGGAGAATTTTGGTGTAGAGATAGTTTGAGTTCCGGAAACTCAAGGGTGAATAGGAAGTGGAAGTTTGTATGAGGAACCAATTATATTAGAAGAAGTCGCGGGCACACACCTGTTTTTATATAAATGATCTGTGAGAAGTTACATTTATAGTGAATATATTGTACACGATTTAGTCTTTACTAGCACCCACCCGCGACTTTGTCCGCGTTAACTTTAGTGTATGTAAAGTAAAAGAAGTAGTGTAAAGTATGCTTTATCTCAATCCTGGTCATAAACTATATGCGACCACATTTCATCCAAATCCGTTCAGTAGTTTTTGCGTGATTAAGTAACAACATACAAACTTTGACATTTATAATATTATTTAAGATCCTTTTATAGTTTTCATTCACATTACCAAGAAGCGCTTCACTGATATCAATACTCAAAATATCTTTATTAAATTGGATGCAAAATACAACTCTTTTGAATCGTCCGTATTTTTTTCCCTACCAATAGTAGTTTTATCTTGCTGGCATACTATAACTGTCTCTTCGTTTAGCTATCTTTTACCGCAAAGGTTGTCTGGAAGAGATCGCTTAAAGCGATAAGGCCGCCTTTGCCCATGTTATGTTATTGTTTACTTCTTTTTTTGTATTGTTTTATGTGTGTGCAATAAAGAATTTATCTTTCTATCTTACTTACAATATTTATTAAATGATTGCTGACAGGAAATGACGTGTTCGCCCCAAGAAATGGCGTTGCGTCTGCGCGACCTCGAATCGACCATAAGCAATTTGACCATCGAGAAGGAGGAGCTCACGAAAGACAAGACGGACTCTTTGGAGAAACTCAAGCTACAGGTATGTAAAACTCTGTATAAACAAAAGTTAAATATTTGTGTGTGTATGTTACAGGTTGTTTCACTTCATTTATCTTACTTAGCTCTTTTCGTTCTACGTTTACTGTGTATGCATTTTGCTTGATTCACCTTTTTGTCTTCAAATACAGTACTAAAAGCATTTTAGGGATGAAAAGCGAGGTTTTTGCTATAAATACTTACATGTTTATCGTTACCTCGACAGCCATATAATGCTTGGTCCAGAGATTCATAGGTACAACGATAAGATTGAATATCATCTCAACAGTCTTATGATGGTTGATCCAAAGATCTACACAAAGATCAGACTTTTGCTTCTTTTTATCTCCTAATTGTTGGGATTAACAAATGTAATAATAATAATTTTAGTTGGAAATTTTATTAGATATGTTATGTAGTATCTCGTTTATGGTAGATTTTACTCTTCGGACCACTTACACCAACATTTTTAATCCAAATTAAGTCCCAAACCTGCCTGCCTTTTACAGCATTCCATTATTGTCATCTAAATTCATGTAGTAATTATAATAAAGCTTAAACATGATTAGCTTTTAAATTTGATTAAGAACTTTGGTGCAAGTAAGTCTTTGTTCATAGAGTTTTCTGTGTTAACTTACTACTAATAGTTCATATAATTATTAGGACAAAGAACTGAAAGATGCATTGGCTCAACGGAAACTAGCGATGACTGAATACAACGAAGTCACCGACAAACTATCCGAGCTGAGGCAGCAAAAACAGAAGCTGTCTAGACAGGTTTGTGTTAAAATCACACTAATATTATAAAGGCGAGTGTATGTTTGTTACTTCTTCACGTCTAAATGGCTGGAGCGATTTTAATAAAATTTGGTATGGAGTTAGCTGACACCCTTGATTACCATATCATAGCAAAGATTTGATATTCACACGGCATAACTTTTCAATCACAAACGACAACAAAAACGAAAACGATTAGTTTTGGCTCAACATGTGAAAGATGTAAAAGCATGGTAACGTGCTATTTCCTACAAAATATAATATTAAAAGTGTTGCTATAAAAGTTAGTTTACTTTCTTGACAGCTGACCGCGATTATCCATTTAATTCGTTGTTTTCGTTTCCAACTTACTTGTGGAAATTCATAGAATTTGTTATCACTGTTTTTGCCATTGTTCTTGCAGTTAACAAGGTACGCAGCAGTAAGCAATTTCGGTATTAAAAAGTGTGAATATTTCTGCCGAAAGTTCCTTTTTGGCCGTGGTGCGCGCTGCGATCGAGTATAATAGAGTATTTTCCAAATTTTTAAAAACTGCTTATATTTAAAGATTGGGACAAACGATTTAACAGAAAAATTTAAATTAATTAATTGATGTCTTTTTTTCTCCATTACACCAATTAAAGTTGAATTTATTTCTAATGGTTTTGAATTTACCGCCAAAACCCTTGGTTCGATGACGTCTACTGTGTGACGTCGACTTTGTGTTAAGAATTTTAACACCTATGTAGCCGGTCGACGATCTGTGATTAACGGAGAAATTATTTGACGAAAGCTTTGTTAGTGTATTTCTTTTTTACTTATTTTCCACAATGGAAGTCGGGTTTCTGAAAGCCGACTAACTCGATTTTACTTGTTGTTTTCACAAAGTTGACGTCAAACAGTAGAAATATATTGAGAATGTATTAAAAAATTGTTGTCAAAAATAAAATTAGGTCCGAATCAGACTCAATATGCATTACTAATAGTGAAGTAGTTTAAAAAAGGACATATTTTCGTGAAATGTGGTTTAAATACTCATAAGACAGTAAGGACGAATTTTCCTATTAAATTATAGCGTCGAATCTTTTATGGAATTTAACGTCAGCAGAATCTTAAGTTTTATTGAACATCCGTCTTATATATCTGCGATGTCTCTGGAGTAGCCCATTTTCTAAAAACACGTCTGGTTGGCGTTTCCATCAAAACAATTCAATCAATCCTCCTTTCATTCAATTGTTTTCATCCAATCCTTCAATCAATTGACGACCTCCGTGGCCGAGTGGTTTGTACGCCGGGTTTCATGGCTGTCGCCGACTCGAGAGGTCCCGGGTTCGAATCCCGGTGGGGGCAGATGTTTGTGTGATGAATACTTGCATTTGTACTCCAGTCATGGATGTTTAATATGTATTTATATAAATATACTTATATATGTACAGTATATGTATTCTATCCGTTACCCTAGCATCCCATAACACAAGCCTTATAGTGCTTACTTTGGGGCTAGGCTAATTGGTGTGAGTGTCGGAAATATTTATTATTATTATTATTATTTATTATTATAATCCACATGTTGTCTGTCAAATACGAATGCTTCTCAATCTTACTTTAACTTACATAGATTTTAATCCCGTAAAGCAAGACGCAAAAAGTTCACTGTATTTGGACTTAGGCATTTTGATGTGGTTTTCTCTATAGAGTATTTCTAATTAATATTTTTAAACCAGGTCCGTGACAAGGAAGAGGAGTTGGAAGTAGCGATGCAGAAGATAGACGCTCTCCGCCAGGATATCAGGAGAGCTGATAAAGGAAGAAGGGAACTGGAGACCAGACTCGATTCTGCATTGGCTGAGGCTACCAAGGTAATTGTAGTACAACAACAGAACCATATATAGCTTTAGGCTTTATTGTTCACTACTTTCTCTTTAACCAGAAAAAAAAGACACAAATCTAGCAATATTAATATGATAATTAGTTCAACAAGTTCGTTATCACGACTTGTATCCCATTTACTACTATATGACATGTTTTTGAAAATGTTCAAACATTATTTATTAGTGTAATGTCACTCCATAAAAGAGGATATTTATAATTTGGTTGCGTAGGCTGGTATATCAGTAAAATAATATTTTTTGTTAAATTGAGAAATTTTGGATCACTCTTGTTACACCGGCCATCATTACTCTCGATAAAAAAAGTTTTAGAAACATTGGTTTATTTGTATACCTTGTGTATCAGAGGAAGCAAAAATGAGTAAAGGTAACTATATTAAGAGCGGACGCGAGCTGAGAGACATTTGAGAAATAGGTATTTGAAAAAACTATTGCTGTCAGGCATTGGCAAATACCGTGTGATAGGAACAACAGTACTTAACGCTGAAAATTGCGTATAAAAATGGCAAAATTCTAGGTTTGGCTCTCGAAGATTTCCTCCTTGAAAATTTGATATATGTAAAATAAATGTTACATAAAAAATAGTGAGTAGATACACTATGCCTCTATGTTTTGATTTTTTGTAAATGCTTATTAAATCTCCGCACAAGACATCTTTAGTGGTGATAAAATATTATTTATTTTTCGCCCTTTTCAAGGGCTTCTGGTTTCTTTGAAACAAAAGTTATCAAAAATATCATGTAGTTTTATCATTTTTTTTTCATGCTCCTTTTTTTACTTTTCCGCAAAATGTCTCTGCTTAGCCCGGTGGTTGACTGTTAGAAAATGCCATGTGGCATTAAGTCTGCCATTTGTTGTAAAACAACAATAAAAAGTAAAAAATTTAAAAAAAAACAGGAACATAGAATGAGTAAAATTATATAGTCCAGTCAACAAGTTCAAAAACGTGAAAAATAGAGATAAAGCTCCTAAAAATATGAGCAATAGCTCATTGGATTCGGAACGACCTCTAGAAAAATGAGTTTTGAGGATTTTACTGCACGTAAAAAATTGCAATTGTTATTAACAAAATAAGATGAAAAAAAAGAGGTATTTACGTTTTTGTTAATAACTCATAAACTATTAATATTTACGATATTTGGAAAAAAGGTCCTTAAAGAGGAGGAAATATCCGAAAAAAAAGTCCCAGCTCCCGGAACTCTACCTCTATTATTTATAATTTTAATTTAACGCTGAAAATAGGGCTCCGCGCAGCCATTACGGCATGGGCGCACTGCCGTTAAAGACAGTTTCTTACTTAAAATTATTTTTTTATAGTAACAAATATGAATTTAAAAATGGAAATAAATTATGGTGTCATCCAGATACTTGAAAGAATATATTCCCGCTGGATTTTTTTTTTAATTAATTTTTCAAAAAGTTATGCAATTGTTAATTAACGAATTTTTTTCCTATCTCCGTTTTCATAAATGACGACATAAAAATTTAAATAATAAACCTATAAATTTTTGGCTCTGTGGAGCTCTTCTTATATATATACTTAACAAGATCCCGCGATAAAAGTTTATTAAAGTTAATTATTTTGTTTATAACAATTTTTTAAAGTTAACAAAAAATGAAAAGTCTAAGAAATGTTATTAAAAAAAATTTTTTAAACAAATGTTATATTATTGCTGCTTTCTTATCCAACAATGGCATTAAGTAACATCGGAAAAAATTTTTTTACATCATTTTTTAAGAAATTGTTTATAAACAAATAGACAAGTTTAATATTTAAAGAAATTTTTTTTTACCATTATGTTGTCTTGGCAAAATAATGATTTTTAAAAAAAAAAATTTCTTAAATAATTTTTTTTATTGTTAATAATCGTTTTTTTTATATTTCGATTGTTTAAATAATAAGTTAAGGAATGATTTTCTCTTTAAAAATCATAATTGGCATTTCTTCATAGGTAAATAGAAAAAAAAAATTTTTTATCAATAATTTCATTGTTTGTTAACTTAACAATTTGTTATAAACAAATTCTAACTACCGTTATATTTTTTTCTAGAGCTAAAAAAAATAACAAAAACAGCCATATATATCTAAAAATACTAAAAAAAAAAATTATCTATTTTTTATAACGCTTTTAAATATTACACGATACCAAAGTTGCAATGGACACTTGATTTGTCAAGTAAAAAATTAATATAACTTTCGAGAATTCGAGATACGATAATGGACATTCAGGTCGTTTTTATAAAGCATTAATTAATCTTCAAAATAAGTTAAAAACTAAGTTTGTAACTATTGTTTATCAGCTAATACATGCATTTGTTTATAAAATTTTGAGATTTCTTTAACTTTTTCGTATCTCTTATGACTTACAACTTAAGAAATAATTCTAATACAGCTATAAACCTTAAAACAATTTTGTTTAGCGATACATTATCTCCCAAATTATCAATTAATCGTACCTCCATCTCTAATTGTTTAAACAATATACGTGATTTAATTAATATTTATTTAATATTTATCTAACACTTACCTTCATTTTGTAATTTTTTAATTTTCTTTACATTATTATAAGTTAATATAGCTTCTAAGTGAAACTGATTTTATCATTTATTTAAATAAATAGTTTGTTCGATGTCATTAAGTATTTTTTTTCATATTTTTTGTAGTTTGATCTGCCGTATCTTCTAAATTTTTACATGTTAACCATATTTTTATATAGTTACAAACTTGGTTTTTAGCTTATTTTGAAGATTAATGCTTTATAAAAACGACCTGAATGTAAATTATCGTATCTCGAATAGTTTATAAGTTATATTAATTTTTTACTTGACAAATCAAGTGTCCGGTGCAACTTTGGTATCGTGTAATATTCAAAAGCGTAATAAAAAATAGAAACATTTTTTTTTAGTATTTTTAGATATATATGGCTGTTTTTGTTATTTTTTTTAGCTCTAGAAAAAAATATAACGGTAGTTAGAATTTGTTTATAACAAATTGTTAAGTTAACAAACAATGAAATTATTGATAAAAAATTTTTTTTTTCTATTTACCTATGAAGAAATGCCAATTATGATTTTTAAAGAGAAAATCATTCCTTAACTAATTATTTAAACAATCGAAATATAAAAAAAACGATTATTAACAATAAAAAAAATTATTTAAGAAAATTTTTTTTTTTTTAAATCATTATTTTGCCAAGACAACATAATGGTAAAAAAAAATTTCTTTAAATATTAAACTTGTCTATTTGTTTATAAACAATTTCTTAAAAAATGATGTAAAAAAAATTTTTCCGATGTTACTTAATGCCATTGTTGGATAAGAAAGCAGCAATAATATAACATTTGTTTAAAAAATTTTTTTTAATAACATTTCTTAGACTTTTCATTTTTTGTTAACTTTAAAAAATTGTTATAAACAAAATAATTAACTTTAATAAACTTTTATCGCGGGATCTTGTTAAGTATATATATAAGAAGAGCTCCACAGAGCCAAAAATTTATAGGTTTATTATTTAAATTTTTATGTCGTCATTTATGAAAACGGAGATAGGAAAAAAATTCGTTAATTAACAATTGCATAACTTTTTGAAAAATTAATTTAAAAAAAAAAATCCAGCGGGAATATATTCTTTCAAGTATCTGGATGACACCATAATTTATTTCAATTTTTAAATTCATATTTGTTACTATAAAAAAATAATTTTATGTAAGAAACTGTCTTTAACGGCAGTGCGCCCATGCCGTAATGGCTGCGCGGAGCCCTATTTTCAGCGTTAAATTAAAATTAAAAATAATAGAGGTAGAGTTCCGGGAGCTGGGACTTTTTTTTCGGAAATTTCCTCCTCTTTAAGGACCTTTTTTCCAAATATCGTAAATATTAATAGTTTATGAGTTATTAACAAAAACGTAAATACCTCTTTTTTTTCATCTTATTTTGTTAATAACAATTGCAATTTTTTACGTGCAGTAAAATCCTCAAAACTCATTTTTCTAGAGGTCGTTCCGAATCCAATGAGCTATTGCTCATATTTTTAGGAGCTTTATCTCTATTTTTCACGTTTTTGAACTTGTTGACTGGACTAATATTTTATGTATGGAAATCGATTCTTTAGTGATAAAAATCAAGGAGGAATCATTCGAGACCGTTTCTATGGAGAAAACATAGCTCGCCTCCCCTCTTAAATGTTTATATATTTTTATTCGTATAGTTGACATGCATTTTTGTTATTTTTTTATTAATATGTTTTTAGTGTAGGTACACACGACATGTATGTCGCCCAGCATAGCTCGATACCTGCGATAGGTCGTAGGTGAGCTGGGAGAGATTTCTTAGAGAAATAAGCCACACCTTTTACAATACACAAAAATTATAATAAATTATTAAATAAATAAATACGTTTGTTACCAGGAGCGCAAACTGCGTGAGGAGAATGCCCGTTCGGCTCGAGTAGAAACGGCCGTCCCTACTGGTGCTGCAGCAGATGTGGCGAGATTACAGCACGAGGTGGATTCGCTAGAGGTATCAGTAGTGTTGCTAGTTTATTTTTGAGATTAACGGGGATTTGCAAACTTTTCAGTGAAAAAGCGACGAATAAAAAGTATTGTCATTTGCTAGTAAAATTCAGTAGTACCCTCAACACGAACCAATATTGAATTCGAATAGCTTGCAAGTGATAAATGTCATTGTCATAAATGTACTGATTTTTAACTCTCGTTACGTCCGATATGGCGCTACTGTTTAAGTTTCCATACAAAATTTGATATTACAGACTGTGACTCTTTCGTTTTCGTTATGAAAAGATACTATAGTACCGTTGCCAAGCTGAAAGAATTTCGTACAATGACCCCACGCTACCCATCCTTATCGCTCGCGAGTACTTATGTTGCTGTCTCACTCGCACACGTACCGTGTGTGGTACTGTGTGCAAGCGTGACAGCAACATAATTGCGCGCGAGCGATAAGGATAGGTAGCGTGGGGTCATTGTACGAAATTCTTTCAGCTTGGCAACGGTACAATAGTACCAATATCATAGTGATATTTTTTGTATCGAAAGCATCTATAGGCTATGGTGGCCGTTTACCATCAGGCGGGCCGTATACTTGTTTGCCACCCTTTTGATATAAGAAGGCCAATTACCCCTTGAAGTATAACAAGATACTTGACGTCGGCAGATGCAATACAAGGAGTCTTTGGCGCAACAACAAGCTCGATACAACGCAGAATTGGCTTCATTACGCGACCAGTTGCATGAAAACGACGCCGTACGCTCTGTGCTCAACCGAGAGGTTAGTTATCTATACTTATATACTATCTATACCAATAATGTAAAGCTGACCGCCTTATTCCAAAACGTGGACTAAAGTTAATCTTGGTTTAAACCCGGGTTTGGTGTCTGTCATCTTTTAAGCAAACAAAAGTGACACCATCAGTTTTAGTCCAGATTTAACTTTGTCTACGTTTTGTAATAAGGAGGATGGTGGTGAAAACTGCATCACAATTTATTACGTGGTTTAGAATGGCTTGGTAGGTATACCGACAGATGCAGAGCATTTTAGACATCATAAATAGAAAATGAATCGATTCCCTATTATTTTAGCTGCAGACGTCGAAGGAGAAGTTGGAGAACCGTCGTTTGGAACAGATGAGCGACAACGAAGACAGGCAGATGCTCATCAACGAGAACAGGAAATTAGCCAAAGATTTGGACGCGGTGAGTGCATATTGTAAAAGAGGTGATAGATACATTGTTGATTTTTGCGGGTTGTAGACCGAGACCTAAGCTAAGTTTTTATTACCTTAGCTCGCATTGCTGACGCAGTTTTTCATACTTGTATGCAGTCTGCAAACTATGCAAACACAGCTATGTGAGCTTCCAAAAAAAATACGAAACTAAGTTAGTTGTATATGCCGATGCGCAGCTACTCGAGTAAAGCTACAGAATACAGAAAGACGTTGGAAGGGTGATCATATACAGTTTATACGGGAACCGACGTCGCCGACTCGCCCCCACTACACTTTCACCTAATAGATAATAGCCAATCAAACGCCGCGACATCAAATAATTAAACGAAAGCAACGACGCAATCAGTACCAAGTTTTGGTCAAGTTATGAGCATTTGGTCACACATAACTGTTGCGCGCCTGCCCCGCCCACAAGGCCCGTCTAACCTCTTTCTGTGTTCTGAGGCTAAGCCCCTCCCTAGATTAATGTGTTTACATAGCCAAGGTCTGGAATGTCTTTTTTAATAATAATAATAAGTTAGTATTAATCTACTTTTCTATGTGTAACATATTCACTATCGGATATTTCTTCATCAATTATATTCCATCAAATTTAACTTCACAAAACTGACTTAGCTTTCGATTAGTTCTTGGTGTGCACGTGACACATTTTTAGTTTATCTTAGCTTAGCTTTGCTCAGTTGGCATTGCTTAGCTTCGGAATGGCTTAGTTTTCGGTCTGCAACTCGCTTTCCTGTCATTTACGATTATGAACGTTTTCGATATTTTATTCAAATCAATGTGAATTGTGTATTGATATGTTCTCTTTCACGTATAAAATAAGTATATAAAGTCTATTTACAAAAAAAAGAGCGAATAATAGTTACACATTCTGTAACTACCGCTATCTTTCAAATGTGTTAGCTCACCAGTACTTCCTTGTCTAAATATATTAGTTAAATTGGAAGACCTGGGTCGTTTCGTAACTAAACTACGAATAGTCTATCTTTTAATAAGAAAAAGACGTAAAATAAATATGACGGCAAATTCGGACAATTAATTCGGCTTCCTTCTAGATGGCAGAGAATGGTAGAAGATGGCAAGCGGAGAGGAGACAAATGGAGTTGGAACTGGAAGAGCTAAGGGCCAAACGAGATTCGATGCAACACTGGGAGACTCAGGTATTGTTGACAAATGCCGTTTGGTCGCCGTTTCACTTAGGTTGAATATCGCTTGAAGTCGATGCTGATAGTGAAACAGAATTCTGTAGACTTACCTTACCTTACCCTAAAATAACTGTCATTACAAGTAGATAACCTTATATAAGAATAGTATTGGTTATGTGTCGATGTCAACTGTAATTGTTACTGCTTTTATTAACAATACACTTGCTTAATATCTTTGAAATTTGTTATAATAGTACACACTGAACCTTAATGTTAAACAAATTAGATTGATGTATTTAATGTTTTAAATATTTTATCATAATAGTAAAAGGTACTAACCAGATGCAGCGGCCCGGGCACAAATTTTGATAGCTCCGTAATCGCATCGTCAACGTTTAATTTTGTATGAAAAAGCTTGTTTATTCTTACGGCCGGTAAGGGCGCTGGTTAGTTTTTATAGAAACTCAACGATACGATAACGGATCTGTCAAAATTCATGCTTGGGCGTCAGATTTTATATAAGAAACGGTATTTTTGTGTAGGCTCAAATATAACAGCAAATTTTCATTTTACAGCAAAAATCAATAATTATAATGAATTTCTTTTCTGGTATCAGATAGCGGATATTATCAGATGGGTGGCAGACGAGAAAGAAGCGAGAGGTTATTTGCAAGCGCTTGCTACGAAGATGACAGAGGAGCTCGAATATTTGAAGCATGGTAAGATTTGTTGTTGCATAGGCTAATAAAGAGTAGAAAAAAAACAGATTATATTTTTATTTTAATATTTTAACTGTTAGATTAAAGAAATGGGTTAAGTTTTTTATTAGTTAAAAACTTAACCCATAAAAAATTACAAAATGTCAATGTCAATATAAAAATATTTTATGGACTAACTTTAGTTTTAGTCAATTTGAGATTTAGCATATTTGCTGCAGTTGGCCCACAAAATACAAATTACAATGGGTTGCAATAATCATTCAGAATCAAAATCATGCAATACAAGTTTCGAATTTTGAAAGCGTTCAATAATTGCTACTGAAAGAGTAGTCAGATTAAATAAGGTTTTACTTTCATGATAAAAAAAGGGTCTTCTTTTCATAATAAAAATATATAAAAAAACTGTCCCAATTTTTTGTTAGGTCATTAATAAAATTGTTACTTTATTTGGTTACTAAATGCAACTAAAGTCTATTAAAAAAACGAAAAAATCCTTTTCACACACACACCTGTTTTTTTTCTATTTTTTTTAAATGCAACTTTTATTACATCGCCATAAATTCGTTCATCTTTAGCATGCCACATTACATTTTTAATTGTTACTAATAAATACAGACCATGTCAATAAGCTTCGGTGGTTCAGTGGTAGTAAGCTCTCCTGCCACGCGGGCGGCCCGGGTTCGATTCTCTGCCGAGAGAGGACTTTTTTTAATATATTCTTCTTTCTAAAATCTAGAGTAACATTAACTAAGCACAGGTACCATTTAAAAGTGTCACTTGCATCATAGTTTCATAAAATCACACCATTTTTTTTAATTATTTCTTTTTTTTTACATTTCTTCTTTATTTCCTTTACCAGCCAGCGCATCCCGTGGAGTTGCACCATCATCACCACCCGGGGCAGCCCCCGGCACCGGGGGATGGAGGAACCGTCGCTCCCAGAAACTGGACAAAATGGAGATCCTCACCTTACAATCGTCACTGCATTCAGAGATACAGGCCAAACAGGCTGTGGGCGAGGAACTAAGCAGAACCAGAGCAGAGCTGTTGGCTAGCCAGAGGTAATATTTCTTTGAGATCTTCTATGTTTTTTTCATCATCATCATCATCATCAGCCTATTAATGTTCCCACTGCTGAGGCACAGGTCTTTCCTATGGATAGAATAGGGAGATTAGGCCATGACCCACCACGGGGGCCTAATACGGATTGGTGGGTGCTAACGACTGCAGATGCAGCCGGGACCAACGGCTTTTTTTCAGGACTTAAGAAATTCCAGAAATCCTTTCCGACTTAGCAATTCTTATTCTAGATCTGAGTAGAACCAACACAGATGTTTTGGTCTTTTAAATTGTTTCAACCGTTTACTTTTGAGGAGTTTAAAATATTTTTTTAACATTGTCATACAACCAAAAACAGCAACGATTGATCCCCCAAACCTTTTGGTGATTAGAAGATAAAATTATCATTGATTTAATAGCATTATTCCCTGGAGGAGCTGTATGGCGCAGGTGGTTAGCGCGTTCGGCTGCAATCGTTGCACGTTAAACCGTTGGTCCCGGCTGCATCTGGAGTCGTTAGCACCCGCCAATCCGCACTGGGCCCGCGTGTTGGGTCATAGCCCAATCTCCTTATTCTATCCATAAGCAAGGCCTGTGCCCCAGCAGTAGGGACATTAATAGACTGGTGATAATATCTCCATTTCCTGTGACGATCGGGAGATAAACATCAATTTAATGCCGTCCTCCGTGGTCGAGTGGTTTATACGCCGGGTTTCATGGTGTCGCCAATTTGAGAGGTCCCGGGTTCGAATCCCGGTTGGGGCAGATGTTTGTGTGATGAATGCGAGCATTTGTATTCCAATCATGGACGTTTAATATGTATTTACTATATAAATATACTTACATATGTACAATATAAGTATTCTATCCGTAACCCTAGTATTCCACAGCACAAGCCTTACAGTGCTTTCTTTGGGACTAGCTAGGCCAATTGGTGTGAGTGTTAGAAATATTTATTTATTTTCTCTCTTATTGTCACTACTAGAGAGTTGGTTGAGACCCGTCAACGTCTGGAATCTCTGAATCGCGACATGAAACACAAGGAGCAGCACATTCGCGACATGCAGGCGCGGCTCGAACAACACGCGCCGCATCCGCCCGGCAACTGCTGTGAGTACAACATAATTAGCTATACTTACAACAGGAATATTTATTTCAACTTAATAGGCTATTTGACAATATGAATAATAAAGTACCAATTGTTGGCATTTGTATTTAATATGAATATTAGCAGCGATTTTACTATTCGGGGAGAACCAATAATTAGTAACTTTTCTTAAAAATTATCAAATAGAAACGAATTTTCTGTTCTATGGTCACGTGACCGAAATCACTTGGAATTGGTGAAAACTTAAATGACGTCACACCCTTGTAAACTTCCGGTTAAAGTGACGTTACATTGTATCGTTTGACCTTTTAATAACAGTCGTGTCATAGTAGTGAGATGCCATAATGTCCAGAGAAACGTTTACGTGGCAACTTTAAAATGGAATTTTTGATTTATTTAGTCTTTTTACTGAAATACGCAACAGAATGGTGAATATCCATTCCTTTTTAAGGACTTCATAAACATTAGTAAATATCGTAAGATCGTTTTCTAAAACTTGTCAAATACCTTATTGCACAAATTTACAAAAGGCGGACCTAATGCCTTTAGGCATTCTCTCCCAGCCAACCGGAGGGTTGTAGCTAAGTCTTAGAAGGTGGTGCAAAAAAGAAATTTCTAGGTGATTTTTCAATTAAATTAACCTACATTCAATTTAGGTCTGATATATTTAAGTACGGCAGACGAAAAGCGATACAAAATGTAAACGAAGTCGATGAAAGGTCATTAGCTACTGCAGGGGTTGGCAACGTTTTATAGAAATATAATTTTATTTATGAAAATCAACATAGTACTTCTGTCATTTTCATTAGCATATGTTTCAATTAAATGTAGCAAACTGTAAATTATCATAATTAATATTTTGAAAAATAAAAATTAATTAAATCTATTCCGCAAATAAGGACTACAATATAACATTTATATTTTACTTTCTTATTTATTCAAGTGGCAATTCTTCTGAGTAAATCAAAACAGCCCAAAAAAGACATTTTTTAGTTATTGCCACAAGTAGTATCGATAAGACACGGACCGAAATGAAAATTTGTCATTATTTTTTACTTTTTATTGGCCCCGAATGTTGGCGAACTCGGCGCGGCGCCACGACGATGTTCTGACATGACCGAATATCAGTCAGACAGTCTAATAACTATCTCTTTTTTATCTCATATAAAAGTCAGTTCCCTAAACACGTCTAAGGTGAATGAACTTTTGTATCGCTTCTCGTTGGCTCTAATTTATACTGTGCGTACGATTCGGATCCGATCGAAGACACTGGTGTCGATTCTGGCATGATTCTCTGGAGCTTTTAAATTTGACAACAGTGTATCATTCACATTCTCTAAAAAGGACAGACTGGTGTTAAATTTAGTTTTAAGTTTAGAGAAACCTGCTAGAATTGACCACTGGTTCTTAACCTGTGGTCTCTTTAGGCAGCAGAAGTGGGCCGCCAAGCCATATGAAAGAATACATAAGGGAGAGGCAGTTTCAGTGCCTAAATTTATTATTTTATATATATCTGTTAAATAATTATTGAAGGAACTCTAACTTAAGAAGTTATTCTACTGTATTGGAATACGAGGGTTAGAAATATTCATCATGAAAATTGTTCATATGACATGTCAAAATTCTTAGCATGCAAGGAATAATGATAACTTTTAGAATTGAATTGTCGGTATTATTTATGACAATTATTATTATTTATTATTTTCAGTCATTATTTACACAATTTCTTAGAATCTTTCATCGTCCTTCCACCTGTATGCAGATGATCTTTAGTTATATTGCTAAGTAGCTGCTTCAATGAGGCTATCTCAACTTTCTCCACCGATTTAAGTCGCATAGCTGAATGGAGTAATTCACTTGGCCTTATAGTGAATCCTGTCAAATCTCAGGCTATTGTAGTTGGTAGTTCCAAATTAATAGCGAAGGACACCATAACTACACTCCCTTTTTGGTTCAATTTGATGGCGTTGATATTCCTTACGGCTTGTCGCTGAAGAATTTAGGTATGACATTTGATAATACTTTAAGTTGGGGCTCTCAGTTGCAGGCGGTATGTTGCAAGCCATATGCGTAGGCAGCGTCTCTCAGAAGACTTCGTAATTTCCTTTCTACCGTCACCAAAATTGCGTTACCACAATCTCTGTTGCTTCCTATACTTGATTACGTCGACTTCTGTTATATAGATCTAACGGAGGATCAGCTGAACATACTTCAGCGTCTCCAAAATTTCTGCATGAGATTTATTTTTGGCTTGCGCAAACATGATCATGTCTCCAATTTGGCTCTAAGCTCAAGTGGCTGCATATTAGACTTCCCCGGATTACCTGCATACTGTCACTCCTGTACAATATTTTGTTCCCTTTTTCCCGCCCAAGGAACTTTTTAAGTTTCCACAAAATGCATTATCGCTCTCTCTTAGGTCATTAGAAAATCTGACTCTCTCAATGCCCACCCATCGCTCCATCTTTTATAATCACACGTTTGCCGTACAAGCTATTCGGCTTTGAAATTCGTTGCCTGTAGCTGACAGACAAGCTCGGACGTTGGATATGTTCAAACATCAGCTCAAACAATTTTATCTCGAACAATGTCCATGACGTTGTTGTTTCTTATGTGTATATGGATATGGTTCTATGTATAATGTGTATAGAACAGAAATATTTTTTTTTATTTACATTAAGTATGTGTTAGCGACAAATTATACTATAAATTTATTTTAGCTAGTAGTTTTTAGGTAAGTAATATTTAACACCCCAGTGTTTTCAGTTCCTCCCAAAGTTTCCGCGGTTGTCTGAAAGAAATCGATTTTAGCGATAAGACCGCCAGTTGTAACACACTACGTTATTTTAAATATTATAAATAAATAATATTTTATATTGTATGTTCCTTGGTTTTATAATAAAGAGTTATCTATCTATGTATTAAATGTTATATTTCAGCGCACCGTGTTTATATATAAAATATTAATATGTTTATTTAGTGCACCTTTTCTTTTTGTTTTCGTTACATGTTCCGCACAATCCCATCCCATACAATATGACATTGTCCAAAATGACGCTTATGAAATGGAAACTTGGCTCCCACCACAAAGTCCAACGTCGCCCGCGACGAAAAAAACGGAAATAACCGCACTAAACAACAATATTGTCATCTATGGACAACGCGTTATATATGGACTTTAAACGTGTTATGAAAACGTGAAATTCTAAACTGTGATCGCTATGTGTTGATTGGCTGTAATTGGTATACTTAACGTCTGTAACTCAACGAACGTGTATTTGTGGCATTTTTACTTTTGCGTTTGACGCTAATTTTGTTTTGTTGTAATTTTGGTTTTCTTTCTGATTTTTATATCTATGGTTCCTGCACTGTTTATGGTAACAGTTCGGTCGTGGTTGAAGCCGTATATGCCTCTGTTTATAGGTGTGACTTCCTGTTTGTGGGGAGTGGCAATTCTAATTTATCATCAGATATATGATTGATGTCTGCTTCATTTCTATAGTCACAAAATTGTGCTTTGTCGTCAATGAAATAAGGTTTCAAATCCTATGAGGCGTCATTAGGCATGATTCCTATTTAAAGACTAATTATAAGTGAAAATTCACTACGAGCTTCATAAAATAATTATATTCGAGTTAGAAAGAAGCTAATTCGAGTTAAAAAGAAATTTATTTCACTGTCACTTTTTGGCAAAAAGTATGTGTAATAAATTATTATTTAAAATTAAATTTGGTACAATTTTGTTACTATAGAATAAGATTGTGGATATTGTAAATATTGTTGTTTGTCTACATAATGTTTTGACGTTTTTTATTTTTCATTTTGAATGAATGCTTTGGGTTTTATTTTATTTGGAAAAATGTCACCTGAAGGTGTCTCGTTAACTTTCTAGTCGATTTTATTCAGTCTAGTCCTTAGAAATTTACCAAAGATATTTTTATTGCGAAATTGTCTTTTTTAATTTATTGCCACGATCGATCTTATGATAAAATCTCGAATAAATATTTCAAAAAACAATGCAAGTTCATAATGAGTTTTGGTTATGTAATTTTTTGTTTTATTTCTTATTTAAATTATATAATAATTTAGTTTTATCAAATTGTCATGAAATCTGTAAAGAACCTAGTCATTTTCTTAATTTAAATAATTATGTCTATATGAGATTATAAACCACATGATTTTACACCATAGCAGATGATGTAACAATGCAGGAAACATATTTATAATAATATACAGTTTTCGTTAGATTTTAAGTTTTTTTTTGTATTAGATCATTTATAGAATCTCAGTGTTCAGTTAAAGTTTTGAAACTGCAGTCACTTTGTGGACTTTGTTAAAAGTTTTCATTGTTAAGTAATATCAAGTAAGTAACAGTTGGTGCTTATTTTTCATAATTTTCATGACTGCTATAGTAACAATATTTAATATAGTTGCAAGGTCTCATTTTACATATTTAATACCACCAGATGCTATAGTCAAAATAAAAAAAATACCTATAGTACAATGAGAGGGCAGCAGTGAGTGACTGCAGTTTTTGAAATAGTGATTCGATAAATTTTTCTTTTCCTATATATCTTAGTTGCTATCGGCACATTTATTCTGCATTTACTTATACTTTTTTTTTTATATTGCAGTAAGAGTTATCTTTACAGTATACTTATTTTGTAACTAACTTATGTCATTGTCACGATGTGACTAGAAAACGTCGATGTAAATAAGTTATTAAATCACCGTTATACTATGTTGTTATTATTTATTTGGTTTCATTTATATTTCGGTCTAACTTCAAAATTGAAATCCACCCTTTAAGTTAACAAAATGGAAGAAAATGTTTCATTGAAATTTTGGATCTTAATGCAATGGGATTAAAGTTGTAAGTTATGCGCAAGCAGCCAGGCAAGGATCTGCCAAGTCGTCGACGTATTGGAGCGGCAAGGAAGACAACGGTTCGTTATTGTTTTGTCAAATATAAGCCAGTTTAGAGAGTAGATGATATTGTGACTGTGCTGTGTTTCGTCCCTTACATTATTTGTTGTTATAGATTTTTAAAATCAATTTTTTATGATGAAGGCTTTTCAGAGCATTGGGTATAAGTATTTCGCATTCAGAATTTCCAAAGCATATACATAACGTTTGAGTAATACTAGTTTATTTGTTATTCGTATTGGAAATACTTAAGACTTAAAAGCTTTAAGCTGTATGGTTGTTGTGACGCGTACTTATGTATGCGAGAAAAAGGAATAGAGGTGTAGTTTGATTCTTATAACCTCTTGTACTAGTTATTTTCACATTTGAATTCTACTTACATTGAATATTAAATGGTTTCAGCGGGTTTTCTACATGAACTTAAAGGATGTATTTGAGTTCGATTCTAAGCTTTACCTGTGCTCTGTTTTCCATTTATTTAAAACCCTATTTTTTAAAAATTATTCAAAATTTGTATTTCATCTTCTGCCACTAGAAGTTTAGTTTTATAAATATCATAATGACAACAAGTAATGTAATGTTTTGAAGGTGTAAGTTTTTGATTTCATTCTTGTTTTTGTGCTGCGTTCGATGGATAATTCAAAATGAATTCCAATGAACTATTGTAAATACGAGCAAGTGTAAAAGGAAATTGTTTTTTTTTAAATTTTAATATTTATATCACTGTTTTGTGGGTATACTCTAATGATTAAATTGGAATTGTCATCTATTTTTTCATTGTTCTCGCTACAACTGAATTGGATTTACTATATTTAACTAAATTTCAAGATTGTTAAAACTGAATTTAATAAAATAACAGGAATCACAATTAGAAGTGTGTAAATCTGTTTTAATTACGCTACAATCTATTCCATAGGGTGATTATTTTTTTCATGAAACATCAAGTCAATCATAGAAATTCAAAATAAACAGGTGTACCACAAAACAGTGAGTTGCGAGTAAAGTCTCAATTTTTCTGTTCTTAAAAATCGCTTCGCTTTTGCTTGAGCTTGTTGCGGTGGCATGGATGTGACAAACAAGGTGAAGATTACAAGGGTTCGTAACTGTGTGAACACCCCCTCATGAAACTCACATGTTCCCAAATCTATGTCCATTCATAACACCATTCAATAAATTAATCGTGATGGTTTTTCTTTAACACTTGTTTGTATCCTCCGCACATAGGAATTTTTGACTAATACTGTTTTCTTTTTAAATGTGAACAATAGGTTGACGAATTTTTATTTTTGTGAAAACTACCCGTTTTTTCTAGAGCGAGTCAATACGAATACTCATCTGATGTTGTTGTGTATAGACAATAGGAATGTAGTGTTTGAACTTTTTTGCCTTTAAAATTAGAACATTGTGCGGTAGTTGGATTTGTTATATTTTTTGGTTCCTCATGCTTCACACGGATTGACAAATATTTCAACCCCATATTGAATTGACTGTAGAACGTTGAATCTTTAAATATAATAGTCTTATTACAAAACATGTGTGAAACTGTGTCATAAATATAACGTCTTTTCAAAAGTTTCTATGGGTTGTATGAGTAAATAAATAAGGTTTTGGTTTACCGATCAAAAGATAAATAATTTTTTTGGGAATTCAATGAGTTTATGGGGAATGAAACAAAATCTAAGAAATTTTGCTGATTTCGAGGATAGTAAGGTGCAAATTGGAAGATGAACTTATAATTAGGAATTTATGTTTACTGCTATGTTTTTTCGAAAATTCCTCTCCTAAGAGGTTGAAAAAGAGTATATTTTAAACTTAGCTACTGACAGATTGTAAGCAAATCAAACTTCGTAGCCAATAGACATATATTGGATACCACTTGCCTTGATATCTTGATTCTATCCCCCACCCCGTGGATCCTTGGAACCTTTACTGATCGACAAAATCACAATATCACCAAAAGTGTGAGTGTCACTGCGGTCTCCTGTAAGGTGACTTCCCCAGATGGGTGTTCCAATCTTAGCGAACAAGCTACTCTTATCTTGCGATTAGCACTTACACAGCAAATCTAATTATTGTTGTATTTCTTACACTGTCACTAATATGGAAACAAAAGGTTACAATTAAGCTTAAAATAAATTAGATTTTTTTTTCTAGGGGGTCATCCATAAATTACGTCACACGAATTTCATGTCTTTTTTGCCCCTCCCCCCGTCCTTGTCACAGCTGGTCACATTTGTAAGACTCCCCCCCTCCCTAGTGTGACGTCACATATTTTGCAAATTTACATTTAGAAATCATTGAATGAAAACAGCGGTTCTGTAATCAGTTTTATTTCCATTTAAATGGTTTTTTCATTATTATTATAATCAAATCAAACAATTAACAAAACAAAAAAATAACGATTAATTATATTTATTAAAGAAATTACCGAACAAAAAGTGATTGACTATGTTAATTAAAGAAATTAACAAAACATAAAATATTAATAGCATTTAATTAAATTAAAGATACAAATTTAATAATCTTGAGTCCATGGACATTGATCCCACTCCTTTAAATTATTTATAACAGGCATAGCACCACTTTGTTCTCTTTTGGGTTGTTAATGCTTTCGTAAAGTAATAGTTTCAACACTTAGAGTTTAATATATTTTGAAATGTGACGTCACGAAATTTAGGACCCCTCCCACCCCTTGTCACACGATGTCACATTTCGTCGATCCCCTCCCTACCCCTTAAAGTGTGACGTAATTTATGGATGGCCCCTAGTAAACTTTTCTTTAAATTTAAACATCTAGCAATTAAATGCTTAAAAAATAAATAAAATCATAATTAAAATAAATTGTTTATGAAATGAAAGAAAATAATACTTTATTCAATTTGACTTATACAAAGCTCTTTTGAAGTGTCCAATAATATTCAGTTTATCTGGAATTGTCATAATGTATTTAGTACACTTTTAAAACAAACTCTTTTGGGTATATGACTATAGAATCGTTTTAAATTCCCAAAACATCATTACATTTATCACATTCTTCCTAATAACACAGTGTTATCTATGCGTGGTATTCTTGTTGGCTCGTGAGGTAAAACTCCCTTGGGTGTAGATATTGGCAGTTCTGTAAACGTTCCAACGTGCATGCTTATTTGCCCCGGTTTATTTTGACTAAAATACTTTATGTTAAATAGATGTAAATATAAAATAATAATATGAATTTTATTTTTCCCATCACATACAGTTTTACAGAAGTAACATGTAATCATAATAATAAAGGCCCAAATGAAACTCTTTGTATAAAAATATATAAAATATTTTTTACTTATTTTAATAAAAATGATTTTATATTTACATCTGGCTATCTTTAATTTATGACTTTTGTGATGTAGTACCGTATTATGTTCAATGTAATTAATTTTGTGATGTTCGGTTTCGGTCGGGATTGGTTCATGTTATATTTTATTTCTAAAACAATACCTCATGTGTGTTTTATGCCCCATTCCTTTGTCTCTTAAATTCTATAATTTTAAAATGAAATTCAACAAAGATTTGTAGATATTCTTTTGTTTTGATTTTCAAAAATTAAAACAAATATGTTTTTAATTGCATTGTTAGTTTAAATAGTCTTCTTGCGTTACTGTTATGTAATCTGCCTATTTATATTTCAGTTCTGGACAGACCTCCCTCTCAGATGAGTTACCTCGACCAGTTTTTGAAAGAAGCGCCGACGGAGCGACACTACGACAATGTGCCCTCTATTAACAACGAGCAAAAGGTCGGTTCTTCAATAACAATAAATATTTAATTTAATGTCGCTTTCTAAAGACTTGGATTTTTCGACGAACAATTATTTTTTCAAAAGTAATTTATTGAATTATTGTTTTCCGATCTAAGCATGAATTTTGTCAGCTCCGCAATCGTAAGGAAAATCTATTTTGTTCTTACATCCGTTAGGGGAAGGGGGGGATTGCTGCTCAGTTTTCATAGAAACTGTAACGATGCGATACGATTACGGGGCTATCAAAATTCGTGCTTGCGCTTTTGGTACGTTCACTTCAAAGTAGTTTGAAAATTCCGATTCTTTCTCATGTGTTAACATAATAATTATATTATATATAGGCATTATAATTTTATTATTTAATAATATTGGTAAACCATCACACATTATGTAACTAATGAGGTGTTTGTGATCATCATGTAGTTTGGATTTGTTGTTTTATGGGTACCTATGTGATGAATATTTTTGTAGTATGAACGTTTCGGAAAAGAAAATTATTATTCTATCGTCATACTAATATTATAAATGCAAAAGTATGAACATTTAAAATTATATAAAAAAGCTTTGTTTTACTTGAAAACGTTGACTACTGCTGTAGAAAGTAGTAATTCTTTACATAATTCCCAATCCTGTCTCACAAAAAGTGTCAATATTGCAGTTAAGAGCCCTTTTACAAAATTGCGCCGCTGCCGTACTGATGGGCGCGTAGGTAGATTTGCACTAGTATATATTGCATTTTACGGGCGATGTTTAGAGTCTTTTAAAATAATTATTAATGAACTAATTATAAAAGCTCCTACATATTTAAGTAGTTCAATGATGATTGATTAGTTTTATGAATTTTTTTATAGTAATTCTATTTAATTCAATATCAACATACGAGGTATACCTGCATTATTTTTTGGGAAATCTCACGGAGGTTAGACGTTTTTTTTGATAATTAATGAGATGGAAAATCGAAATTCTAATACATTATGTTACAACAAAAACATATTTCTGATGTCTTAGTAATTAATTTGATCTAATTTATTGAATATTATTGAGAGATTGAGGCGTTTAAAGTTGTGCATATCATCGTTTTTTCCGTAAAGTAGCGGCGGTAGAACGATCAGTACAAAAAAAGGAAAATAGTATTTGCAAATATTCTACATTAAATTACAATAGGAAGAATAAATCTACTGTTTACTTGTATTGGAAATAGTCAAAATCTTTTCTAAGGGGGGAAAAGAGGCGCTCAAAAATTACGATATTTTTCAAAAACTGTGAAAGGGCTCTTAAGCAAAGGTTCATATTTCTGAAACAACTTAGCCCAACTACACCCATTCAGCTTTTTATTTGTGTTGCTATTTTGTTTCATTTGTTTTCGCACAGATGTCACCGCAGTATCGGTACAGAAATAACCAGTACTGTTGCAATGCAAAGGTATTGTTTTTTTTTCACTTATTATTTTATTACTTTTCTTTATAGAGTTTACTTTAAATAACTGTGGCTTAATTATTTCTGTAATTATTTGCATGATTTTCAACAGTCAACAACACACGAGGTTAAACGAATCTATTTCTTCAATCGACCTTGTTATTTATCCTGCGTGATGTAAGGTTCACTATTGCTTAAAATAATCTGATATTTTGTGGTAACTTGATGTGTTGTTGGCGTATGCGATAGGGACTCAAATGCAGTGAGAATCTACTGCTTAACATGCCTTTCTCTGCGTTTACACCAAGAAACAAGTTATATACTACACTGGGATTTCGATAGATTTTTTTAACGCCGAGTGTAGTTTCACACAAAATGCAGTTAAAACAGTATCTAGGCGTATATATAATAAAAGAAATATCTATACAAGTATTAAAGTTACTGATTCCCATATTTTCTTTACCCTATAAGTTTCATGCAGTTTTATACAGTGTTTGAACAAAAAATAAAAACATTATATAAAATTTGCCAAATACGTGTATTTTACCTTGGTGTCGTCAACGAGGACATTAAAGATTCTGTATTTCCGAATTAGGAACTCAATTTTCCAGTCACTCATTCGTTGACCGGCGTCTGCGAAGGTTATTTAAACCTTCTCAATCGCAGAGCTCTAACGTCATCAAACTCCTTAAATGTCCGAGTGTTTTACAGATAATGTATGGATCTCAACAGTCAGCGGTACTCAGTGGGTCTATAGACTCCCAAGACGAGGTGGACCCTAGAGCCGCTTCGCCAGCTTCCAGCAAGAGTTCACCTAGCGAAGTATCTACTGTAAGTCATCACACACGCCAGTAAAGAAACTCATATCGTCGTCATCAGGCAAACTTGACCGATCGAATCAAACTTATGTAAAAGAGCGCGTACACACATTACTACAACTGCCATTGTCCGAATACATATGCGGCATATCGGTCAAGTTTGGCCGTTGACGAGCATATTTCGGCCGATAACAGATTTGGTGGATCCGAAGCCTAAGGCAGTACAGAGTGTCTTTGTTACATGTTTAAAGTCCTTTGTTTATTAGTGATTAAAATAAACCAGTATTTCTCGATTTAAGACAATCTTTTTTTTGGTAATTTATAACGCCAATAAATAAATGGCCAGTACTGTCTTCTTTTTTTAAGCGAAGATATTTTGCACTTGTAAAAGTTAGTATGATAAGTTAGAAATATACTGATAGTAGATGATTTAGGTCCACTTACAGCAATTTTGCAAGATCTCAATTTTACTGGAACTATATTTAGTCCATACAATAATATCAAATTGACTATGACATTTTTCTATGGGTTAAAATTAGTCTTAGTTGCATCGAGATTAAGTAAATTTGCTGCATGTGGGTGCTCAATAATAGGCGTTTATTTGCAGGATCCATCTCTAGGTCCCGCTGTGCCTGGCAAGCAGAAAGTACACCAGTTCCTAGTCAGGACATTCAGCAGTCCCACCAAGTGCAACCACTGTACTTCACTTATGGTAAGTCGCCATCATCAGCCTATTAATGCACAGGTCTTCCCTGTGGATGGAATAGGGAGATTGGGCCGTGACCCACCATGCTGGTCCAGGGAGGATTGGTGGATACTTACGACTGATACAGCCGAGACCAATGGCTTAACGTGCCTTCAGAAGCACGAAGGAGCTCGAGATATCATTTTTTTGTCATCCATTCTATGCGAACGTTGCTTAACTACAACGATAAAATGTGGTCTTTTGTAAGGTGGAGGTTACTTCCCCGGTTGCTCCAAACTTTTGTCACTCCTACAAAGCCTACAATAGTAATTTATGTTATTTACGGGATTGTTAACATATACCTTGTTTTAAGCGTTTCCGATATTTCGGCACTGTATCAAGTGCCATGATCACAGAGTAACTGAAGTAATTGCGGGTAGGCTGTTATTGGCAGACATATCGGTCGAAATGTCGGAAACTCGCTAATAAAAAAGGGTACATACTAACTATCCCGTAAATAACGTAAATTACTATAATGTTAGTGACCATGAAAGTTTAAAACAATATATACAAAGTAATAATCTGAATTTTTTACCGTACTACAGATCGGCCTCACCCGCCAAGGCGTAGTCTGCGAAACGTGCGGTTTAGCCGTCCACACTCGCTGCTGCGGCCGCGTCGCCGCGCGCTGCCCGCTGCCGCCCGAGCGGAGCCGCCGCCCGCTGGGCATCGACCCCGCGCGCGGCCAGGGCACCGCCTACGAGGGATACGTCAAGGTGCGCACTGCGGCCCCGCACTATATATGCACTAGGTATATGCCAGCCCACACTCGTTGCTGCGGAGCGGAGCCGCCGCCCGCTGGGCGTCGACCCCGCGCGCGGCCAGGGCACCGCCTACGAGGGATACGTCAAGGTGCGCACTGCGGCCCCGCACTATATATGCACTAGGTATATGCCAGCCCACACTCGTTGCTGCGGAGCGGAGCCGCCGCCCGCTGGGCATCGACCCCGCGCGCGGCCAGGGCACCGCCTACGAGGGATACGTCAAGGTGCGCACTGCGGCCCCGTACTATATATGCACTAGGTATATGCCAGCCCACACTCGTTGCTGCGGAGCGGAGCCGCCGCCCGCTGGGCATCGACCCCGCGCGCGGCCAGGGCACCGCCTACGAGGGATACGTCAAGGTGCGCACTGCGGCCCCGCACTATATATGCACTAGGTATATGCCAGCCCACACTCGTTGCTGCGGAGCGGAGCCGCCGCCCGCTGGGCATCGACCCCGCGCGCGGCCAGGGCACCGCCTACGAGGGATACGTCAAGGTGCGCACTGCGGCCCCGCACTATATATGCACTAGGTATATGCCAGCCCACACTCGTTGCTGCGGAGCGGAGCCGCCGCCCGCTGGGCATCGACCCCGCGCGCGGCCAGGGCACCGCCTACGAGGGATACGTCAAGGTGCGCACTGCGGCCCCGTACTATATATGCACTAGGTATATGCCAGCCCACACTCGTTGCTGCGGAGCGGAGCCGCCGCCCGCTGGGCATCGACCCCGCGCGCGGCCAGGGCACCGCCTACGAGGGATACGTCAAGGTGCGCACTGCGGCCCCGCACTATATATGCACTAGGTATATGCCAGCCCACACTCGTTGCTGCGGAGCGGAGCCGCCGCCCGCTGGGCATCGACCCCGCGCGCGGCCAGGGCACCGCCTACGAGGGATACGTCAAGGTGCGCACTGCGGCCCCGCACTATATATGCACTAGGTATATGCCAGCCCACACTCGTTGCTGCGGAGCGGAGCCGCCGCCCGCTGGGCATCGACCCCGCGCGCGGCCAGGTCACCGCCTACGAGGGATACGTCAAGGTGCGCACTGCGGCCCCGCACTATACAGGGCGTCCCACGGCTACCTCACACGGAGGGAAAGTTCATTAAATATTGAAGATACGATATTTTACCGAAATAGGACATCATTTTATTTTTAATAATAACTAGAACTGCAATCACAGATTGATGCTTATGCTACGGGGACTGATGTAACATTGTTATTATCATCACCAACCTATTAATGTCCCTACTGCTAGGCACATGCCGTCCCTATGGATGGAATAGGAAGAATGGGCCATAACTCACTACGTAGGGGTGGTGCGGAATGGTGGATGCCAACGACTGCAGATGCAGCAAGACCAACGTCTTACCGTATCTTCCGAAGCACGGAGGAGCTCATAATAATATGTCTGGTCACCCATCCAATGGCGTAACTTCTTGACCTTCACAAGTGTTTGTAACAGCCTAGACTGAATTAATGTATTTTGATTTTGAATTTTGAGAATGGACTGTGCAATACCTCCACAAATAAATTATATTCACAAGAAGAAAAGCGATATAGTGCGTCTAACAGACAGAAAATTGTGTAAGAGACCCAAGTTATCAAGCGGAAAGTAGTTTGCGTTAAATTTTATTATACTGCTGGCTGTGGGACACTTAGTAAGAAAAAAGACGATATTATGATTTAAATGTATCGGTGAAAACATTTTTTCTTTACCAAGAGAAGTGTATATTAATCTGAATGTTTTCAAGTTCTTCACTCATTAGAAAATTTCTTCCAGGTTCCTAAACCGGGAGGCGTGAAAAAGGGTTGGATGAGACAATTTGTTGTTGTTTGCGACTTCAAATTGTTCCTCTACGATATATCACAAGATAGGTAAGAATTTGCCTTTAACAACACACAACAAAACTGTTTCATGAAGTTTAATAGATAGGGAATTCACGATAGACTTTCAATTATCATTTGCCAAGGGGACTAGCGCTTTATGCCGTAATACTGGCATTTGCCTATCTCGGTAGTAGATGAATATGAAGTTAGTTTTTTTTTACATTCACAAGAAGAAAAGTAGTAATTATGTAGTTATGTTCAAAATTTTAGCACTGTTAGGCTTATAAGTTAAATTGTATATCACCTCTCATTAGAAATAAATAAATTATTATTAATAACTTAGGTCTAAATTGGAAGCACCCGCAAAGCACTTCTATTATAGACTACTTATAAGGGCAACTACTTGTGCCTAGCTTATGCAGCAATAGTGCATAAGTATGTAACATGCCCCTAATGGCGTGATTACATTTGGTCACTAACCCGAATACGAGTGCCAATGGAATTCGGGTAAATGACTAAGTGTAAATGAATGGAGTCGAGTACGCCTGTATTCGGCTATATTTCTTTTTGATTGCCCGACACCGTTTTCCAGCCCGAATTTCAGTGTTTATATTGCTTCGAGTGCTGGAATTCGAGTAATGTCTTTCGTGCACCCGAATGGCTAACGACTAAATGTAATAGGCTATTTGACAGTATGAAAAATTATGTACTAATTGTTGGCATTTGTATTTAATATGAATAATAGCAGCGATATTACTATTCTAAAATAACAAATAATTAATAACTTTTCTAAAAAATCATTAAATAGAAATGATTTTTTTGCTCCATGGTCACGTGACCGAGAAAGCCTGTGGCCAAGACTAAAATGACGTCACACGCTAGTATACTTTCGGCCAAAGTGATATTACATTGTATCGTTTGACGTTGTCATACACTAGTGAGACGCCATGATGTCCAGAGAAACGTTTTAGCGGGAACTTGAAAATTGCATTTTTAATTTAGATTTATTTTTCAGAATTGCACAATAGAATTAAAAATATCCACTTTTGGACTCCATAAATATTACTTAATAACGTGGGATTGTTTTCTAAAACTGTCAAAAACCCTATTGCGGCATAACCGTAGACGAATGGTGTACAACCAATTTGTCATCCGTCCATGACGTCACATTGCCATGACCTATCCCCGTAAGGCGGCAACTTTGGTTATTTAGATTTCATACAAAAATTTAGTAACCCTGTGGTCTATGTATGGGGGGTTTTTATCTCTTTCTAAAGAGTTGTCAATTCTATTATTTGTGGCTTAGTCTATTGTTTTGGATATGTTATTTAATATCGATTTTCCACACAGGAACGCGTTACCGTCGGTGTGTGTGAGTCAAGTTTTAGACATGAGGGACCCTGAGTTTAGCGTCACCTCAGTCAAGGATTCTGACGTCATACATGCTAGCAAACGGGACATACCGTGTATATTTAGGGTGAGTACTTAATTTATTCTAGCAATATTTTCTTTAGATATATACAGGGTGAAATTGAATGTTTCTATGAAACTTCGTGAGATTGATGGGTTACATGTATAGAGTATGCCTGATTTTTTTCGGATTTTTTAAAATAATTTTTTTCGTTTTTTAATTTTTTATTTGGTTATTTTTTTGTCATTTCTTCCTTATGAGTAATTATTCATTTTAAACACGTCTACATAGAAGTTATAAAGCAACTTAAAATAAGCACTAATAAAAAAAACGGAAACTTAATGAATGCCTTCATTATGCCTCCAGTCGAGATCAGCGCCGGTCGGGGCGACGACCGGCGGCCGCCTGTAGGTACCTAACTACACGCACAGATGACTCGGCGCTTACCTACTCGCTTTGATCCACACTATTTAAAAACAATACAATAAAATAGTCTTAGATGCTATATTATAATTATTTATTCACTGATACACAATACCTTTGAATATTATTTCATAAAGCACAGGTAATTAATCAATAATATAAATCTTCTTAAAATTAAGAGCAAATCGGTATAACTTACGAGCTTAGGGAAGGAAGGAACTCTTCGTGTCTGATTTGCCCACGTCATGAAATTCCGAACACATTTAATCACAGCCACAGTCACACATACACACACACACACATAATAATATGTTGTTTTGCGGCAAGCACGGGCGGGCGGCGCGCCGCACGCTGGCAACTAGCGCCGGTTGCGGCGTCTTTGATGATTTGAATTCCGCCCACCTCCCCTCTTCCCCGCACGCGGACGTTTGCTTTGATTGCATGCAAAACGCAGTCGCAAGTATATTAATCGCGCGTGAGCGTGCGCATCTTTTGACTTGGTGACATACACTGTGATAATTTCATTATGCCTCGGTATACAAACCAAGAATATTTAGAGATGGTGTACTGCTATCGCGAGTGTGACGAAGTAGGTTTGGTTTACGAATGAGTCCCTAAACCATAGAAGTTGCATTTTGTGCAGTGAGTAGTGATAGGGACACTTTAAAAAAGGTGAAAAGACACGTCCGCAAACAGGCAACCTTTGTTTGCAGCAAAATGGTGGTTTAGAGCAACAATTTTGCAGATAATAATTTAAGTCTCTTTTTATTGCTAGTGTAAATACTTTTTGATTAGAAACAACTAATTGTGTACTACCAGTGTGATTGATTTGATTAAAAATTTCTAGTGAAAAAAATGAATATGTTCCTCGTTCCTCGTTGTACCTACCTAAATCGCCGGTCTCGTAAGTACTTTTGAATACCTGGTTATAAATTTCATTCTTGGGGTATTAAGCAATAAGTATTTCTTTTTGTTTAACATTTGCCTATTTCCAATCGTGACAAAATTATTATTAACTTTTAAAGTTTTTCTCTGCTTAAGAAAAGATGACATTTGTGCTTATTATTTCAATTTCAATAAAGGCATCTAAGACGATTTTATTGTACCTATTGTGTGGAATCAAACGAGTCAGTTGAGCTCTGGTTAGAGTTAGGTAGCTACTTACTCAACGGCTGGCGGGCGCGGTCGGTCGTTGACCCGCGGTGGAATTTCAATGTTTTTCCGTTTTTTAGAAGTGCTTATTTATTAGTTGTTTTTCACTGGATATGTAAGTTTGTTTGTTTAAAATGAATAACTACTCAAAACGAGGAAAGGACATAAAAATACACAAATTATAATAATAATAATAATATAATAATAATAAATATATCTTTATTCAAATAAGGTCATACATTGCATAATAATACTAATAACAATATAAAATACAAAATAATGGATGCCTGAACTAGGTTACAGTTAAAATTGTACCTGTATTTCAGGCTTTTATGATCTAAATAATACATAGAATATTTAATAAATTAACAAATTAATTAAAACAGAACTTAAAGTAATCATTATATAAATGTTGGTAAATGTAAATAATGGAGTTACGTTCATTTATTTACAAATAAGAAGTAATTCTTCGGTCTGCTCGTATGTCAGGCTGTGCAAATAATTAAATATTACAGTTCTACAGTTAAAATAGTTTAATGTGTAAATACCTAATACTCTATTTAACTTATTATATAAGAAAGGACTTAGGAAAGTAGAGAATCTATGTGAAAAGATGTATTTTGAATCATGTGTAGAGATGCAGACTATATCTTTCCGTCTTTTGTTAGTGATATCAGAGCAAAAAGGTGAAATGGTGTGTTGTTTTAATATGGTGTGCATAATGAAAAGCTGGCGAACAGTTAACACATTACAGTATTTGTAAAGTTGATGCGTAGGATATAAGAAGGGAAGTGAATTGGCTACTTTTAAAATGGCTCTCTGAGCTCGCTCGAGGGGGATTAAAATAGTTTTGAGAGCTCCACCCCATGAAGTTATACAATATTGAATTACTGATTGGCATAAGGCCTGATATACCTGTTTTATTAGTTTTGGACCTGGAATGGTACGTAATTTTTTAAAAATATACATTAATTTACGGATCCTGACTACTAGATTTGCAATATGCTGTCTAAAAGATAATGTGTCGTTAATTAAGATACCAAGATATTTTATATGGGATGTGTTCTGTATTAAAGGGCAATCGCATTTATTGACTGAAGGATATTGGCATTGGTGTGCGTATAAGTTAGGATTTGTAAACCCATGACAAGGCTGGCGCATAGAAAAGTGAATATAATTGGTTTTGTCAGTATTCAGTGTTAGTAAATTGCAGCGAAGCCAGTTATTTACACCATTAAGACCAAGTTGAGCTACCTCATATAATTCTGACCTACTATTGGCGCTAAAAATCAAGGCCGTATCATCGGCGTAAGATATAATTTTACCATATTTTAAATTAAGGTTACATAAATCATTGAAGTAAACGAGAAAAAGGGTAGGGCCGATTATACTTCCCTGGGGAATACCATAGCAGGTCATTTTCTGGTAATCACTTTTAATATTTCCTATTTTAACGCATTGAGATCGATTGTCTAAATAATCTGCAAATAGTTTTAACTGCGTTCCTCTAATACCCAATGCTTCCAACTTTTTTAGAAGCTTCGGAATTGAAACGGTATCGAACGCTTTTGCTAAATCAAGAAAAACAGCTAGAGTATGCTTTCCTTTGCCTAGTTCCTGAGTAATATAGTTAGTCAGGTTATGCACCGCATCTGCTGTTGACAACTTTGCCCGAAAACCAAATTGCGTAGGTGACAAATAGTTATTTTTTTCCAGGTAGTCAATAAGCCTTTTGTTAATAATTTTTTCTAATAGTTTTGATAAGGATGGAAGCACTGATATTGGTCTATAGTTATTTACTTGATCTTTACATCCAGATTTATAGACAGGAGTAACTACTGCTTTTTTTAAACATTGTGGAAAAATACCCTGCGAGAGGCAGATTTGAAAAATGCGTGTTAACGGTGGTATTAAAATATGCTTAAAAGTTTTGAGGATTTTATTGCTAATGTTATCAAAGCCGACTGCACTGTCATCTTTCAAATCTGTAATTATTTGTAAAATTTCTTGTTGGTCGGTATTTAACATAACAAAACTATTCCTACTGGTGGTAGCGTTAAGTGACTGAGAAAATAGATTTAGAGGTTGGTGGAGTTCTGCAAGGTCTTTTCCCATATTAATAAAATAGTTATTTACATAATTGGCTGATATAAGCGGTGAAGGATGGGTTAATAGTAAACTCGAACACGATTCGTGCCTTTTTGAAGTGTAGGTAAAATTTTTAATATGTCTCCAAAGGCGTTTGCTATCCTTGCCTGCTTTGAGTAGTTCATTTTTTTCATAATTTGCTTTTAATTTTTTCAAAAGATTATTAACGAAATTCCTGTATCTCCTATAGATAACTAGCAATGTGAGGTTATCGGGATATTTTTTTGTCCTCATATGAAGTTTATCCCTGTGTCTTATACATCGAATAATATCCGGGGTTATCCAAGGTTTGATATTTTGATATTGTTTATTTGAAGCAACCACAGACGTATTATGTAATATAGCTTGTTCAACATTATTAATTAAATACAACAAAGATGCATTCGCGTCCGTCGATTGAAAAACTGGGGCAAAGTCAAGCTTGCATAAATCGTGTTCGAGTTTCTTTATGTTTAACTTAGATTTTACTAGTTTATGATTCAGTTTAGGCAGCGATAAATTTAAGGTTAGTAAGACAGCGGAATGATCGGTAAGCGGCGTTTTTGTGACAAGTGTTAGATATGTTGACCTAGATTTTATCATCATATGGCATTATAAATAAATACATGAAAAAAATATACTTCAAAAAAATCCGAAAAAAGACAGGCATACTCTATACACATAACCCAACAATCTCACGAAGTTTCATAGAAACATTCAATTTCACCCTATATAATGTAGCAGTTAAATATTTAAAATTAAAAACAATAACTGTACACAGATCAAAGTAGTCAAAGCAACATGCATCATTTAAAGGAACTGTATGTTTTTAAGTTTTTTTTTCTTAGCAAAGTAGATTAGTATATATAATCTTTTTTGTTCCCGAAAATAGAGTTGGTTTATTTTAAATAAAAATATAAACATTTTGATTGTGTTTATAATAGTATACCTAGTAAATGTATTACAATAGTAAAAATCGTTCAAAAGTTCGTAATCGTGCAATAGTTGCTAAGACTTTTGATGAGTATAGATACTTCTTTATAAACGAGATCGTTTCACATTGACATTGAAACCATAATGTTTCAAAGGCAGTAATAGTGTGTTAAATTTAAACAAAAATCTTTTTACGTTACTTCCTTTTTCAATTGATTGAATTATTTTAAAGAATTGATTGCAAATAATTGTTAGTAGAATCGAATCTTAAAAGGTGTCGAAAAGGTTAAATGTGAAGAATAATTTACAAAAAATAATCTTGCTCTGCTTGATATATGCTATGTTTTGTGTACAGATATCAACCTCTCAACTGGAGGGTGGCAAACGATCTCATACGTTAATGTTAGCTGAATCCGAGTCGGAGAAAACCAAATGGGTGGTCGCTCTGAGCGAACTGCACAGGATACTCAAGAGGAATAATTTGCCGGACAAATGCGTAAGTGCTTTTATGATCTGTTTATTACTTAGATTAAATCAAAAACGGAAGATACAAAATAAAATATGACCCTACTCAACTTCATAAGCAACACGCACACTTCTGTAAATAGACATTCAATCGAGCGAGCGTTTCAAAGCAGCGCGAGCGTAACGGTGCGAGTCCGCGTCGCTTAGCAGCCGACTGCGTTTTCTTTTCTCGGCATTGTTGCCCTTTTCTTGATAAATAATGGCGAATCAGTAACTAATATTTATGGAAAACCGTGATTTTTGAGAAAAAAAATGTTTTCATAGTTTTACTTAACATAGGTCACTTTTGAGCCGCGAGTGCCCTACCCTTTTTGTTTTAATCTAAGGTTTGTTATCATCTTTGTTTTGTTCTATGTTAAAAGGATGGCAAACAAGCTTATGGCCCTCCTGACCTGGTAAGCGGCTCCCGTAGCCTATAGACGCTTGCGATACGAAAAATATTACTCACGCCGTTGCCGCGTATTACTCAACCAAAAAGGTGTTGGCAGGTTGCATTTGACATAAGATCGCTTTTTGATTCCGTATAGTAAATCAAAGTATCCACATGCCTTACAAACCTATCCAATGTAACTTTTGTATAGCGGTGCGCGCGATGTACATAGTATGGTTCATGGCAACATATACGTGTCCTTTTTTGGTCGTTATGTAAAAATATGATAACTATACGAGTCGACTTCATTAGTTGAATTTAAACTACTTCTTTTTATCTGTTAGTTCTTGTTCTTCTGGTACGTCATTTGGCTACTCGTGTTTGCTATTTCTAAACTTGACATCAATCTGTTCTTTTCACTCATCATTTTTAGGCATTAGCGTTTGTCATTGATGCGTTAATATGTTGATTTTTGAACGTTTGTAACAGGTATACAGCGCATGCGTGGTAGTAGAAGGCGGGGGTAGCGCTTGCAGCGCTTTACGAGGCGCTTTATGCGCTTGCGTCATAGAAGGAACCCGGATCTGCGTGGGGGGAGACAATGGGTTAGCTCTGCTAGACCTGGAACGAGGGGAGTTGACTCCTCGTCGGCATCACGCTCCAATATCCAGATTATTGCACGTACCTGCTGAACAACTACTGGGTGAGTACTGTGGCCGCATGATAGCGGCGTATCTCTCACACAGGGGACAAGGGGTCAGCGCAACGATATTGAAATACCCTAGATACAACAATACGAACATAATTGTGGCCGTAACCTGACCAAAAGGTACACTGGACGAACCACGGAGCCCCGTAAGATGATCGCGTAGTCAAAACAATATAAGGCATTATTCAAACATTGAAAGTCACCTTTAATGCGTACTGGATAAGGTCTTAATTAAAACGTATGCGTCAAGAGTTATGACAGTTCGAAATGCAAGCTCGTAAAATTTACGATTTATTGCTATATGTGGAAGAATATAGCCCTTATTCATTTGACTCTACGCGCAATTCTGAATGCGCTGTTAGCAATATAGTAGGTATGGACCGCGAGGAAAAGAGACGGCTATATTACCGACCATGCATTTGAATATCATACACATTTTATAATAAATCAGTTTATAGTAAGTATTGAAACAAAGTTTGCTTCAAATGTGTTATATTAACACACATTGATTAGATACCTGTCGAAAAAACGACATTTTCTCACGAGCTTTGCGGCATCTTGACTTTTCAACTGTCCGCGCGTTACTGTGAACCAAGAAATGCGTGAAATGCAATAAAAATGTCAAGAGCTCCGTGACAAAATGCGATAAAAATACTTATAGTATGTAAAGTGTCCCTTTTTGTCGACAGGTAATTAATATTTATTAATTTACCGCATTTTAATCCAAATTTTGTTGTAATACTTACTATAAATTGATTTATTAAATAATATTTGTGATATTCAAATACATAGTCAGTAATATAGCCGTCTCTTTTCCTCGCGGACTGCACGTGCAATATTGCAAACAGCGCATTCAGAATTGCGCGTAGATTCAAAGAAAAAGGCCTATATTCTTCCGCATATAGCAATAAGTCATAAAATTTTATGAATTTTTAGTCTTAATTCATTAAAGGTGACTTTCGATGTTCAAATAATGCCTCATATTGTTTTTCACTATGTGATCATCTTACGGAGCTCCGTGGAACGTCCAATGTACTTTTTGGACAGGTTTCAGGCACGATTTTGTTCGTGTTGGTGTATCTAGCGTATTTAATTTCGTTGATTAGAAGTTAAATACTTAAAATGTGATTAAATTTATATCCTTTTTCTATAGTTGTGATAGCGGGTCGCGGCCGCCACGTCCGATTAGTCCCAATTCGAGCGTTGGAATGCTCGGAGGTCGAATGTGTGAAGTTAGCAGAGTCTAAAGGAGCAGTGGATATAACTGCGGGAGAATTGCACGCATCAGCTTACGGGTTCGCAGTAGTGTGTAAACGACAGGTGAGATAGTTATTTTTTTATATCATTTTTTACCGTATATAATACAAAGAAGTTTTGGAGGCGGAATGCGTGTGAAGTTAGCAATGTCCAAAGTTGCGGTGTATATAGCTGCGGGAGAATTGCACGCTTGCAGCGATTTTGGCCGCTACAGTTTATTTATTAATTTTGTACCGACCCAAAGAAAATTACTTGAAAAAAGTTAATTAAAAGCTAGTATTTCTACCACAAAATTGCATTAACATAATGTTTTTGTTTAGTGTATGTTTATAATTGAGTTTTATGTTTATAACGGGATCCTAAAAAATATTTTATGGTTCATGTCACATACGTTTGTCGTTTTCGATTATCGTTTCACAAGTGCTACAGCTACTTACAGATAATTTTCCTAAATCACTTTGAACGACAAATTTTTCAATGTGATTTAAGAATAGTTGAAGTACTCCTGACTTTTTAATTATTGTTTAATAAATTGTACTTTCATGCTATTAATTTGCTTATATTTTTTCTTATTTAATAACCTATAATAATAATAATAACCTTTATTACTCACCATAATCATTTGTTGGTAGATTTACAGGCAAATAGTATCATTAGTATGATGAGTATCGATATAACTTTTGTATCATTTAACCTAATCAATGACAGAAAATACAAGTCTTTGTAGAAGACAACCTGCAGTTTTAATAAAAAAAACTTATTAAAAAGTGTCTGATTATTATTACAGACAAAAATGCTTGGGTTTGAACTGAACAATAATTCCAACAGGTTTTCTATATTAAATAAATCATGATTGTATTGACGCTGTAACAACATAATGATTTGTAAATGTTGCTATATTATACTTTTAATGTTGTAGACATTTTTTCGCTAGTTTTTTCGCAGTTAAAAAATATGTCCAATAACGAATGGTAGGGACGATTCAAAAGAGTTGTACTATACATCCAATTTGAATAAAGATATATTGATTTCTGATTTCTAAACATGGAATTAACCGTATACGTTAATTCCAGAACTCGTACGTTGTGAACGTATACGAAATAACACGTACTGCGGCGCGGAGATGTCGTATAGCGGAGTTACGAGCTCCTAGTGCTGTGCTCAGCGTTCAACTGGCAAGGGGGAAGCTCATACTGGGGTATAGGTAAGTGATAGAAGGCTTCCCTCTATTTGGTAGAATGTTATTGCTCCGAAAATTATTTGACACTTGGCATAATCTTCTTTAAACGAATATTTGTAAGACATTTTTTTAAGTATAATAATTAATTTCGCTAAGCATAATTGGTATTTGTGGTCCTAACCTAACCTAATCTAGGTTAGTATTGTAACCTAATTTAGCGCGAGCCGAGCGAGCGAAGTGAGTGTGCCGAAGTTCCAGTTACCATAGATAATAGATAAATAAACAAAGAAAATTAAGTTTTAATGTCTGCTAAATGAGTGCATGTCAAATGATTTTCTGTGAAATGTAGTTTATACCATCCGCTGATATGCATAATAATATTATGACATTAAAAGTTCTGCGTTACAAGGTAGACCCGTGCTAGAATCAGTTTTCGAAATACACAGAAAAGCGATGGGAATCTTTTTTTGTACTTAAAAAAAATATGACAGAAACGGGAGGTTTTGTGTCACATATCTGTGCTAGAAGTTTCTTTGCGATTTTTCGGGTCTACGTGTACAAAATAAGGAACAAGTACTAGTATAAAATACAAGATTCACTTATTATCGATAAAAAATTGATGACCCCTTATAAATCTGTTCTATATAAATTTCTACACATTAACATTTTCGGAGAGTTGGCGGTAATAGTTTCAACTTCAGTACAGTAACGGCAGTAAACTCTTTTTACTGTTTAGATTGGGCGTAAGCGATATATCCATAAAGCCTCTTCTTTTATTGATAATGGGTGATAGGAGATTGACAAAAGTAATTAAAGAATGAATAGGAAGTAAGTTAAAAGAGACCGGGGAGACCTGCCTCCCTAGCATGAGCACCGCGATATGACATATAACGCTCAAATGTCAAATCACTATGAAGTTTGACAGTTAGACGCGATAAAAAACGTGATGTAATATAAATTGTAGTGCTCATGCTACCGCTGACGGGGCTGTACGGCCTATTCGCTAACTGCTTTCGGCAGACGGAAGTGATAATCATCGAGATATTAAGTGATCCACTACTTTTTCATTACAATGCCACTAAGATACTTGTTCTGAAAAGCATCGATGGATATGCAATTTCTCTTTAGTTACACACTGTAAATGTCATAAAATTAAGCGAATAGACCGGTTGATTAAACGACTATATTTTGCATAGGTATCTCGATAGGAGTTCAAGTTAGAAGTACACAAAATCGAAAGCACGTAAAAAAATTAAGGATCGCAGCTAGCAAGTAGAAGGAAGTGATGTTAACCTTAAGCCCTATAAAATAAAGGCGGAACTTTCTTGTATCACACACACAAAAGTCACTCCTACTGTAATTTATACCTTATTGTTATAATCTTAGGGGCGGATTTGCGCAACACCCTCTACCAGATCCGCGTAGACCGCACATAGAACATCCAGCCGTATGTGAGTATTACCTTTTACATTCAAACTTCAGTGTTTCAGTATCGATTGACTAATGAAACTTAAAATAACAATCGGGTGACCTTATTGCTTAATGATTTTTTATTGTCTTGTTTGGTTTTTTGTATTTTAGTTTACATTTTTAATATTGTTTTATATAATAATGGTTGAATTTATAAACAAAGATACGTAAAATACGATAGATACAGATACGATAAAAGTTTAAGAACTTTTATTTATATGTATTTTATATTCAAATTAAAAACCTATTCACGTTTAAGCTTCCTGCCATCTCTATTTGACTTAAAACAACAAAGTTGGAATGATGTACTAATCACCCTTAATTTGAATTAGAACTTGTGGGCCTTGTTTAGTGCAGGTTGCAATTCAAATGTCAAAAAGTAAACTTTCACCCTTTAGTGTGCTAAAAAATTTTTAATCTTGTTTTCTGCGAGTCTTTGATAATTTCGGGACTGTTGCAAGTGTCATATAAATCAAAAAGTCACAGAGTTACTATGTTGTAAGTGTCATGGTTGTTGAGTAACATAGCTTCTACAGTAGTTTAGTTACTTCGTGATCTTGGCACTTCAACAGTGTCGAAATATCGTGCTATCACAAAAAGAAAATACAGATAGGTAACAGTGTTATAACATCGAGATTTATTTTCTTTCTTCCTTTGTCTAGCTCTGGTCCACCCTGAGAACCAAGTGAACCTGTTTCTGTCCCACTCTGGCGCGCGGCCTCTCGCTTGCGCGCCAGTTCCTCAAACTACGGACACTTTGCTGGTGTTCAATTCCCTCGCTCTATACGTGGACCGGCACGGGCATCGAGCCCGGGACACCGAGCTCATGTATACTGCTCACCCTCAGCACCACGGTGAGTGTACTTGCAAGGAAGGCCAAAGGGGAAGAACTTCCCCTGAGCAAGGTGATGGATTATTAGAGTGTATATTATGTATATGCTGTATGTCGCAGATTACCTTTACAGCGTCACCGGGTTTGGGAGGGCAAGATCCCAGAGTGACCTCAAGCCGAAAACTGGCAAGAGCCTCTAGAGGTATTTCAAGTAGTTGGCATCTCCCCGCGAGGGGAAGCCTCCGTCTGGAGCCTCTAGACCAGTTGAACCTGAGGGGGTCGCGGCTTAACTAGATGGCGTCTCTGAGACTTGGGACCTCGGCTCTAGTTTGCCGTTGTTGTGGGGGGTGGGGTGGGGTGAGGGGGGTGGGGGCACATTTTGATGAGGCTAATGTTTATTTCCTCCATGTCGGTTATATGCTGGGAGTGATATACCTACCTGTTTCTGTCTCTCGCTTCGCTAGTGCGGTGGTTCCTCCGGTAACAGTCACTTTTACCCCCTTATTAATAAACAAGGAGTAAGCTTAGACTAGTTACGCCGTGTTATGTTCATGTTACTCAAATCCCATTTGTCATTCAATAGACAGAGACAAAACATGGAGTAACTAATCCAAGCGTAGTCTTCGTTTATAAATAAGGGGGTAAGTGTTCAACTTTTTTGCTCTTAACGTGGACTGATACGGGCATCGAGCCCGAGACACCGAACTTATGTATACTGCTCACCCTCAGCACAATACATACAAAAGCAGTAGCGTAACTCAGCCGTTTTTTTTTGAAATAGAAAATACCTACGACTAAGCGAAGCGCTAGGGTTGGTACTATCGCGGAATTTTGCGCTCTGTTACTTGGCGAACAAAATACTTTGAACGGTTTTCTACAGTAGTTTTTACTACGCCCCGCCTTCGCGTCGGACGCGCCAATCCGGGCCGCCGCACAAAAGTAAGACAGAGAGCATTTCATTGATGAATAATGAATTGAATTGCATTTGTTTTAGTTGCAATTTGTCATCCGTATCGTGATCGCGACAGCGCTATACGATAAAGTAAGACAGCGATAATTACATGTCTATGACTGAATTTTTACTGTGCCGCTACCACAAGCGATTATGGTATTATGGGTGACAGAGCCGGTCTTTCCGCGAGTGTACCTACAGAATTTACGCCGCCATTATTAAATATTTTATATTAGTGCCGAGTACTATTGCCACGTTACGGAATCGAAACGGAGGCAGACGGCGCGGGCAGCGCGGCGCAGCTAACTTAACTCGGCCAACGACCAGTCTCGGCGGCGCGTGACGTGGCACTGCGTAGATTTGACTTGCCAAGATTGGTTAGCGGCCGTGTAAATGACGTTTGTCTGTGTGCGTGCGTTGATTAGTATGAAGTCAAAGTACTGCTCTTGTATGTATTGTGCCCTCAGCATCACGGTACTGTATATCTGAGACGGCATATCAAATTTGTATAACATGAATTTATTCATAATATTTGATACAGGTAATATTACATGACATTATTAAATTCACAACAACAACCTCCTTAATTACGAATTTTGACTTTTGCTACATTACATAATGATAAGATACGTTCATTATCTGGCAATATTTTCCTAGCGAGATTAAGAATTAACAGTTCGTGCCTGTTCCTACTTTTCTACTTAAATTATAAATGCGAAAATTTGTATGTTTTTTGTTATTCAATCACGCAAAAACGGCTGATTTTAAACGCCTTGTAAAACGCTTACTTGGTATAGACATACATACATTTCATCCCGGAAACGTTATAGATTCCTGAGGGATTAAAAATACTAAAGTAAACGTGTAGAAAGTCGCGGGAGGCCTCTAGTATTGAAAATAATGTTTTTGTTGCAGCCGTTAACGAAACCCACCTACTTATATTCACGGCCACGCACATAGATATCTACGACATTGAATCCGGAGAGTGGGTGCAGACTATCAATATACGTAAGTATTACCGCTGTATTTTAAAATAATTCTTATTTGCATTAATTTGCGCAAGTTCCCCGGAACATACAAATATTTAAAAGGACTTAGGTGTATGTCTTCAGTATAATTAAAAAAAAATCTTTCAACCATCAACAAGGCCTTGGTCCAGGAAGCATCTCAGTAACAGCTGTCAATGTCAAGGAGTGAAACTCGTGACGTAACTTCTAAGTAAAAATCGTACCAGGACGTGACGTCATGTAACATTTTTAATGATCTACCTGAAAGATGATTGAAAAAAAAGTTTTCCATCATCCCTATTGTTTATTCTATAATTGTTAAGTTCATACATACATAATTGTATATCTTTTCCTTAAATATGCTTGGAAATAGGTTAAGTCTTTTAACAATCTTCTTCGAGATTAATTGAAATTGCGTACTGGCCAAATACATGCGAGCAGACGGCGGCAAAAGTTGTATGAAAATCCATATCTGTCTTGTAACCATGTCTGTGTTTAGCGGCAAAATAAATTACATAATAAGCTCATAATATGTGTCGTGTTATTTAAAAACTAGATCGCCGCAGTAATGTACTGTTATCCTCCGTGGCCGAGTGGTATGTACGCCGGGTATTATGGTGTTGCCAACTTGAGAGGTCCCGGGTTCGAATCGCGGTGGGGGCGGATGTTTGTGTGACGAATACGAGCATTTGCACTCCAGTCATGGATGTTTAATATGTATTTCTATATAAATATACTTATATATGTATCAGTATATGTATTCTATCCGTTACCCTAGTATCCCATAACACAAGCCTACAGTGCTTACTTTGGGGCTAGACTAATAGGTGTGAGTGTTGGAAATATTTATTTATTATTTCAGCGAACGCGCGGCCATTGGACGAAAACGGATGGGTGGTCGCTGTAGGAGGCGGTGGAAACGGATTCCCCTTCTCCAGTGACGCACCTCCGTATATTCTATATCTGCGACCTCTGTTTGCACGTAAGTTTATTATTATACTGCTATTAGGGCTCATAATTGTGTCCACTGGTACTTGGAACACTGTGGAGATTGTGACTGTTGTAGAGATAGCGTTCGCGTTCAAGAGATTTTCGTCTTAGAGATTTTATTGACTGACACCACTATCTTTATGTTATTGTACCCATAATCATACAGTTTTCACGCAGGATTGGCAGAGCATGAAATGCCTGCGGCCGCTGTTAGCACGTCAGTATATACTGCTATTAAGGCTCATAATCGTGTGCACTGGAGCTCGGAATACTGTGGAGTTTGTAACTGTTTTAGAGCTCATGAGATTTTCGCCTTAATGCGATAATCAGCAATTTTTTTTCGGCATTATTTCTTAACGTTACTTAATATTTTTGTAATAAATAACCATAAACTAGTCGCAAATTGTTGCACCCCATCTGATGTAAAGTATAATCTATTGGCACGCGCCTAAAATGAAGACACTCATTGACCAGAGAAATGATTTCGCAGCATATTTAAGAACATAATTTAGATTTTTTTTTTCTGTCTTTGCACGCACTTCCTTAAGTAATGTATGTTTTCAATAAATTTGTACTATTATATCGTTCGATAAGGAGCTCGATGGCGTAGGTGGTTAGCACGTTCGGCTGCGATCGTTGAAGTTAACCAACTTTTCCAGTGGTCGGTCATTGGATGGGTGACCAAAAATATTCTATCTCCGAGTTCCTCTGTGCTTAGGAAGGCACGTTAAGCCGTTGCCAATTCGCATTACGCCCGCGTGGTGGGTCATGGCCCAATCTCCCTATTCCATCCATAGGGAAGGCCTGTGCCCTAGCAGTGGGGACATTAATAGGCTGATGATTATAATGTTAATTACGATTATTTCAGCGGGTCCGTTGAGCGTGGATTTGCTATCATCTTGGGGCAACAATAAACGGCGATTCTCTATAAGGGAACAGTCGCACCAGGCGATCGAAGCGCACAACAGACTGTGAGTATTGTCATATAATTTACCTTTTTATTCTTCCTACTGCTGCAATGCTGGAGAAAAGTAAATTATTATTTTTTTCATATAGCCAGATAGGCAAATGATTCTACCCCACTTGATGTTAAGTGGTGACAGATTCCAAACGCAAAGATAGATGGTACAGAAGTTATAAACTGCTACACGTACCATCCTCACCTTGCCGGCCTTCAAAATGCTTCTTCACGCCTATCTTAAAGGACCCCAGATTGTAGGAATTAGGGAACACGTCTTTTCTCTTTAAATGATAAAAGATAGAAATACTTGTGAAAAATCATCTGTATATTATGTTAATTTGATTAGTCTCATTTTAACACTATACTTTATATTTTGGCTAGTTTGGTACATAATATTTCTTGATGTATAATATTGATTAATGCAACTGTTAATTAATTCCTTTTCACCAGACTTAGCAACATTTGGTTCATTTCATTATATGTCTACATGTCACTTTGTTAAATAACTTCTTCAATAAAAAGACTACATTAACGACTTTTCAATTCAATAAAAGTGGAAAGAAAATATTTTTATAACAAACGAGTGTTCTGTACCCTTAGCACGAACCAATATCGAATTCGGATCGAAATCAAGTCCGAAATGTCATTGTCATATGTGTGTTGATTTTTAGTTCTGTTTATATACTTTATGCCGCTGCTGTGCAAGTTTCCATATAAATTTTGACATTGACATTTCAGTTTGCAAACTATTCGATAATGGTTCGTGCTAGGGGTACTGTACCCTTAGCACGAACCAATATCGAATTCGTAACGTTTGCGAGTACGAAACGTCAATGTCAAATGTGTACTGATTTTTAGTTCTCGTTACGTCCGTTATGGCGCTGCTGTTCAAGTTTCCATATAAAATTTGACAATGATATTCAGACTCGCAAACTATTCGAATTCGATAATGGTTCGTGCTAAGGGTACTGATAAAGAAGTTGTGCTTGCTAATCAACACGAAACCAATGAAGTGAATGTGATTTTTTTATTTATTATTCCAATATTAACGAAGTAGTGTATGTGTATTGTAGTACAATAATATTACAGCGTCACATAAACCTACACATTATTACATTATACACATGTACATAATAAGTACATAGTCAGATTTGAAATTTTGGCTTTTCAATATACTTACTATTTCTCCTACTATTTGTAATTTATTTAATTATATTGTGTCCAGGTCGCAGGGCAGGTCTCGTTTGATTTCTGCTCCTACCAACTTCGCCCATCTTTCCCATATGGGCCCGGGTGATGGGATAAGGTCTCAGCGACTACTAGACTTGCCCACCACAGTAGAGACTGCGGACACTACGCCACAGGTCGGTTATATTATATTTGAAATTGGGATAAAAAGAACTGGCACTTTTTCTCCATTAAATCCGTCTTTAATATTTGAGGAGCTGGCAAACAAAACGGTATAATTACGCATCTGGTCAAACTACTTTTTTTTACAGTTCGGAGCTTTCGGGCCCGTTGAATTTGAATCTCAATTATTTTTTAATCAAAACCGCCTAAAACCGTGTTAAAATTATTAAATTTATAAATTGAAAACCATGTCACTGTACGTATGTCATTCAGTTTTATACAGCTCCTGTAAAATTTAATTTTTTGTACTCAACTATACCGTTTTGTTCGCCAGCTCTTCATTTGAAATTGGGATAAAAAAATCTTGCACTTTTTCTCTAATTAATCAGTCTTAAATAATTAGGTAAAAAAAAAATCAATTACTGTTTTTTGGAATTAAGGGCGCCAGGGCAGCACTGAGACAGAAGGTCTACTCATCCGTCAAAACACGTATGTCTTCATAGTTTATGGATCAATTTAAAAGCTCGTTAGATTAATTCGCGACAAACATCATACAAAAGTCCTCATGTTACAGTGGTGCCTCCTGGTGACATACATTTTCCTAAATACCCTCGTTCTGACCTTGGATTTTATTTTACTTCGATTCTAAATTTATTAACAATTTCTTAAAAAAAAATCTTATACAAAATATCTATAGGATCTCATGATACACGGACACCCGGGTGTGAATTAGAAAGAGAATTTATAATAATTTGGTAATGGAACACTCACTACCTCATACATCGCTAATTTTTCTACGACAAGATTCTATAGTCACAGATATTCAAGCTTTGTTGTTTAAATATTTCAATTATTTAGTTTAAATTAACAACTTTGCTAAGAAACGGAACCAGATTATTCTATACTATCCAGCACACCACACGCTAGGTTGTGTTCTTCAAAGCTTTTATAATAATAAAAATAATCCATTTATTAATAAACAAATTTACAAAATGATATAACAGTCACCCATACTAGGCGAAGCCTGTCCTATGGGGGAAGTAAAAAATTAACAATAAACCATTTACGGCCTTAAAATACAAACAACTAAAATAATGGATAAATTAGTGATAGTACACTCGTATGTTTCATAAAATTCAAAAAATTCTAAATTCAATATCGTTTATTCAGTCTAGGCTGTTACAAGCACTTGTGAATGTGAAATAATAATTTTGGAATTATGTATGTTTGTTAGAAAACACACTCATCTTTTTCCCCAACAAGAACGACCAAGTAGATTAAGACCGCATCAAAGATTAGCCCCTCCAAATTCCAAATTGCATTTAGTACACACAGGACCTTTTGCTATGGCCGTGAAAGTGTACAATAAAATTCCCGAACATATAAAAAACGAAAAAAACGTAGTCAAATTTAAAAAACTACTGAAATCATTTTTATCAAAGACCAGCTTTTATTCGATGCAAGAGTTTTTCAATTTTAAATAGTACCTAGTTAATTTAAGCAAGACCTTATTTATTTTTTATGTTTTTTTTAATGTTCCTACGTAATGTTATTTTATTTGAAATTATTATTATTGTTATTATTGAATGCTATTTATCAGTGTTATTAATTATTAGTTAATAATTATGTTCAAGTTAATTTTAATTAAATTTAATTGAAGTAGATTATTAATATTATTTAATTAAGGACATTTTAAATTAAATTGCTATACCCTTTCAGGGTTCATGTGTCTGTATCTAATCCTTATGTAACATCTGTAATAACCACATGAGTGCAATAAATAAATAAATAAATAAAAGCTACGCCATCGGTTCGCAAATCTACGGCGGGAGACCTTGTACTGAGAAGAACCGGCAAGAAACTCAGCAAGGGCTGTTTTTTTCTCCCTGTATTATATACAGAGTAGTCAATTTGAAAAATGAGTTCAATATGAGATAACCCATGAAGTCACTTTCCATTACAAATGTAAATGATAAAACAATTATGACTATAAAATAAAAAATATAAAAAACAGATTTAAAAATGAAAAAAGTTTAGGAATGCCGTTTAGGCATAAAAACAAAAACAACACATAGGCATAAATACAAACATATGTGAGTATTTTGTGTGTTGTGTGTGTATGTGTATATTCAACTCATCATCCTTAAAAGATTCTCTGCCATACGATCGACCATTTTTGACATGTTATTTCGCTATATTTTTATAAAAAAATAATTAATTTGTCCTGTTTTATACAGATGTACAGCAGTCGGGAGAGCAGTAAGAGGACATCGCCTTTGACGATATCCCACGGCACGGGCTCATATAACGGTAAGTAGTGATTTTTTAATATAATTATATCATAATTTTTTGTGGTTGCCAATCAAATTGAGAAATAACGAAACGCATATCAAAAAGAAAAAAAACTTATAATCAGATGCATATTGACCTAAAGTTGCGGTGTTGACTATTATAGAAAATACCTTTTTATGAAAAAATCGCGTGATTACAACAAATTTAAAATAAGTGTAAGATGTTCTTGAATAAAATAATTTTGTATTCAGTTATATTTTCTTATTTATCACTCCACCATTTCTTTTACACTTGGAGTGTCTTGTTTGTAATATTAAAATAACCGCTTTTTACTACATGCATATGAATATATATACGGTACATACAACAAAATAACATTTTTACAACTTTTGCCTGTCTGCCGCTAGTTTATAATAAAAATGTCTTAAAAGCCGCTTCATCAATTTGTTGGCTAAAAAATAACTTTAGGTAAATATGTATCTGATTATTCGATCTCTAATTATCACACACAAACCCGCATTCGTGTTTAAGTACCCCTCATTATACAACACTTGCATAAATAAGTATAATGATACATTTATGGCCCTGCCAGAATACCAGCGCTGTTATGATGGAAATATTCGTTCCCACAACAGCATTAAGCTGAGGCAGGGGCCTGATTGGCCATTCTTCTTTCGCCTTTGTATTTCTCTGTTTTGTAATTTTACTGTTTTTTGCTCATTGATTTCTTTTCTACCCATCTGAGCTTTCAGACTCGTTTCAGGTTACCGTGCGGGGTGTGGCCTGTCCTCACCCCGATTTTTATATCAACGACCTTATTTTTGGACTCAGCAGCATGAGGGTATGTTGTCGCATTGATGACGTAAGCGTCAATAACATCAGTTACGCTGACGACATGGTGCTGCTGAGTCCATCAGTAAGACCGTTGAGGGAGCTTTTACGGATTTCTTTTTATAGCGAGGTAGGCAAATGACACTTCCCCACCTGATGTTAAGTGGTGATAAAGTCCAAACGCGAAGATAGCTGGTACAGCAGTTATAAACTGCTATATCAACCATCCTCACCTTGCCGACTTGCAAAATGCTTCTTCACGCCTCTTAAAGGACCCCAGATTGTAGGAAGGAGGGAACACGTGCACGGGTAAAGAATTCCACTTCCTAAAGAAATGTGTGAATCTTACGCGCAGACTCACGGTCTCATGTACAATGTTAATAAGTTTGAGTACCTCGTGTTTAGGGCTAACTGATGCAGGTGTCCATTGTTTGTACCTAGTATTACAATCAATGGTACAGAACTGAAACGTGTCTTCCAATATGTATGGCCAATTAATACTTTTTGTTTGTTTGTTTCTCCTTATTTAGGGTCTTGGGGCGCAGGCCGGGCCCGCGAGCCGCCCAGCGAGGCCCCGCCCTCGCCGCCTCTACCGCACCATCGACCCATGGACAGGTACGTATTATTATACACATAAGGGTCGAGGAGCTCGATGGCGCAAGTGGGTGGCTACGATAGTGAAGTTAAGCAACTTTCGCAGTGGTCGGTCATTGGATGGGTGACCAAAAATTTACTATCTCGAGCTCCTTCGTGCTTCGGAAGGCACGTTAAGCCGTTGGTCCCGGCTGCATCTGCAGTCGTTAGCACCCACCAATCCGCACTGGGCCTGCGTGGCGGGTCATTGCCCAATCTCCCTATTCCCTCCATAGGGAAGGTCTGTGCCCCAGCAGTGGGGACATTAATAGGCTGATGATGATGATGATTATGGTGAAGGGTCATTATAGGCTGTTTGACAGTATGAAAAATAAAGTACCAATTGTTGGCATCTGTATTTAAATATTATGAACATAAGGATCATTATAGGGTATTTGACGGTATGACAATGACAGTATGAGAAATAAAGAACCAATTGTTGGCATCTGTATTCACTATGAATGTTAACAGCGATTTTACTGAGAGAACAAATAATTGGAGAGTTTTACCAAAAAATTAAACTTACCTATTATTTTTTCTTCAATATCCGGAATTAAATCGAAATGAATCCTCATGATTTACCCTTACGATGATTATCATAAAATACATGTGTTTTTTTGTTTCACATTTCACGGGTTTGATTCCCGGTTGTGGCAGACGATTTTTTATAAACTGTGAATGCAGTTCTTATGCTATTATTAAAAATAAAATAATGTCTTCTTTCAGTAAAATATCCTCTCTTCAATATTTGATATACTTTCTTCTGTGTGACAAACCCGTGGGACGCCCCGTAGATTATTTTCATCAAAACTATATAAACATACCATATTAAATTATAGGGGTGTACAACCCCTATCAGTATATAGTGTCACTTAGGGGTGTGAAAAATAGATAGGGGGCCGTTCAAGTATTACGTAAGCAGATTTATTACAATTATTTACCCCCTCCTCCCCCTCGTCAGCAAAAGTAAGCAAAGCTCTTACCCCTCCCCCCATCCTTACGTAAATATTGGTACCTATATGGATTTTTCCTTTAATGTATTCTGTTATTTTTATTGATTCATGAGCTTTCATGAGCTTCATGACCAGCAGTACTTAAAAAGGCTTAATCGATGATGCTGACGTAATCACCATCTCTACCCCCACCCCCCCAAGTCATTAAAAATAAGTAAAGCAGAGACCCCCTTGCCCCCCTATAGTGCTTACGTAATACTTGAACAGCCCCTAGTAGCCGATTTTCAGACCTACTGAATATGCATATAAAATTACATAAAGATGTGTCAAGCCTTTTCGGAGGAGTATGGTTACTAACATTGTGTGACACGAGAGATTTATATATAAGACTAGCTGACCCAGCAAATGCGGTTTTGTCATATAAATGACTATTAAAAAATAGGGGTTGGTGGTAGGAGGGTGAAAATTAAGGGTGGTATGTATTTTTTAATGTCACATTATAAAAAAAAGTCCAAAAATTAAAATAAACCTTAGGAGTGGACAACCTTTATCACTTAGGGGTATGAAAAATAGATAGTAGCCGATTCTCAGACCTACTGAATATGCATGTAAAATTTCATAAATAGCGGTCAAGCCGTTACGGAGGAGTATGGTAACGAACATTATGACGTGTGATACGAGAATTTTATATATAAAACTAGCTGTCCCAGCGAACTTCGTACCGCCAGAAAAAAATAGGGGTTGGTGGTAGAAGGGTGAAAATTTTGGGTTGTATGTATTTTTGTTTGAAGTATCATAAAAAAATAAAAACATATAATTTTGGCCAAAAACAAACATTTAGGGGGATGAAAAATAGATGTCCGATTCTCAGACCTACTGAATATGCTATAATTTCATGAAAATCGGTCGAGCCGTTTCGGAGTAGTCCAATTACGCACACCGTGACACGAGAATTTTATATATTAGATAGATAAAATAAATAACTAATAATTTGTAATCGTTTGTCCCTCACAGGTCTTTAGGCGGCGGTTCGCAAGGCAGTGGGTCTGTTCTATTGGAGCGGTCGATCACTCCCCTCAGCCTGGGCAGCATGAGCTCCCTGCACGATGTGCTTAAGGTATCACTATACTATATTATTATATAGTTAACAATCAGAAGTAGAAATGGCTTAAAAAAATAAACAGTGGTTTATTTTTATTATTTTAACACATTAAATATAAAATGTTTTACATTTTAATATTTCTCAAGACCTACAAGAGTAAAAATGGTAGATGGAGTTTTGAGGGAATCATCGCCGGATATTACGTTTGTGTCATCAGACATCGCTACTACTTTTAACTGGTATACAACTAACGAATGTTTAGGTAGTGACCACCTTATTATCCTATATTCTATAAAATATACACAGTCATATAAAAATATAAAAAAAAGAAATTTTAAACTAGCAGATTGGCAAAATTATAAAAGGTTAACTAAGTCGGCTTTCAATTCATGCAATTTAGATAGAAATGTACAAGAAATGTATAACTACTTTTATGAACAAATCATCACCTCAGCAGATAAAAGTATTCCATTTAAAATATACAATTTAAACCCAGCTACAAAATTCAAACCGAAAGAATATTGGAATCCGACTTTATCTCATATTGTTGCTCAACTCAGGCTTGCACTTAAAACATTTAGGAAAAATCCCACGCCTGAGAACTTAAAAAGATTTCAAAATAAAGTATCCGAGGCTCAAAGGCTTATTAAAAAAGCTAAGGCTGTCTCATGGCAAAAATTCTGTACAAGTTTCGAAGAGACTACAACGGTGTCGGATATGTGGCGCCGTATGAAATGGATAAAGGGTGGTCAACAGCCTAGACAGTACCCATCTGAAGAGAAGCTTAATGAATTATTATGTTCCTTGACTCCCGATTCAGCACAGAATACCTGTCCAATGTTTAACTCTAAAAATGAGTTATTGGAGTCAGATTTTACATTACAAGAACTAAACAATTGTATTAAAAGTAAAGACACGTCTCCTGGAGAAGATGATATTACGTATTCAATGATTTTCAATCTCGCCGACGAGGGGAAACAGTACCTTCTAACATTGTATAATATGATTTTTCACTCTAGTTATGTACCAGAACAATGGCGGGATATTTCAATTATACCTATACCTAAACTTAATTCTGATAAATTAAGACCTATTTCCCTTATTTCTTGCCTTTGTAAGATACTTCATTCCATGATAGCTAAGCGCATCGAATGGTATATTGAGAAACATAAAGTGATATCACCTTATACCACAGGCTTTAGAAGATGTCATTCTACTGTAGATTGTCTTGTACGTTTTGTTACTGAAATACAACTGAGATATACTAAAAATGTACCTACATTAGCTTGCTTCCTAGATGTTGAAAATGCGTACAATAATATCTCGATTGATAGTGTTACAGTAGCTTTGGATGAACTGCGAATTGGAAGGTCTATTTGTAAATATTTGTGGCTTTATTTAAGTGAAAGACATCTTAAGATAAAAACCTTGGTAGACAATAAAATCATAACTAGATGGACGCATAAAGGTTTAGCTCAGGGGGACCCTATATCCCCTCTTCTTTTTAATATAGCTATTTACAAAATATGCAATAAAATTACAGAGACTAGTGTATACCAATATGCGGATGACTTTGTAATATTTATAAGCAATAAAAATATTAATACCTGTACTATTAATATGCAAAGAGCAATAAATAACATAACAAACTTATTGAAAGAACTCGGTTTAGATTTGGCGCCTTCCAAGTCAAAGATTTGTTTATTCAGTAGAGGCTTTAAAAGATATAATATTGACCTTATTATAAACAATTATCCAATACCACTGTCAGAGAACGTTCGTTATCTTGGAATGTGCATTGATAGATGCCTCCGTTGGAAAAAGCATGTCAACGAAATAGCAGAGACGTGTCAAAAGTATTTAAATTTGTTAAATGTTTTAGCAGGATCGGCATGGGGAGTCCACCCTAAGCATCTTAGAACCCTATACATATCACTAATTAGAAGTCGATTAGATTACGGTTGTTTTTTGTATCATAATTGTGCCAAAACTAAATTATATAAATTAGAAAAAATTCAAAATCAGGCTCTGAGAATTATTGGAGGTTTTATTAGGAGTTCACCAATTCATGTTATGCAGAGTGAACTTGGAATGCAACCTTTATTTATTAGGAGAAAATATCTTGCCTATAAGTATTGTCTTAAAGCGCTGTCGTTTCACAACAATGTTACGGTTGAACTTCTTACAGAACTTAATACAAATTTCGAAAATTCGTACTGGAGAAACAAAACCAAACCACTGTTACCAATACTAGTTAGAGAAACAGCAGAAAGTAATGTTTCTTCAGATTATCCATTAAATATGTACACATTAGACGTGTGGATTAGTCGAATTAACTTACGTGGAATTGTTATATCAAACTTAGAATGTATAAAAGAAGCTAAAGACAATTACGAAACAAATTCAATAAAACAAAACGTAGTAATAGAATTGAATAAAAAATATAATGATTGCACTAAAATTTACACAGACGGATCCAAATCTATAACTGGTCTAGGAGCAGCATATGTATGCCCAAGCAGAGGAGCTAAGGCTTGTTTTAAGGTGCTTACTGATGTATCTGTAATGTCACTAGAATTGATTGCCATTCATGAAGCTATTACATACTCTATTAATGAAGGTCTCTGCAAAATTGTTATAATGTCAGACAGCAAAAGTGCTATTCAACATTTAAATCGTTGTGTGTCAGGCAAAAGAGGTGTGCCGGTTGCTTATAAGATACTTCAAAAACTTCACGAAATCAATTCTAGTGGCAAAAGTATTAAACTGCAATGGGTCCCTTCACATATAGGTATTAGCGGCAACGAAGAGGCTGACCGCTTAGCAAAAGAAGCATCTATTGAAGGTGAAAATGCATCAGTGAAACCATTTTATTCCGAAACATTGTCAAAATATATAAAGAGTTGTTATCTTAACTGGAAAGAATATTTTGATGAAAGATCAAAAGAAAAAGTAATATGGTATAAAACCATACAGAGTCAGCCTCTACGAATACCGTGGTTTATTAATTTAACATCAAGTCGACACTTTGTAGTGACCTTAAATAGACTTCGTTCTGGACATTATCCATGTAACAAGTTTGGACATCTTATGAAAAAAATTGAGTCTCCCAACTGTGAAGTATGCTGTGTTGTAGAAGATCTCCAGCACTTGTTGATGGATTGTGTCCGGTACCAGAATGAGAGACAAGAGTTTATTAAAAAATGTAAATTGAATATGTCAGACATTGGTGTGTTTCACAGCGTTCTGGCACAACCGGTCTCGGAAGAGGCCAGAATGCTGTATCGCTTTATATGTCTGCCGCGACTTTCTTCAGACAATAACATATTAGGTTAATTGGCTTAGATTATTTGTTAATTTATATAAGTACAAGATGGGACTGACATGTCTGTAAAGATAAAAGTCCTTTAAATAAAGAGAAAAAAAAAAAATCTCACAACGATATTAAATACCCTAGATACACCACGAGCGCTCAAAATGTGTCCCAATCAAGAAGTGCTTGAACTCCACTCAAGAAATGTGAGAAAGTCACGCGCTGACAGGACAAAGTCAAAAAGCCACAGAGCTCTGCGACAAAATGAGAAAATAATACTTAGAGTACTAAAAGTGTCGTTTTTTCGACAGGTATCTAGTCAAGGTTTGTTAATTTAACGCATTTGAAGCAAATTTCGATGTAATAATTACTATAAACTGATTTTATATAAAATATTTGTGATGTTCAAATGCATGGTTATACGTCGCCATATAGCCGTCTCTTTTCCTCGCAGTCCGTGCCTGTTATATTGCTGACAGCGCGTTCAGAATTGCGCGTAGAGTCAAAGAACTAAGGTCTAAATTCTTCCGCATATAGCAATAAGTCGTAAAATTTTACGAGCTAGCATTTGGAACTGTCGGAAGTCCTTGACGCATGCGTTTTATTTAAGATCTTATACAGTATGTATTAAAGGTCAATATTTAAATAATGCCTTTTATTGATTTTGACTACGCGATCATCTTACGGAGCTCCGTGGATCATTCAATGTATCGTTTGGACAGGTTTCGGGCACGATTTTGTTCGTGTTGGTGTATCTAGGGTATTTAATATCGTTGATTTCTCACTATGAAATAGCACACTAAAGCCCGTATTACAGAATGACAACTAAGTGTTGATCTTAAGAGGTAACAGATAGACGCACTTTCACATTTATAATATTAGTATGGATGTAATTAAGTATGACGTGAATTAATGCTACAATGCGACATTGAACAACATTGGGGGCAGGTCGGGACTGAAATGGGCGAGGGCCTGCAGTCTGAAGACAGCAGTTGTGGCGCTTCGCCCCCTCACCCCCACCCTATGGACCCCTGATGGTAAGTCTATTTATATTGTAAATAATATGTTGTCCATGTTTGATTGCAAGTAAAGATTATTGTTATTTAATAGGGTATTTGACAGTATTAAAAATAAAGTGCCAATTGTTAGCATCTGTATTTAGGATGTTTATGCAGGTTTTTACTATTTTTACAAAAAAAAATATTCATAATTTTACTAGAAACCCACGAAAAAGATAATAGTTTTCTTATCTATTGTCACGTGACCCAAAACGCTTGGGATTGGCGGAGCCTAAATTGACGTCACACGCAAGTAAACTTCCGGTTATAGTGACATTACATTGTATCGTTTAAATTGACGTCACACACTAGTAAGACGCTATATTGTCCAGAGAAACGTTCCTGAGGCAATTTGAAAATGGAGTTTTTGATTTGGTTATTTTTACTGAAATACACAACAGAATGATGAATATCCACTCCGGACGGACCCCATAAACATTAGTCAATAACGTGAGATCGTTTTCTAAAACTTGTCAAATACCCTATTGTTTTAGTTATGGCTTTCCTTAAGGCGCAATTACACTTGTTCGTTATCCAGGCACCCGATGCGATATTTACTTTCTCGGTCCTTATCTTTATAATAAAAATTAATAAAGCCACTTCTCACCACAGCTTACCCGTCTCACTAATGGCTTATGTCAAAACCATATGACGAAACTGAATCCTTACTAACTTCCATATCCTGAAAATCTAATTAAAGTACTTACCTATTTATTTATTTATTTTTTAATACAGAATATATTGACGCAAAATTAGGTACATAAACCCATAGTATTAATGTTTATTATATAGCTATTTAATATTTAAATGTTACTATTAATTTATAAATAATATAAATATGAAATGTGATTTAATTTGGTATAATATATTTCATTGTAATTATTATGTCAACACTAGCGGCACGCCCTCGCTTCGCTTCGGTGTAGAGCTGAAGTGTAGACAACAGTTTTTGTTCTCAGGCTTGTATTATACACAATGACATTCATCTATGATACTTCTTATACCTGCATGCAGTCTCAGCCCGATCGGTTTAAAATTGACAAAGTTTCATACAAACTTTCATTCCCTATTTTATCCCCTTGGTAGAATTGATCAAAATCCTTTCTCAGCGGATGCCTACGTCATAACATCTACCTGCATGCCAAATTTCAGCCCGAGCCGTCCAGTGGTTTGGGCTGTGCGTTGATAGATCACTATATCAGTCAGTCAGCAGTTACCTTTGAGTTTTATATATATAGATTTGTAAATTTAGCGTCCCCCCACAGGACTCTTGTTAGTGACCTAACCATACTTGCTACGCCTATGACATATACACCAAGATGATTTTACTTTCAGAAACCGACTGAATTCGTCCTGGAATATAGACATGTCCCGTTTCTACGCTTGCTTCTGTTGACGGTATGGTTTAAACGTTAGCGACACACAGTCTACACTCAAACGGACGAACACATCAATTATTATTATTATCACTAATGTAAAATGAACAAAATATCAATTATTATACGCAAAGCGCCTGTATGTGCGTGCACGCATAATTTATTTACAAATTTGGTTCCTATGAATACTATGAAAATTATTTGCAATATTTTTAAATTATTATTGTTCTTATGATATATAAATAAATAAAATAAATATAACGGATTCTATATTATCTCATGACATGAATAACATAACCTTCCATTGTATGATAATAAAATGAAATAATATTTTAACCTGATGTGGCTTTTAGGTCAATTAGCAACACATTGGTAGCGGATAAAATAATCATATAGAGTTGACAGATTTTTTTTTATCCAATCTAATCGAGGAAATTATGAAATAAATAATTAATACACAATACATAACTCTCATTGTTTTTTATTATAAAAAAGTAGGGACTTTTAAAGAAAGACTGGTGGTTTTAATTCACTGGTACAGTATTAAACACAATAATAAATATAAAGGTCGGTTCACATTTGACGCACGGCGTTACGGATAATATGTCTGTTGTAAACGTTTACTTTAGTTAAATGATCTTATAAATATTAATTCTTTTGATTATCAATTTGATTTCAAACTTTTGTATGACGTATCCAGTAAAAAAAAAAGAATATTCATTCGTGTACGAAGATGCAAAGCTTCCTCTGAACAATTTTATGCATTAAAATAAACTTGATCCGTCTATTTTTAATAGTATTTCGGTGAAAATTAATAGTATTTCGGTGAAAATAAAAGTTGTTATCATATTTCTACAACTAACTTGTGTTGTAAATAAGATACCGAATTCCAAACCATGTTGCGTTTGAATAAGAGTATGCTTTACGTCACGAATCTCCTAAGATCTAATGATAGATATTGTATTTAAGTTTTATGATTCACTGTTGCATTAACACCGCTGCCTGTGTACCACTTGTTTTATAATAATGAATTAACAAATATACATAAATAAATAAGAAATGTAATGTAATAAAATAATAATTGTAGATTTTATTAATCAAATTTTATTTATTTGCTAATGAGTTCCAATAAGAATACTCTAGACGCTATTATGTCCCGTGTACCGTGTTAGTACCGCCGATTTTATTTTAAATATAAATACTTTATTATAATTATTATTTTTAAGAATAAAATTGTGTTATTGTAATTGTTAATTTTATCGACAACGTATGTTTGTAGCGTAGCGCGAACTTCATCACACTGCCAGAATACCAATTTATACTGAACCAATTACGATATTTGAACATCTATGAATTTATAGTTTTTTGTGGCAAAACTTTTGTTTAAATATTATACATACATTAAAATAGTTAAATAGTTTTGCCTTGTAAAGTAAGGGGTTTTTAATGAAATTGATATTAATTATTCTCTCAGATTATTTAGAGAGAATGGTATATTAAAATCGTTTTTCAGTTAGATTAGGTCTGGTTAAATGTTTGCGCTAGATAGAAACTTAGATGTGAATAGAAGTATTGTGTAAAACGAAGGCGTACTAATACTTCTTAAAGTGTAGATCTCAGATCTGGACCAGCCTTTGGAAGGGACAAGCTAGGTTGAGTATTGTTTTTCTTCGGCATCCATGCAAATTGTCGTTAACTTTTCAATTGCTGGATTAAACTTGTGGTGTGTTAAAGACTGACAAATTTTAATAACTGACATTCGTCAGTAATTAAAATTCCAAGTATGAACGATATTGGCACTACGATATTTTAACGATGAAGATAAAATTATTTTTTTCTACTTTTCGATTTGAATCAAACAATCACAATGATAAAATTTAATTTTTGATTACCACTGAGGTCAGGTACAGTCGAAATTATTGTTGCGATTTTTTATAACCTTCTATTGGCAATATAAACTCACCCTTATTTTTCTTATAACCTTATTCTATTTTTGCAGTAAACTGTTACTGTAACGGACGATATTTTATATCCTGTACTGATCTTTAGTCCCTTCATAAGGCTCGGTTTGAGATTCGTAAATGTATACACAGAACAAAGTTGAACAAATATTCAATGTACCATTATAATACTTATTTGACATTTATTTTCTACACTAACTCAAAATTGAGATGCATTATATTCTTTTCGGAACATTACAAAATTGATTTTTGTAAGGTTTACCGTTGTTTTATAAAAATAATAAGCTCACCCTGATTTTATTCATAATATTATCATCCATTACATATACACACAAACAACGAATGAGAAATGATATGGAATTCGTACTGCGCTAAAAAGTAGTTCCACGCAAACAGCGATCAAGTGGGTGGGGCGAAAAAACTGCGATCAACACGCCGATTATGAGTTTGGTTGGGAATTTCGTTTAACATTGGTGTCAATTCTGGCGTGATTCTCTTAACTTAAAACTAAATTTAAGGTCATTCTCACCTTTTCATTCTGTATAGAGAAGGACAAGGATGCACTGTTGTCAAATTTAAGTTTAGTTTTAGAGAATCATGCCAGAATCGACATCATTATCTTACTCACTGAATGGATATCCGAATTTATTTGCAAATATTTGATTAGTCAAATTATTTGGTTTTTGTTAGTGCTTTTAGCAGCCTTTGTTTCAGAGTAATGCTTCCATATCATTTCTAATTCATTGCACACAACTTCGTCGTATAGGTACCATGTTAATTATAAATCAGGCTATACGTACAGTAAACTGTTCAAGAATAATAATGTTAATTTAAAAACACCAAATATTCGCGTCACATCGTGTCAACATAGGGCTCTATTTTTATCGTTGTTCGTGTATATTGCTTTGCGTTTAATGTTAACGATTAATACGCTTCTGCCGGTGCGTGTGAATATCAAATTGTATTGGAGCCTTGCCCTATGAGAAAAAGTATAAATATTCGTTAATACAGCAATTCAGGATAAATTCTTTTTGTGACTGGTGGACGAAAATCATTGCAGATAAAGTTGCAGGTGATATCATTCGGTATTACTATTAATGTAACATACAGCTCCATCTGTGGCTGTCATATTGACTTAACAATAAGTTGTAATTCTGTAAATTTTACAGAACTCGCGTTGTATGCGAGGAGCTCGATGGCGCAAGTGGTTAGCGCGTTCCGCAGCGATCGTTGAATTTAAGCAACTTTCGCAGTGGTCGGTCATTGGATGGGTGACCATAATTTACTATCTCGAGCTCCTCCGTGTTTCGGAAGGCACGTTAAGCCGTTGGTCCCGGCTGCATCTGCAGTCGTTAGCACCCACCAACCCGCACTGGGCCCGCGTGGTGGGTCATGGCCCAATCTCCCTATTCCATCCATAGGGAAGCCTGTGCCCCAGCAGTGGGGACATTAATAGGCTGATGATGATGCAAGTCAACGTGACGAATACAATTTGATATTGATAGTACCGTATTATTTTATAATAAACTAATTTCTTTATGTAACATGTGATTGATTTAAATAGTAAGGCAATGATTAATTAATTTAGTTAATTTTAACAATCTAGTCTTTTTATGTTTGTATGACCGTAATGTATTAAGTAACTATATTGTGGACACTTTTTTTTGTACCTTTATTTTTCAAAATATATTTTAAGATGATGAATATGGAAATAATAGTTTAATTTAGTTGAACGACTGTCGTTTTAATATGTATAAGCAAATGTGTGACGGACACCCGTTTTTGATTGTGCAAGATTTTTTAAAGTAAAATGATTGTATTATTAACTTATTGTTCAAACTAATATCTTAAATATATCTTATTAAACAATGAGGTACGCAAGTTTTTGAAAATGGTTTTAATAAAGATTTTTTTACCAAATTTTCAACATGACATTATATGCTGTTCACTCATTTATTATTATTGTTATTATTTAGTCTGTAATGGAAATTATAAATCGCACATTTAAACCCAAGCAAAAAATCCTTAAGTGGTATTTTTCCACTGTTTCATCAAAATTGCATGTTCATAAATTTTGTGCTATCAAAAACATGCGTCGAAATTAAAAATAATCTCTTATCAAATAAAATTTCATTCTTTTTTTATTATTATACCTTTTCTTAACATATTTTCGAACATCGACCTCGTGTTAAGTTTTCCAAAGATCTTCAAATCGGACTTACGACGGTCGGTGTGCATAAATGATTTAATGTAATTAGCTTTTGTATTATTATTATATAAATATATTATACATAAACACCAGAACTGACTGTACAGTAAAATTTGCTTTTGTATAAATAAAATTTGGGTACGTATTGTGTGTGTGTAAAGAATGTTTAAATTGAATTTTAATTTCAATATAAATATTCATATTATAATATAATTATTGCATTGACAGTGGATTAATCGAGCGTTTCGTCATTAAAAAAATATTTAGATCTTGTCAATTTGGGGAAATTTTAATAAAAACGGTTTACTAATTTCTATACTTTGTCTCACTCGTATACTCATATGCTTGAGAATTTTTAATAGATTAATTAGTTTAACACCGTCTTTCAATGACACTGCATTACAGTGTATTTCGCATGAAAACCCGACACTTTTTTCAACTGACTCCCAAAACTAAAGTGGATCTCATTTAGTTAGAATCTCTTTTTATAAATCTAATCGTTTTGTTTACTTCGAAACGCGCAGTGCAAACGCTATTGTGTTTACAGAAGGTTCACGTTGTTGTGTGAGCGGTCTCTTCTTTTAAATTATCTCGGACTAATAAAAAAATAACATCGCTTTATCTATAAGAAAACGATCGATTACTCCGCCTCTAATAATATGAAAAGAAAAGCATTTAAATTAATCTAGAATCAAAATATTGGTAATCATAAAATTACAGAATAAAAACTTCCATATAAACAAAAACTGGACAATAAAACTTCTTTTAGGCCATATCTTACTTCAAAAATAGGTATTTAA